GAGCTCTCTGCTCCGCCATGATCGTGATTCACGCTTCATGAGTGAGGTGTTCGCCAGGTTCCGTGAGATGCTGGCAAGTCGGCAGCGTGCGACTCTGGCGTACAGACCTCAGGCAAATGGCCAGCAAGAGCGCTCAGTGCAAACAGTGGTTCGAGCTATCCGAGCGTACGTCGCTGAGCCAGATCAGAGCGACTGGGACGACCAGGTAGAGAAGTTGATGTGGGCTCTGAACACGTCCGTCGACGCCACCCGTCTCGACACGCCGTTCTACCTGGTTCATGGCTGGGACCCTCACAGCACTTTTTCGGCCATGCTGGGACCGTCTCCGACGGGTTTGGATCAGATGACTGCCTATGAGTGGCGCCGCAAGACTCAGCGTGAGTACGAGCACGCTCAGGCCTGGGCTAAGGATTTACAAGCTGAGGCCAAGGACAAACGCTCGGCTGCTCAGACAAAAATCTGGGCTGAGCTGTCTGAGAGACTCAAGAAGGCTTTTGAAGTTGGTGATGTTGTGTGGCTATACCTAGCTCAAGTGCAACCTGGGCTCACGAAGAAGTTCGCTCACCTCTGGCACGGTCCGTTCCGGATTCTGGAGACCTCAGATGACTTCCGATGCAAGCTAAAGATCGAAGGACTGGGTTCAAGCTGTATCCTTGGGTCCACATAAGTCGACTCAAGCCACGTGCCCTGTTCCCTGAACGACCTACAGTTGAGGTTGAAGTCGCTGAGGATGATGATCTGAACGCAGCGCTGTTGCTCGAAGATGCTGAAGAACCTGACGAAGCTCAGAACGTGTACGAAGTGGAGGCCATCCAAGATGTGCGTTGGGTTAAGCGGACCCGGATTTCACGGAGGGTCCGAGAGTACTTGGTCAAGTGGAAGGGGTACCCTGACACTGAGTGGTTTCCCATGTCCCAGCTAAGTTGTGGAGCTGTGCTTTACGAGTTCAACAAGAGCGCCAAGGCGAAAGCACGGTTCCAAGCAATGCAAGCTGGGGACGAGCCTCCTGAGCCTAATGCTCAGTAGAGGCACCTCAGCTGTGAACCTGTGTATGTCGCCGTGACGTTCTATGTGTGAACACTTTGTATTATGTGAACTTACGACTACGCTAAGTGATGTGGAGAATGACTTGGAGTTTCTCGTGGAAGACGCCGACTGAGCGCGAAGTGAACGTGCGTCAATACGCTCGACGCCAAGCACTCATGAAGCCGGTGATCATGACGATGGCTTCACACATCTCGGAAGTGAGCTCGGCGTACGTTTGGTGGACGAGCCTGTCGAATTTGCCCTCCCACATGTCGTCTCGGGGGTCTGACTTGAGCAACTACAGGCACTGTGTGTACTCGATGCGCTTGTGAAGTTGCTAGATCCCAGTCTTGGATGACATGTACGTGTGAGAGCCGATGGTCCGGTGCTGCTGCTTCTGGACGCGGATGCCATAGTTTGGACGAGCTCCCCTCAGGCAACCTCTGTTATGACCGCCGAGCCCAAGTCGAGGGAATCTCCTTAGCCTCACCACTCATAAGGGACGGTTGTGACGAGGCCCGAGAGAATTTTTCTCCTGACCTCGTCTGTCGTCTGCCTGAGTTCATCTCGCCCAAGCCCGGTAACAGGATTATCGTTGGAGTTTGTTGGTGCATCGGTGCTTACAGCCTTTGAGCATCCGAGAACATGGACCTGAGCTGATGTTGGTGTCATGCAGTCTCCGCTCAAACTCTGTGCTGGTTCGTCAAGCGTTTGGGGTCTGGGATGTTTGGCACTAAGCGTCTCCGGTCTGAGCTGATCCCTGATGTCTGACCGATGGCTTCTGCAGCCGCCGCAAGCATGAGTTCGGCATCCACCGTGACCATGTCGTCTTCGCCCGGATTGTCGAGCTGAGCAGAGGCGCTGATGTCTGAGCGGAGCCGGGTGGAGTTCGAGCTCAACCTCCCCCAGTGATTATGGAGTGGTTGTCCAAGATGCCGAGCTGAGTCGAGGAGCAGGCGTCCGAGCGGGGTCGTGCCGAGCCCGAGTCTAGCTTCTACTGTGGTCATGGAGTCTTCACCCAAGTCGACAAGTTGGGCGAGGATCGAAGGTCTGAGCGGAGTGACGAAGAGTCTGAGCCCAGCCTCAAATGTGATGAACGAAGTCCCCGCCTAAGTCGAGAAGCTGAGCGGAGCGTCGTGGACCTAAGCGGAGTGGCATGGGTGAGCGGAGTTGTCGGAGTCCAGTTGAAGTGCCGGGTGAAGAGTCGCTGGACTTAAGTCGAGACAGTGGTACTGACGGCGAAGTGGGTGGTACCGGCGAGTACACTCATCCGGTGAAATCAGCTTGAAGCCTGCCTACAATGGGTGCGACTGCTCAAGATCGCGGACACTTCCATCAGCTTCAACGGCACCAACGCCCCACGTGCCAACATGGAGCCTCGGCATTGGTCAAGACAAGGATATAAGCGGACCTCAAGCGGATCTCAATCGCGCTTTGGTAAGCATACAGCCGACGCTCTTCGCGCAGCCAGTCCGTGTGTACCCAGGGGGATATTGCGCCCCAACTTAGTAAGTCCTAGTTTGTGCATGTGTAAACATTTAAACAGAGTTCGTTTTGCCCCGAAGGACGCAAGTGGTGGAGGTCTTTGGCCAGAAGGTGTCTTGGCGATCATCCACACAAATTCAAGCTAACATATCAACGTTGTCAGAGTGCTTTGGTGCGACGGCAGTACGGTTATTTCATATTACTGTTACATTTTAGGGTGTATTTCATATTTTCGGGTGGAAGGTGATCCATTCTGAGGTTTAGGCAGGGTAATTGTATTGTGTGCTTGGGGACATTGGCGTGCCCCGGTGCATTGTGTGATTATTAGTATCGGTTCATTGTGGACCTGGTGCGCGGGTAGTCCCAGGGTGTGTGTGAGTACCTTGGATTCGGACTAGGCTCAAACCGAGTCACTAACTCCAGACCGGGTCGTTGCTTGACTCGAAGAGAAGAAAGGAGAAGCGGGTACGAGCCTCGCCCAGGCTCAGAGAAATAAAGGCGAACTCGGCCCAGACCCAGGCCGACCGGGAAAGAAAAGGTGTTGTGGTTCTGAGCCGGAACCAAAGAGAGGAAGTGGAGGCTATATTGTGTGTGGTGTTGTGTTCATTAAAGAAAACCCAGGGCATTTCGGGCTGTGGACACATGCGGACTGGGACTCGCCAAGTGGGGAGCGAGTTTCGTCTGGGAACACCTCCGGAGACCTTCAACATCGACAGCAGCTGGTACGGCCGACGCGAGTCTGGGCCCACAGCGTAGCCGTGATCAAACGAACCACCAAGGGGATCGCAGAGTGAGGAACACACGCCTCGCCCGACCCGAGTCGGAGCTGAGACAAGCGTTCAAGCGGCTAAGACTAGCGAAGCGGAGTGGGAGTGTACGCTCAGTGGAAGGAGCTGAGTGGAACTCTTGCAGCGCTAAGCAGGGCTGAGCCAAGTGGTGCAAGGGCTGAGCGAAGACCAAGGTCGAGCGGTCGAGCTACCTGAGCCAAGTGGTGCAAGGGCTGAGCGATGACCAAGGTCGAGCGGTCTAGCTACCTGAGCCTTCAAAAAGCACGGGCGCTTCGTCACAGTATTCCATCTTATCCGTCTTACGACTGCCGAACTAATAGAAACCTGATCTCAGGCGTTAAGGCTGGGTACAACCTAAATTACATCACAATACATATATATCGCCACTAGCGTTGCTCGCAACAGGTGAGCGTCTAGGCGCCTCCCGTCCGTAAACTTCATGGTTCATTCATCGCGCTTGCGCCTGACCGCTGCGACCGCCGCTCTCCTGGACCTTCAGTGTTCTGGTCCGGTACGCTTGACGTTCTTGCTGCTCTTCGCCATCCGTTGGATCCTCGTTAATGATGCCAGCTTGTTCTCCGGTATCCCAGGGTGCTGTCAATGTAGTCACCGACACTTTGCCACGCTGGCTAGGGCCGCAAGATCTTCATTACACCCCGGTGCTCCTGTTGACGCTGATAATACGGTACCGGCACAAACGGCACCCGTGACCGCGTCTCCAGTACCTTCCGTCGCTGCTGAAGCGTCGGTCGACACACCACAAGGTTCCTCCCGTGATATTGCATCTTCTGCTGGGACCAACGAGAGTTTGATGACGCTTGGAGCCGCTACGGGGCGCGCAGTAGGAATCCTGCCAGATCCATTCCGGTGGTCGTATGATCCAACGTTGGTCGTTTCATCGACATCAAGCTGGCGGCTGCTCTTCGCATCGTGATTCCTTTCTCTTCAGCTTCACTGGCGGCTTCTCTAGCGAGTAAACTTAATCGGAACGACGTACGGTAGCCGGCCACACACTAAGCGGAAGCCCATCCATGGTCACATCGCCGGAATTCCCCAGCCTCAACCCGACGACTCGCCATGATGCAATCGTGTCGCACCAATTCTCGTTGAGGGTTCCCACAGTTTTCGCGCAGGCTACAGCAGGTACCGCTGCCTTGAACGAGACTTACATGTCGGTCGTAGCTGTCCCAGATCCACTCGTATCTCCTCTTCATCATCAAATCCATGCATCGTCGCAAGCCGAGGTCCGGCGCACGGGCGAACTTCTTCTACGTTAATATCGGCGTCCGAAGCCTCGGTCACCCTCCCTTGAGCTTCATCCTTTTTAGTTTCATCTGCTGAGGTGCTGACCGAGGCATTCTGACATGGCACTCCATCGTGACTCGTTCACATCACATGTAATATGCAAATTCCAGTAATTACCTTCGTCTGTCACTGCGAGCTGGATAGCTCTCGCAGGCAGTTGAATCATCATCTCCAGTAGCTTCTTTTATCTACCATCGCGAGCTGGGTAATCCTCGCGGGCAGTTCAATCGTCGTTCGCGTATGCAATTCGTCAACGACTTGGACCACATGCAAATATTGTGCTGCGTTCCCCACTCGTGCAGGTCACCACCCAAATTGAGTAGGCGTTCGTCTGCAATCATGTCATCATCTCAGGTACGTTCCGCTTCCAAACCTCGACCGGCCCTCCACCGAGGATCAGCACTCTTGTCTTGTGTTACCTCGTTCCATGTAGGGCCATATCCGAGTTGTAGGCATCAGTCGAGGTGTTGGTAGAAGCGCCTGCGCATACTCGATGAGACTAATCTCGTTCAAGGTGTGCTCAGAAACGTCGCTCGCGATGGCATCATCTTCAATAGACTCCTCTGCAACCATAGCATGCATGACCGAGATATAGGTCGTCTCCAGTAGTGGCTCAGGGTCGTCAATCGAATCGTCGCCAAAGTCCTGGAAATCAGTGTCAGCTTCAGCGGCGTGGGTTCTGGCTTCCGTAGGAGCGTCGTTCGGCCTAGGATCATGTTAACTCTAGTCGACTTCACTACCACACACCGCAGCCGGTGCTTCAGATGGACCAAGGCTTGGTGCAGCGGCTCCTGTCGGTAGGACATCTGATGCCGCTGGTTCCGCCTCTGCTACCTCGTCATGGGCGTCCTCCGAATCATCGTTCGTCACACTATCGCTTTCACGCATCTAAACAATGGCTTCCAACGCCTCGGCCGAGACGTTCACCGCCCTCTGGTCGGTATCATCCTCACCATCATTCAGCCTCGCGGACGTGCAAGTCGGTTGGTATAGCGGCGGCTCTCCATGCGCTTCCGCGACATCCAGGGCGACGGGTTCGTCATCCGAGCTTTCGTTCGGCACACTGGAACGTGCTCCCCCACCTGCGCCGGCTTGAGCAACGCCGACCGAGCCTTCACAGACCCTGGAGGCGTCGCCATAACCATGTACGTGGGGTGACGAGTACCCACCACCCATCGGTGCTAGTTGGCGGCCTCTAGGCCAGTTCGGTGCATCCGGCGGCCTTGTCAGGATCTTCCGCGGCATTGGGTAAGTTCTGCGCTCGGCCGCAGGTGGCTGTTCCGCCAACCACTGCTCGTAGATACGACGCTCTCGTCCTAGCAGAGTCTCATCACGACTCGTTGAGAAGGCTAGTACTTGCCACTCCTTGTACTTGTTGGAGTCCAACCTTGCGTAACCGGTCTCACGCGGTAGTTCGCCATGCGGTACCCAGAGCACCACTGAGTCGTGCTTGGTGCACCGTGCCGCCTTGGCGGTTATATTGGTGAGTCGTACCCACGTCGGCTGCCCCCGGCGAAGCCTCATTACGGTCGGCACTAGCTTGTCCGTGCGCCGTACCCACACATCGTACTCCGAACGAGATAGCCGCTGGCGCGGCAGTCGAAACTCTCGCAACTCGCGACCGGGGACGATTAAATCCTAGGTCGGCCCACTCGAAGGCTGCGTGCCGTAAGGTTCGTCATCCACAACACTCTGCGACTTCAGCAGTGGTACCATGACCTCGTCTGGAAGGCGTGCGGTGCCATAGAACAGATCCAGCCGGATTCCAGCCGGGATTATAAAGGTCATCCCAAGGACCACATCCACTCCGGCACTATGGTCCATTATCCACATTTCATACTCTTAGACCTGCTCCCACCCGAGGGGAATCTTGACGAGCGCCCGTCGCTGGGTCTTCATCACCCCTGGGTTGATGCCGCGGACTTTGAGACTTCGTCCGTGGTCCCGGACTTCCCGCACGCGTAGCCGCTTGGCGAAGCTGGCAGAAAATCACGCTAACAATCACTCCAGTGTCGAGGAGTATCCTCGTTCGTGCGTCGTCCACGGCGCCATTGACCAAAGCTCTCATTCGCTTCCTCTTGTCGTATCGTTGGGACGACCACCACCCCAGTCTCTCGCCGGGCAGTAATTTTACCGCCCGAACGAGACTCCGAGGTGGTTCCCTGATCTGGGCTAGACTTGTAATCAAAGCCTCAGGTCGGGTGTCCATCACGTTCATCATCATCATCTTCATCAATACCAATCTCAACGAGAATTGCGTCTCGGATCTCTCCATTTTCCGTCGGTTTCACAAGTTCATTGTTCTTCAGGTCGTCAGGCCGTTTGCTTTCCCCCATGAACGCGAACAGATAGTCCGCATCAACAGCAGGCTCAGCTAACTGTGGCAGCCCGATTGGGACCAACCCAGTTTCAGTTGGCGGGCTGCCTAGTTTAAGTGACTTCCATACACCAGGCTTTGCAGCTCTGGCGACAGATCCTTCTTGTCGACCTTGGACTTCAGGAGCTTGGTGAGCTCGTGGAGTGCTTCACACTTCCCAGCGTCGTGCACCTGTTTACACAGTTTGCACCGCCGGTAGCAGAAGTGCACCGAGTGGGACGGGCTTCCGCACGCGGCACACGGCCAATACACCTCGTTCGCGGTTGGACGAGCCTCCTCCGTTCCTGAAGCGTCGGTTGTCAGACCGGGCGAACGTTCCATCGGCTGCGGCCCTGCGCTCAGCGTCGTTAGCGGCAGGGACATGTCGAGCAAACTCGTCCGAGTCGTAATCGGTGTCTGAATCCTCGTCCGAGCGTTGGTCGTCCGAGTACTGGCGCTCGTCCTCGAAGTAATCCTCGTTCGCCTCAGCATCACGTCGGGGGGCGTACGAAGCCTCGTTGCGTACACCGACCGAGCCTCTGATGTTCCATTCCGCCATCACATCGGCAAGTGTGTCGACCAAATTCACAGCGGTGACCTGTCACGTCGGTCACGGCGGCGGACGTTGTCACGTTAACGTCGTTCGCGGTGGTAGCCACTATGAGAATCATGGTTCGAGCTTGCGTCGCGACGGCGAGTGACATCTTCACTCCGAGAGCGGCGTAACGACGTAACGACGATTCGCGAGTGACGTAACGACGATTCGCGAGTTGACTTGCGGTCGCGGTGACGCAGAATGTCATTAATCATGTCTTCGAGGTCATGAATGCCCTTGACCATGACATGACACAGACGCTCTTCTAAATCTCGGTCGTCGCACGTAACCAAGAAGTGTTCGACGTGGTCCTTCGCGTCACGATCCCCGTGCTCAAAGTGCACCCCGGCGTTGCGAGCGTAGCCGTTGAGCCGGTTGAGGTAGTCACATACATGCTCTTTGTTCTCTCGTTTGGCTGAGTAGTACCGAGCCTTTGCAGACTGGGAGAACTTCGAGCGGTAGTACTTAATGAATGCCTCGCACAGCAGTTTCCACGTGCGTCTCGTCTTGCGTGGAAGCTGGCGGAACCAATACAAAGCCCCATCTCTGAGCTTGAGTTCGAACGGCATGCACCACTCGTTGGGCGGCGCAGGTGTCCCCCTCATCTCGTAGACGAACGTTCGGAGCCACTGCATGGAGTGCTCGCTCTTGTCGCGCGTCCCGAAGAACGATTTGATGTTGCACAGAGGTAGATGCGTGGTAATCTCGAGCTTCGGGGTTGAGCTCTGATTGTCAGTCGCGCTCAGTCCGCGCACCTGACGAGCCAATTCGCTTGGCAGGTCGACCACGTAACAGTCGGACCCGAGATCATCGTCACTGTCTGACGAGTCATCTGGGAGGTCGTAACGGCGGCTTGACCGGCGACCGGTTGCCCCGCGCGTACCAGGCGTTGCGGACGAAACCTCGGTCTCCCTAGCCAGACGTTCACTACCGACCGTAGATCGTGGGGTTATCATGTGCGAGTCTTGCATGTAATGCGAAGCATCTCCCTTGACTGCGAAGACTCCGTCATCCGTGGCTGCCTTCCGAGGGGTCGCTGGTAGCGGGACCTTGGAGGGGTCAACCGCTCCCGGGGCCGAACGAAGCTTCGTTGAGCCTCGGTCTACCACCCCAAGGTCTCACGAAACTTCTTCCTCCATTTGGTAAGAGCCATGGCGGCGGTGGTTGGCGTCCAGCTCGCGAGTGCAGCCTCTGTCAGGAGAATCTGGGGCTCGCACCCCATTGCACGCAGGAGGTCCACAGTGTTCTGAGCGACCTGCCGAGTGCTCGTTGAGTTGATCGGCGTTGCCAAAGCCCCTCCGAGGTCCGTCCAGATGGACTGGCGGACCTGCTTCGGGGAGAACAACTGCATCCACTCACTTTTGGCCTTCATCAGCTCCAGGCATCGGCCTAGAACCTTGTTGGCCGCCGGCGTATCGCCGTTGAGGGCAGGACGAGTGCCAACCGGCTTGGAGGTTGCCCCTCCAACCGTCACCGAGGCTTTGAAACCCTCGGTCGTACTGTCATCCGCGTCGCCGACGGGTCGGGGCCCGGCATGTCGTAGAACGTTTCGGAGCGGTCGCGGGTGATCGACCTCGATCCTCCACTGCGGCCAGCCGACACAACCGCGGCTTCCGAAGTCTCGGACATCACAGTCCTGACATCCCTGTCATCATCTTCGTCATCTTCTTTGGCGTCCGTGGAATCAATCGCCGTGTCGCAGCTCGCCGAACGCTCGTCGATCGACTCCATCCAATCAGTCGCTGGGGTCGAGAACGAGCGTCCGGAGCACACCGAAGCCTCGTTGCGCGTTCCACTCGACTTGACCGGGGTTGCTGGTACCGCTGACTTGACCCCCCTTCGCCATCTTCTCACTTCGTCTTCTTCTTCGCTTCTCTTCTTCATCTTCTTGCTCGTTGGGGTAATAACCTAGAACAACCCAAATACACAGAAGGTCGCACCAATCCCGGGTCGCGGCACCAGTTGTGGTGTGGTAATACCACTAAAATTCTCTTCTACCAAAACGTATTAGAGACACCAACAATACGCTAACCCGCAAAGGTAAGCGCTTATTGGATCAAAACCTGGAGGCCAGGAACGATCCCTTACACCGGGTCCGTTGCAAGCGTCTCTGTGCACCTTAGGTTATCTTTGGTCAACCCAAAAACCTGTACCACTAGCCACGAGCTAAGGCTAGGATACTATGTAGCGCTTTCGCGCAACCCCACTGCAGTCCCTCAGAAAGGAAGGATACCGGCATGTTAGGCCTTATACAGGGGGACCAAGGTAAAACCTCGGTAGGTAGACTAATACACTCAGGGACACTCTAATCCCACAAATATATACTGAACGATACTCTAATACCGTTCCTGCCTCTCCAGCCACGCCAACTCTTGGCGCTGCCAAGGAAACTCTCGGTCAATGCACGATAAGCTCTCCGACAGGCATCCACACGCAGCCGAGCGTGTCCAGGCACTACAATAAGCTAGCACCACTTACCGAAGTCGGACTTGACCCTTGTTGGCTTTGGGGGAAGACTGTCTTTTTATTACTGAGTTTTCTGAGGCCTTGGGGGCCTCGTTCTGGTCATCCTATGATGAGCCCTATGTCCCTATACAAATATCTAGTGTGAACGACGGCAATGAGGCGATCCAGGACACATCAAATGACGACCGCGGCTACACTAATAAGAGCGGCCGAAGTACGTAACTAAATGCATCTGTACCAAAACGTAGGCACCATGAAGCCTCGGTCGGGGTTGTATTAGGACCCGACGAGGCTCCGGCCACTAACCGTCACTCTAACGAGGATAATGTCGTCAGCTAAACCAAAACAGTCACTTCCATCTCGCACTTGGCTGCTCCTTGATTGTACCTTGATTCTTGGGCGACGGGCAATCGCTCCAGTAATCTCCATTTTCCGATACCACATCAGCTAGAGCACCTCCAGCAGAGGATGGCGACGGCCGCGGCGCCCCAAGCGCCCGCTTCGTCATCCGACGCGGGAACAAGGCCCAAGCCGCTCATGTTGAGCGTGAAGACCTTCGAAGGCAAGGAGGGTGAAAGCTTGATGCTTTGGACCCGTGAGGTTGAGGTGGCTATGAGCTCAGCTCTACTCCGGACGGAGTCGCAGCGCGTGGCACTAGCTATCTCGAAGCTTGGTGGGCGGGCGAGAGAGTGGGCGCTAACGTCCGGGACGTCGGTCGAGGTGGCCTTCCCGACGTGGGACCAGCTGAAACAGCAATTGTCCCGAGTGTTTGATCCGCCTAGCGAGGCGTATCGCGTGCGCTCACGCTTCCTGGCTACTCGGCAGAGCACGAAGGCGTCGGTGGACTACGTCCAAGAGCTGAGAATTCTCATTGCAGGGATGTCTGCTGACCCATTGCCGGAGGCAGTCACCGTTACGGTGTTCATGGAGGGCCTTCGCACTGGCGTTGCCCGGACGGAGGTGTTTCGAACCCATCCAAGCTCTTTTAAAGAGGCTGTGAGCGTCGCATTGAATGCGGAACACAACTTTAAGTCGTCGCGACTTGGGTGGAATGCGTCTTACGCTAGCGTGTCGAGTGGTCCGGAACCCATGGACCTCAGCTATGCTGAAGACGAAGAAGACGAGCTTCGTGGTGCTGAGCAGCGTCGCGGTATCCGCAGATGCTTCATCTGTGGTGACACCCGTCACCTCCGTGATGGGTGTCCGCTGCGCCCCCAGCGCCAGGCTTCGTCAAGCGGCTCTTCGAGTTCGAGCCAGGGCTCGGGTTCGTCTCGGGGAAACGAGAAGTCCCAGTAGGCGCGGGGCTGCCTACTGGGGAAGAACTAAGTTCTATTGAGCCTCGGCGAGGTGGAGGTCGACAGGACTTAGCCCCGAAGTGAGCTGTACTCTCTAACACGGAACGTGTATGCAAGCCGGGCTTGCTAGTTGTCCAAGCTTGGGTGAGGGGCTTCACGAAGCCATGGACGATTTTGATTGATTCGGAAGCGTCGGGTAACTACGCCCGGCGTTCTACGATGGACGGAAGGCATCTTTATGCTGAGGCGCTGACAGCGCGCGGGAGTGACATCGTCACTGTTCGTCTCGCGACGGGCACTCGTGTCACGGTGCCTAAGGTCCCTGTGGACCTGGGCGTGAAGTTCTTGGATTTTGACAGCGTGGAACGCTGTCTGGTCTTACACCTCGATTCGAGATATAATCTCATCCTTGGGATGGCGTGGCTGGAACGCCACGAGCCTTGGATCGATTGGAGGTTGAAGACCCTTGGTGCTACGCACTTCTCTCCTGGCGGAGCATTGGTGAGTCATGAACCCACCTCAGCTAGGAAGCAGAAGCGCTTCTGGCGCGAGCACTGGACCGAGTCGGTCAATGTGCTGGACATCGGAGTTTCCGAGTTGGTGGACACTGAGTGTGTCGAGAACGAGCGTTCTGAGCGTGGCTCGCGGACGGCAGGTGGAGCGACACGAATTCCGCTGAGCGGGTGTGCACCTGAGGGCGACGCCCTGCTGTATTCAAGTGAAGACGAGGTCGGCATGAAACCGAGGAGCCATGGGGCGCGGCCCGGCTGTTGAAGGATGTGGAGCGGCACTAATTCCGCTGAGCGGGCGTGCGTCAGAGGGCGACGCCCTGCTGCGTGCTAGCGAGGGCGCGGTCGGCACAATGGCGAAGAACATGGGGCTTTGCCCGGATGAAGATCGTCGAGTGGCACGTAATCCACTGAGTGGAGGCTGCGGATAGTGCAGCTCTTCGCTGAGTGTCGGTAAAGACACTGTAGCTCCCCAGGAGCTGAACGAGGTGGTGACACCTGGCGTCAAGACGCACGCGAAATCACGGAGCTCTTCAGGGCGGACGGTGTCCATGAAGAGGAGGCAGCGCCGCAAAGCGCTGGCTGCGAGACGCAATGTGTCTGCGATCTCACGAGTCGAGAAGGGCGTGTCGAGCGGTGAGGCTCCACGCGAGAGCGAGCAGCTCTATACACTCGTGAATGGAGTGACGGGCGACGTCGACGGAGGTATCAACCTCGACGACTTGCCCTCACTGTCTGCTCTCCTGGAGCTGGACGAGATGTCCTTGGCCGAGTTCGGCGAAGCCTTGAAGGCTGGAGACTTGGCTGAGGTAGTGGTCATACGACCCGAAGAAGAGTTGAACTCGTCCTCGCCACTGGATGAAGCTGTCCTGGAAGCCACCAAGAAGGCGCTGAATGCGCGGAGCGGATCGGCGATCCTGAAGGACCCGTCGAATCCCTTGTATCAAGTGGTAAAGGATTACCAGGACGTGGTCTCAAAGGAGCCGCCCTCGGGGCTACCTCCGGATCGAGGTGTTCGACACGAAATCGATCTCGTTCCGGGAACGAAGTACTGCGTGACGAGGCAGTGGCCCTTGTCGAAGAAGCAGTGTGACGTCATTGACGCGTTCTTCCGTGCGAAGCACGAGGTGGGCATGGTGCGTGAGAGTATCTCCACACTCTACGCCGACATTCTGTGTCAGAAAGCCGAATGGAAGTGGCGTATCGTGCATGCTTTCAACAAGCTGAATGCCGCTACCATTCCGGCGCAGACGCCGATTCCTCGGAATGATGTTCTTCAGAACAACATGACAGGATGTACGATGTACAGTGCGCTCGACTTGGTCGATGGATATTACCAATTGCTCATGAGGACGAGCGACATTCCTCTCGCTGCGGTGAGTACTCCGAGCGGCATTCTCTGGGAGTGGTTGGTGATGCCCCAAGGGCTTTCGAACGCGCCAGCGACGTTTAATCGTCTTGTGACGCAGCTCCTCAGGCCCCATCGGGCGTACGCGCAAACGAAATTCGATGACATCTTTGTCCACAGTCGTGCTGAGCACGGAAAGACTGATATGGAGAACCATGTGGAGCACCTGCGTGCTGTGCTCGAATGTATGCGTCAAAACAAGTTGTATGTCAACATTGACAAATGCGTCTTCGGAGCGGAAGAGATCCCTTTCTTAGGGTGCTTCATTGAAAAGCGTGGCCTGAGTGCCGACCCAGTCAAGGTCAAGGCCATTGGTGACTGGCCGGTTCCCAAGAACCAGAAGGATCTTCGCAAGTGGCTTGGCTTGGCCAATTACTTGCACAAGTACAGCGAGAACTACGCTGAGATGGCTCGACCACTCTCTAATCTCCTGAAGAAGGATGCGGAGTGGTTTTGGGACACCGAGCATCAAGATGCGTTCGCGGCCATAAAGGACAGTCTCCTTCATGCGCCTATTCTGGATTTGCCAGACCCCGCTCGTCCGTTTAGTACGCCTCGGACTTTGCCATCGGCTGTGCACTGCTGCAAGCAGACGCCGAGGGGCGCGAGCGCGTGGTTGCGTTCGAATCTCGCCAGCTGAAGGCTGCGGAGAATAACTATCCTGTCCATGACAAAGAGCTACTTGCGATGAAGTATGCGCTCGTCAAGTTCAGGGTGCACCTGTTCGGCTCTCAGCCGTTCGTGATTTACACGGATCATACGTCGTTACGCACCGCGACTCAGTCGCCTCACCTCTCGCAAAGGATTGCCCGTTGGCTGTCCTTCTTCGCGGAGTACAACTTCGAGGTGAAGTACAAGCCTGGCAGGCAGAATGTCCTTGCGGACGCTCTCTCACACAGGCCGGATTATGAGCTGGCTCATGTAACGACCGTGACTTCGTCATTACCGGATTTGATCCGAACGGCTTATGCCAAGGACGACACCTGTGTCGCGTTGCTGAATGCTCTGGGGAGCAAGGAGTTTCAAGACTCGGACATGGAATTGTCAGCGCGGCTGCGCGCGTGACTACACCGCTATTCCCTCGATGGCGGCCTGTTGTTCTACAACACTGGCCCCGAGGATACGCCCCGCGTGGTCATCCCTCATGACGAGGATCTGAAGTACCGCATTCTCTCTGAGGCACACGACACGCCGCTGGCCGGCCATCTACAGCTCGGTGAGCACCCACTACTGGTGGCCGAAGCTGTACAAGTGGACGAGCACTTATGTGCGCACGTGTGAGACGTGTCAGCGAGTGAAGTCGTCACCTCATGCTGCAGCGCCGTTCGCGAGTTTGCCTGTCTCTTCGGGCTGTTGGAAATCCATGAGTATGGACTTTGTGTTTGGCCTGCCGACGGACGCGGTGGGCAACACTGGAGTCGTGGTCTTCGTGGACCGACTGAGCAAGATGGCTCACATTGCGGCTGTGCCGGACACCATCGATGGTAAAGGTACAGCAACGCTGTTCTTGGACCGAGTGTTTCGACAACAAGGACTCCCTGAGTCGATTGTCTCGGACCGAGACCCCCGCTTCACGGGAAACTTCTGGAGCGCGGTCTTTGCGGTGCTTGGCACCAAGCTCGACATGTCCACGGCGGACCATCCACAGACCGATGGTCAGACAGAGCGCGTGAATCGCGTCGTCGAGGACGTGCTGCGCAGCATTTGCGCTGAGACGCCGAAGCACTGGAGCGCCATGCTGCCACTCGTTGAGGTTACGTCGAACAACGCCGTGCACGCCTCGACAGGCTACACGCCGTACTACATGAACAGCTTGTCTCATCCCCGCGTCCCGCTGACGCCGCCACGTGGTGACCTCGGGCTTGGTGGGGGAGGAGAAGCCGACTTAGCTGATCGGCTAGCCGATGTCAGCCCGGCTACTGTTCGTAAACAGTTGACGCTTTCTTGTCGACGCGTCTGAGTGTCGTACGACATGCGCGTAACGCAATGGCTGAAAGCCAAGACAAGCAAAAGGAACATGCAGATGCCAGAGGCAAAGGCAATGTTAAAGTTATGAGGTCGGGGACCTGGTGCTGCTTAACGCTAAGAACCTACCTACACATGCAGTGTCAGCCGACTTCAAGATGAAGTTGCGCCCGCGCTTCATCGGACCTTTCAAGGTTGTGGCCAAGAAGGGCCTTGCGTACACGCTCAATCTTCCGAAGAATATGCGGACGCACTCCGTCTTCTACGTGGGCTTGCTCAAGCTGTACCAGGACCCGATGCGGGTGCAGATGGAGGCACCGAGTGTGACGAGGTCACACGCGCGGAGGTCGCGGTCGTCGAGGACGCAGTCGCAGGCGTCGAGGACGTGGCCATCAACGCGGACACCGCAGGCACAGGCGGAAGAATCGGCCCCGGAGGTGCCGCGGGCACAGCGAGAGCCGCTAGTGCAGGAGGCGCAGCAGTCGGAGCCTGCATGCGGGCCAGGAGGTCGAGCTGACCCTGAAGCACAGCCTGCTGACGCTGTAGCTCCCCGAGCTCCCGGCCACGCTGCTCATCGCGGTCGCGATACTATCGCACCCAGCCCCAAGGTGGTCCCAGACCTCTCGAGGCACCTCGATCCATCGGGTCCGCTCGGCGAGCTCGTCGAGTTCGGTGGCAGTCCGGCCCAGACGCGCATCAATGTCATGGATGTGATCCCGAAGGCGGCTCGCCTGCTGCCGCGCCTCCAAGAGCTCATTTTGAGTCGCAAAGGGGCCCCCAGCGGCCTCCACCGACTCTGCTCGATGAGCATGGGAATCTGCATTACCATGTGGAGCGCCTCCTGGCGAAGCGGCGGTGCCGGGATCAAAACCAGTATCTGGTGAAATGGCGAGGGTACCCTCACTCCGAGAACTCATGGGAGTTTGAGGTACCCCTCCGCCAAGACTGCCCAGACGTCGTGGATGCTTTTGATCAGCTTGATCGCCAGCGCCCCGAGGTCTCAAGGCCGGCACGCCGGCCGTCCCGCGCTTCCCGGCAATTAGCTGGGGAGCTGCTGGGTCAGCCACATTGCTCCGAGGCTGACCTTGAGCCGCAGCGCTTACCCCCTCGCCGGAAGGAGCGGCTGGAGTGCTCGAAGGAGTGAAGCGCGCAGCGCTAAACTGGGTCTGCGGCTGTGTCTGCGGCTGGGCGAGTGCCGAGAGGCTGCGCTTGGCTCGGACCTTCGCGAAATCGAAGCGGAGCTTGCGTTCAATGCGAACATCCACTTCACTGAAGCTTGCTCGGAGAGCATCCATGGAGCTGAGCTTCCGGCTGTGCTCGGCCCAAGACTCGAACTGAGCTTCGTACTTAATTGAGTCTTTCCCCGGCTAAGTACCACCGGGTACGTCCGCATGGCGGGCACGGACTTCTGCTGGGATTGCAGCCGCAGCCTCTCGCGATACTCCGCGACAGTCGTAGACTGTGGAGTGAGGAGCCGCTCTCGCAGGGACGTACGCAGTGTGAGCTCCTCCGGAGTACGGGCCGCGGGCCCAATGGTGTGTAGTGCGGGAGACTGCTGGAACGCCTGACGACAAGCCTCCGCGGGGTCGCGAGGCCGGAAGCCGTAGTCGGCAGTGCTGGGGTTCGCCAGATGAACGGATGGTGCTCAGAATACTAGTCGGATTGGATGGATAAGAGCTGCCGGGAAGCCTTGATTGCACAGATCGTCATGGCACCTCTTACCACCACCTACTCCACTTACGCAGTTACAGCTGTAAGCATTGTTCCGAGAGTTCTTATTCTAAATCTTACTTTCTCCGTAATGTGTGTCAGATTCGGTACACGCTGTAAATTTGCAAGACATAACGACTTTCGCAGTTTTTATACCTAAAAGTAGTTGTATCGCACATTGATTAGTTCGATCATGAATACAATGTTTTACCATTTCTTGTTCAGCTTCAGACCATTTTGAATTCCTAGCGTCTGCACATGTCGTAGCCTAATCTGCCCCGAGTTTTCTTCAATGTAGACACGACACTCCACACGCACTCTGTCCTCTTCTTTCCAGACCTTGGACCAGGTCTTGACAGCTTCTTCACTTCCTCCGGCGGCTCCAGCTGAGAGCCGCACAACCAGGTATCCATGGCTCCTCGCCCTAGAGTAGCCCCGTGAGTTGGCTCGGTTTGAGTCTGTCTTGATCCATGGTTCACGCTCTGCGCCCTGGGACTTCCGCGCACCACGCCCGATCTACAAATGTAAGGCGGGCACCAAACAATCCACGCCAAATGTTGGGCCGAATCCCAACCAGTCGCACGATCGCTCCACAACCAACGGAAAGGATCTTCCTCCCCGGTCAAAATGAAATACACACCGAGAGACGCTCCCAAGTGTCGGTTCGACGCGTAACGATATGAAATAGCCAAACGGAGCCCTCCTCACACCCAGGGGTACCGAATCGGTCTATATGGGGCCTTGAATTTCACTGGAGGCGCTCCTGGACACCCGCGACCACAAAAAATCCAAACACGTGCGTCTTTCGGGGCAAATTCGACTCTGATTGCAATCTTACACATGCATCATGGACCTATCAAGTGGGGGCGCAAAACGCCCTTCGGAAACACTAAAACAACAGTGATAAGACTGTCTTGAGAGCTGCCAGCAACGCGCAGTCGCGTGCGGCGCTTCAACATGAGCTCAGCGATGATTGGCCTAAACTCGGATGCGTCCAGCAGAATCCAGCGGCTCTGGGCGTAAACACCGCCGGCAACCCAGATCCCGGGCTTGTAATTGGCCGCATGGGGTGCGTCATCAGGGTGCAACGGGAGACGTCAGAGCTGATTTGTCTGCAATCACGGGATGGCGTGACCTGACACGGCGACCCTCCACAGCGACCCGACGCGAGCACAACTTCAACCGCACTCTGAGCCTCCAAGGCTCTGCTGGACCTTGAACTTAAAGTGTACACCAGCGTCCGACAAATCCAGCCATGTTTAGCGAAGTCCAGCAAGCTCAGGCTGAACCTCCTCGGAGTCCAGGGAAAGCTTACTCGCTGAGCCGTCAGAGGCTTAGCCGACGCACATCTGGACCTTCGAAAGTTCGGCAATGACGCAGCACGGGCTGCTCGACCCCGGGCCACTTCGGCTGGACTTCAGCGATGCAGCAAGCAAGTGGTAGAAGCCTCACACAGTCCGAGTACGCACGCAGCCGGCCTCACGCCTTGCTAGCACCAGTGATCAGCGCGCGGAGTCTGGACGTTACAACGTTCCGCAAGCACAGCGCCAACACCCCAGGACTTCGATCGACTCCGGTAGCCGTTCATCTGAGCCTCGGCAACGTCTGCACTTCACATCTGAACCTGGCGATCGTCGGCCAACAACCTCAGCAGCCCTATTGCTACCGTATCCGTATCCCATACGCGTGTTCTACTTCGAAGTTGCACTTGGGCAACAGCTCCAAACGCCAAGCGCTCCACCAGGTTCTCCATCACCGATGTCGTCCGACGTCGACCATGGTTGAGACTGAATCACTGCGTCCTAGACCAAGCATGTCAAAGGCAGTCGACCGACGCCAAAATCTGAACGGACTTCGTCACATGCGCCCCTTCGCCCAGTCGAATCACTTCACATCATTTTGGCCGAAATCCACAATCCAATCGTTGCACACCAAGCAACCTTCGCTCGCGCGCACGCTGATGCTAACGATCCCGATGAGCGAGCTCGCGCCCCCAGGTACGACGCCGACGCCTCCAGTGCGCCCTCCGGCTGGCGCTTCGGCTGCTGCGGGCGCTGCAACAGGAGATTGGAGCGACGTAGCCATGGAGCGTGCTGACGGCAACCCGGACCGCGAGGTGGTGGACCCAGCTGACGAGGAGCTCGGCGACCAGGACGAATAGGAGGCGGAGGAAGAAGAGGAGGACATGGAGAGCGACAGCGGCGCCTTGAAAGCTCCCGCTGGCGCGACGAACCCAGATTCAGGGCAACATCCAGTCGATTCGGGTGAAGAAGCACGGGCTAGCCCTGGACCGAACAACCAGAGTCGTCGTGACATTTCGGAGGCAGCCGTACACTTGCTCTCTCTCAATGACGTACTGGAGGAAACCCAGGTGATATAGAAAGACATGGATCAAAGAGGTGAAGACATCTCGGTCTTGGTGGCGGCAAGCGCCAACTTTGAGCTCGAATATCTTGGCCGATATGCCAAACTAGACAGAGTGGCTACCCTCACATTAAATGACTAGCGTGGATCTTTATCCCCAGTCGACCCTCTTGCTAGGACAAACGGGAGGACAAAATCGGCTTTTTACTTGATTTCAGTATAGTGTACCACAAATTTTGTCCAAGACGGACCGGTAGGACAAAATTATGGTACACTATACTTTACTTCCGTGAATTTCGGATTTGTCCTAGCATTTTTTCGGTTTGTCCTAGCAAAGTGCCCGACTGGGGTTATAAGGGTAATGCGACCGGTTTCCGGCCACCTAATTTTGATATAAATTTGCTTTTCAATGGCAACGTCAATTTCGGATCGGAAACCGTAATCATAAAGCTCAGAAGCTCAGCTTTCTCACGTGCAATCTATCTCTTGGTGGGGTGAGACATGTGCGCAAGATCGACGGGTGAAAAGTATGCTTCGATTCGAGATTATTTTCAATCGCCTCCCTTTTTCCGGTCAACAGTCGATAAAAACAGCAAATCAAACCGAATCAGATGATCCATAATCTGCAGGAGCTAACGTTGGCAACGATTTCCATCGAATGAACCTTCTCAGGGAAAGAATTGACAGGACTACTGGTACGAGTAATGTCTTGGAAATCTATACATACCCTTGGATAGCAAAAATGCTTTCGGTGCTGAGTTGTGGTCAACTATTCCAGGCGCCTCCAGGATACCCTCGGGCTTCACCTTAGTCTAGTTTAGAGAAAACATATGATCTGCATATGTGCTGCATGTTGCTTGCTCCTGGCCCACTTATCCCATTTACTATGGAAAATCTAGGAGCCCCTTCAGCTCGTGCTATCGGCCTCGATTCTTGTCTGACGATAGCCAAACTTGGATGCAGAGTTAGCTCTAGACATATTTAGCATTGATACCAGCCCAAACGGTCTAATCCCCCTTCTAGTATTGCAGTTTTGCTTTCTCTGATTGTGGCCGGAATTAGGAAGCGGGCGGGAAATTGTTCAGTTACCCTTATATTAACTCTTTCGCTACCGAATCACCATCTTATGGACATCCAATTGAATCCATATTTTGACCAATAAGATTGTTTATTTCTTTGTAGAGCGACAAGGATGAATACACACTATAGTACCGATATTATGTGGAAACAGTCAGTCGTGTATTTGCTTGTAAAATACGTTGTGGCTGTAGTGCTCATACTCGCTCATTCAGCCCCACAGCGAGCGATCATGATTTGCGACAAATGCCACGAGGATCCGTGCGACTGGGAGCGGTATGGAAGCGAGCTCTGTGAGAGCAGAAGCCGCCTGCTCCACCGAGTTCCACACCCCAGACGCCTCAATAAAACGCTCTACCAGCTCTACTTCTATCTGAAGTATGGTCGGCTTGACGCTGATCCAACAAACTGGCAGCAACCCCTTTGCATCAGACGAAATATCTCACGCCGGTACCATACATGGACTTAAGTACTAGTATTTACATTTATTTGAACTAACTAGTTTTGATGTCGCCAGCAAACAACGGGTAACTCGCGCGACCTCTACTGATCGACCCATTCATCTACATTGAAATTCGAAATTCGAAATACTACGAGAAGTCAATAAAAACCAATCGTACCCTACTCAGATCATCAGACTTAGCACTCATCTTCTTCTTTGCCGTTGCATACATCCTGCCGGCGACACGGGCGTCCGGGCCGCCGTCTCCGTCGTGGCTTCGCTTGACCTACACGCGCAAGTAGAAGCCCACGGGCACCAACAGCGTCTCAACCGTCATCACCATCACGAGCGCGTTTTGCGCGGACGCCTGCATGCGAACGCACACATTTCGTCGTTCGCAGGCCGGAACGCCAGCAACGCTGGCTGAGCCAGCTGGATCACGCTCACATCCTTCGAAGCGCCGGCGGTCACTATATACACAGGTCGACGTCCAAGCGGACGTCTGGATCGCCGTCTTCTCCGACCCGTACATCTCACACGTGACGCAGCCCTTGGTTCTCCATCGTCGCCAGCGCCGCCACCTTCGCCACCACCAGGAGAACGTCTGTGGGGACGCCTGCACACGAACGCGACGCGCGCACCGTCGAGACCAACTCACACATTTCGTCGTTCGCAGCACGCAACGCCAGCAACGCTGGCTGAGCCAGCTGGACTTGCTATTGTGATCACCACGCATTTTGCCTATTTCCAATGTTATTGTGCCTTGCAAAATTTTTGGCAATTCCGATGCTCAGAAGTCAGATATATCGGGTCAGATGTAATTTTCAGCTCAGAGATAAAGACGAGGGACCCCAGGTGGAGGTGGGATTTAGCTGGTTAAACCTCGGTCGAGTTGACCATACAGGTCGGAATTGCTGTTTTAAATCGGCCAAAATGACTACCCTCCAGCTATATCGGATGCTGCCCTGGCGGCCGTCGTTATATCGGATGTCGCCCTCCTTGCCGACTCCGTGTCGACTTCGGCGCTACTACACACCAGGACAATTGTCGGACCGGTGGGGCAAGCTCCAGGTCTTGTTTCGGCAGCTACGCATGAGCGGATCCGCGTCGCTCAGGCGCTGGTACACGAGAGATACCGTCGTTCACGACGAGCAAGAGAAAACAATGACAGGCTCAGGCGAACAGGAGTGACGTATGCAGAAGAAACTTACTAGTAGTAAAAGAAGGCTTTACATGGGCAAATACCACATCATTTTGCTCTAAGAACACCCTTCAGCACTGAGCCGTAGATGAGTTCGAATACGTTCTTGTAGTTGATGGTCCAGACGGCGCTGCAGGCGATGGCCTTGGATAACAGCTCCTCGACGTCGTCCGTTATCAGCGTGTTCTTCTCGCCCTTGGACGCGTGCTGCACCGACTGCTGAATCTTGCCGATCTCCGTGACCACGCCGTGGCCTAGGCCATTGACCACGACCGTGGCAGCGACCCTCATGTTGGTCTAGCCCTAAATGAAGTTATCCGTGCCTTGCAGCAGCACGTCGACGTCCTTGTTGACCCACGTGGACTCGCCCTTCACCTGCAGTGGGTGGCCGTCGTCTTCACGGACAGCAGGCGCAGATCTCCACAGACCTTGTTCTCCATGCGCGCGCAGGAAGTGCTGTCGGGCATAACGTGCACGTTCTCGGACTGCAGGTCCTTGAACATGGTCGGAGAGAAGCTCCTGGTGTCACAGTAGCGTTACTTCGCAGCATGCTTGTAGCGCAAGTTGTGGTCTTTTGTGCTGTTGAATGCAAAAGCGATAGTGTATTGAATGCAGCTTCGCGAAGCTCCTGCCTGTTGGTTTCTAGAACGACTGTTAGCATGGCGACTCCTGGCAAGGATCGCATGCGTCCGTTGTAGATCCTGCGTCCGTTGTGGATTCAAGTCTGAAACTTCTCCACACAAGTCAGCACCTTGGTAGTTTACGTAAGAAGCAGATTACACCTTACCTAAGTAGGGTGGCTGGGGATCGGCCCTGCTGCGGGCGCACGACTTGTGCTGGGAGCTGGCGCAGTCGCAGCCGCGCGGCTGGTACAGGGGGTTCGTGGTGAGGTCGGCGATTCGAAGTAGCTGGCTGGCTGGCAAGCACGGACTCAGAGATCCGATTTAAAAAACTCGGGAATGGCAAAACAGAGGGGTGGCGTCCGATATATTTAAATCTAACCCTATCAACGTCGGATTTATCATTTCCGACCACTACGATATCCGAGGTAAACTGAAGGGCAAAGTAACTGCAAGGCACAATTAAACGACCGAGATTAGGAGATTTATGCTTTATATACCCCGAATTATTATATGTATATTTATTGTGCTTTGCAATGATTTTGTCAATATGTTGCTGTATTTATAGTGATCACCTGCTAGATTTACGATAAATCGAGGTGCATAAATGAGTGGAGGCCTAGAATTACGCTAAAAGCGCCACAATTGCACTTTTGAAAGTGCAATTGTGGCTGTGCAGCTGCAATTCTGTCGGTTTTTATCCACAAGCACCTACACACACGGCAATTATGCATAAGAGGGTGGATGTGCTGGGGATCATGGACGGTGGTTTACTGGGCCAATGCATGGCTGCTGACAGGCCCTCCCAAGTATATGAGGGGGTGGATTTATATAATCTTAGCAGGTCGTGTATCTTCTTTCACACATATTTAGGAGCAGGCTTTGCCATACTTAGCGTCTAAAATGGTCGGCAAAATAACTGCAAAGCACAATAATACCTCTCCTTACTCCTTATTACCCCGAGCAGGTTCGTATATGTCGACTACGATTTGGCGAACTCAAATCCCTTGAGAACGGGTAATATCGAGGCAGCCAAAATGCGTGGTGAGCACAATAGAAGTAAGTAGCTTAGATTTAAATGTCAATCTTTTGGACCTTCCCCGAAAACCAGCGGTTTGAAATCTGGACTTCTGAGTCCCCCAGAGTTATGTAGGATATTGCTCGTTGTTAGTACTCGAGTATGTGAACTACAATTATTATTTTGCATACCAATTAATTATCACTATTGATAATATCTTTACGTGGTTAGCTAGCCCACGTTGTTTGCTAGTCTAAAATTACAGTAAATATGAACCCTTCAAGAACCAGAACGGGCATTCACCAAGTCTATCAGTATTAAACAAACAAGAGTACGATGATAACGGAGCCCAGGGGCGGATCTACATACAAACTAGTCCCCCCCCCGTATTTATGAGCTGTCGGATCGACTTACTCCCCTATTTTTGAGCCGCGGATAGACTTACCCCCCCCCCCTATTTTTGGCCCCCCCCCCCTCAGATTTTGGTTCTGGGTCCGCCCCTGTCGGAGCCTGTTTCGCCCGCCGCGTTGACTCAATCCAAGACAATTCGGAAATCTAAAATAATATGATTGTACAACGCATAGCATCGTGTTCTATGGGTCATGGAGGAGATAACGTAGGAGGAATCAAAAATCGATGTGAAGGAGCGATCAAACGATACTCGTTAAGGACTGGTGTTTGAGTAAAATTAGCGTAAAATATATTAGTGACATTTCCGGTAGTGTCCGCAATACGTCTATGCGGACTTCGCATAGACGTTGATTATCAAACACGAGCGTTGACAAGATCTTTGTCAGTGTATTTCAGCCATCTATCAAGTTGAATATAACGTTTTTAACGTTTACCTCTTGCAGTTTGGCTGAATAAGCACACTACACAAGTACTATTGTTACTGTATTGTATTGTGAACGTTAGTGCGCCTTACGCTCAGGGAATAAGTGATCTACACTCTCCAAACGGGGTCCACATACACTACCCCTAGTAGTGGGCGGCCACTAATTGAGCTCCTACTGTCTTCACCGTCACGATCAGCATACGTCGGCACTGAATGGCTCCCCCTTCGCGGAGACGCGCTAAGCCTTGGTGGCGGCGTGTCCGCTGCTTCCGTCCCCCACATCGGTCTTGTAGTCTTGGTTCAGCTAGGTACGCGTCGAGATCTTAGCCCAGAGACACTTGCCTCACATCCTTGACCGTGAAAGACTGAGGGCGCCGCGGCGGAGCCGCACTAGCGACCCCGAGAACGACACCGCTCCCTGGGAGGGCGTCACCCCAACCCGTCCAGGATATTGTTACTGTAGTATCCAAACTGTGCTACACTATTACATTCGCTACGATTTTGGGAATTTTAGTCGGGTAAGCAGGGCCGGAGCCAGAGCAAAATTAGAGGGGGGCTAGCGAGGGTTAGTGGTTGAGGCGCTGGAAGTGAACCTAACCGAAGAAACATCTCTTCGCGGTGGTTTCTGTCAGCTTCATTCTCTATTCAAGGGCCTTTGGGCCCTACGCTATCCTAGCCTGAGAGGTGTCATCATGCCGAAGAAAAAGCTGAAGACCGCCAAGCTTACAACCTTCTTTGAGGTCCGAGACCGCGTAGAGAGCAGAGAGCAGAGAGGCCACGACCCGCGAGAGTACGCGCAAGGCCGTCCCCGCTGCGATCCCTCAAGACGAAGCTGCCAGCTTGTGGTATGCTGAAAATAATATACCCTAAGATCCTCGCGATTGCAGTGTCCATGACTTTGTGCGTGGAGATCCTGCGGATCGGCCTCCCAACTTGTTTGTCATACCTCAACTTGTAGCAGACACAAATCTCCGTCACCGAGTGCTTGTTGCCTATACGAAAATGGGATCATTTCGACCAGTACTTTTCGAGTATCCCTTGTCCACCTTTGGTGGGCAAATGCGAACGTTCCAATCGCAATGGTTCGATGGATTTACGTGGCTTGAGTACTCAGTCAAGCGCGATGCTGCTTTTTGTCTCTATTGCTACCTAAGCAGAGAGGTCATCATGGCAGACAAAGGCATTTCTCCTTTTTCGCAACCTTTGTGTGGATTTAAAAATTGGAAGAAGGCGAAGGAAAAAGGCAGCGGATTTTTACGCCACGCTGGAGATGCATGCGCAAAGCATAGATATGCTGTCGCTGCTTTTGACGATTTATTGAACCCGCACAAAGATACAGTCACACCTCTATAAATGACACCCAGTTCGCTCGTCTAATACGCTGTTTCAGTTAAAGAATTGATCAGATAAAGAAATGGCTACACTTCTAATGGCTACATTTTCATATGTTAGGTGCACAATACAAGGGCTTTCTTTACCTGGTACCCCTCCAGCATTTTCGTACTCTTGTTTTGTTTCGTCTTCACACAGACAGAACTTAACCAATAACGGTAGGCGCGGTATTGTCTGTTCCTACTCCTTCTTCTCATTTGGTATTAGCAGAATCGCATCCCCTCAGGTTGTACGTGAGTTTCAATGCAGTGAGGTTATGGGAATATTTGTTGTCCCGATATCCTGCCACCATGCCTGCAGTTTTATCTTTTGCTTGGTATCTACTGCATAGCCCCTAGTTGTCTCGACATCATAATATTTTAGTTTTTCGTAAAATATATATGTACGCTGCGCTGATTGTAAAATACTTTGGCTAGCTTATTTATCAGTATTTACAAAGCTTGCGGTTACTGCAAACTCTTTGTTCCAACTTAGCATCCCAAATAAAATTTCTTTCTTCGCTCGATTTCTTGTGGCGGGAGTAGTGGTGGCCACACCTTCTAGGAGCCCAGGAAGGAGCCGGGCTCTCGGGCTCCCAGCAGAGCTCACTATGTGTAGAAGCGGGGCTCCTGGGCTCGTGTGTTAAATAGGTTAATGGCAACGAGCCCCACGGTACACGGTTAAGGCTCCTCGTTGTATAGATATTTGCCTGTAGATGATTGGCTCGAACCCAAGATTCAGCTCGAACCCAAGGTTCAGTCGGAAGGGGGAGCGACAGAGGCAGATAATCGACACGCATGGTGCTAACAAGGGCTCAAGCTCGCGCCGCAGCCCAGGTACCCCAAGGAGAAGGGGCCCCGCTTGAGATAGTGGAAGGAGTGGTGACTGAAGTACCCGACGCGGAGCAACTGGCAGTTGTTCCTTCTCTCGCTGAAGCTCAGAATGCCCGCGTAGAGTATCAGGTCACGAGGTTGGTCGACAACTTCTGGAGTGAGACGCAAAGACTCGCAGCCGAGACGACAATGCTCCACACCAATCAAGCCCTGCAAGCAGAAGAATATCGTGTAGCTCTTGCCGCTGTTCATGACGATGCTCGCAACAGCGCGGCGCAACTGGCGGCACACCAAGAATGGATCGAAGGTCAGATTCAGCAAGCTCTCGAGCACACCAGGGAGACTTTGCAGCAGGAGCTTCGTGTCGTTGCAAATGCGCATGCTGCTGGAGATGATTCGACCCGGTTGTATCTGCAAGATCAGCTAAAGCGTACAAGGGAGCACGCTGACCAAGAAGCGCAGGGCGTGAAGCGGATGGTAATTGCACAATCCGCCAGGACGGAGAAGCTAGAGAAGGAAATAAGTTTGGCAGTCTGAAACGCTCATAACACGTTGGCTCAGCGTGTTGAGCGTTTGATATTGACGCAGGAGACTGAGATTGAAGCTAAACTGACCGGCCACGAGAAGCAAATGTGGGAGAGCATGGAGCGACGTGTTGACCTGATATTTCAGCAGATGACATTACGTGTTGTGGAGAATTGTATTGCTGGCTTGGAGGAACGTGGTAGCATCACTGAAAGGAATGCAACGCTACAGCGGGTTCAAGAGATGATTGCTGCGTGTGTGACGGACCAAGAAGCTCGGATGGAGGACAAAGTCACGAGCCTACTGAAGCAAGTTCGTTCAAAGTTAAGCAACGAGATGAAGACAACCTATGAAGTTCGTAGATACCTCATGCTTGATCAGGTACAGCGGTATGCCAAAGCTGAGTCAGATGCCGTGGATTCACGTATGGAAAACCGACTTAGCTCCATGTTGCAAAAAGCACAGGCGGAAAAAATCATCGAATCTCGCCGTCAAGCTGAAGCGACACAAGCTGTTGCGGACAAACTTGAGGGCACCACCGAACGCTTTCACGCCGAAGTAGAAGAGTTGAAGACGCGGATGAAGGAACTATGAGAGGACAAGGCGGCATTTCCCCCTGCACTACCGCGGACACCGCGGACAGGGGATTCGACTGTCGGCAAGTTATCAGACAGCGAAAAGGATATTGCTTCGGCTATTGTTGGCCACTTGAATGATCTAGCGAAGCAACAACAGCGTGCCCAAGATGAGCAGACAGACCGTATTGCAACGTGTGTTCAAGCAGAGCTGCGTCGCGCGTTAACCGTTGCGTCAAGCCCAACCGCTCCTCCAGTCCAACCGGTTTCATCTCGAAATGCCGAAAGCAAGTCAATGCCAAGAAAGCCTAAAGTACTATCTCGACGCAGTGACAAACTTGAACGGACGATCGCCCAAGCCCAAAAAGAAGTCAAGCGCCGTTCAGAGCTAGCGGCACGTCGATTTGATACTGCACTACACGGATGACCACCTAAAGGTGAAGGGAAAGTCGGTGGAAGTTTTGGTAAGGATAAGCGTATTTGGGTTTCATGAGATTTGATCCGCATTTCTAACAATATGTTTATGGAATGCTAACGATGCCCCCGATCGAAAAGCATAACTAGTCTTGCACTGGATGGACATTTTTACCTGCATATCCCACGGATTCCTACTGATACACTTGCGCAGTGCATAATCAACGTACTTGTTTTTATATTCCAGTTGTTGTTTAGCTATTGGGGCCGGGACGTCGCGGGCGCGATGGGTTGCTGCTGTCGTTGCTGTTCGTGGCGCCGGCGATGGACTGTAGCAGCGCAGCCTTAATGTGTGCGGCACTGGCGATATCGGTGTACGTTTTGGGTTAGTATGTGTAGTTTCTGCTGTTATAGTCGACGTCAGTGGTGTCTTCGCCGGCGGTGCTGCTCAATGTGGAGATGCAAGCAAATTCGGTGCTGGAGATAGTGGCGGCGGACGTGTACATGGTGGCGTAGTTGGCGCCGAGACCGGTGTTGGCGGAGCTGCTCACGATGGCGATACCGGTGGCGGCGGCGCCGGAGATGGAGGTGGACGTGGTGGAGGCGGACGTGGACGTGGTGGCGCTGCTGGCGGAGTTGGTGCAGGGACTCGTGTTGGGGGAGCTGCTCACGGCGGAGGTGCCGGCGGGGTTGCCGGAGGGTCGGCGAAGGTGCTTACGGAGCTTTGGCCGGCGTAGTTGAAGACGGAGGTTGCAGCGGAATTGGTGCTGTAAATGCGGCTTTGAGTATTGGAGTAGTTGCAGATGGAAGATATGCAATCGATGTTGGGCAAAATATGTATATTATCGATGATAAAGTTCGCCTTGATGCAAAGTACCTGTGGCGACATTGCCTACGCGACGCTGGATATGACATTTCTTCCTCTTCGACGCTTGCTTGAGAGAATATTTCAACTATCATTTCATCTTGCACATCGTTCGGCGGTGTTGCATCCAACGCGTAGCTCATACAGTCGGGGCGATGATCGTCCAGTTCGTCATCTGGTATCGCTTTGCATTGGGTAATGTCAACATACTCTTCGTTGCGATTCAGAAAAGCACACATGTCGACGTTTTCCTTGGATAGGCTTCCGCGATGCGAAGTCACCATATCACCACATACGCTGAAGTCCCGCTCGATTTGGGCAGAGGAGGCAGGTAAAGCGTACAAAATCTTGGTCAATCTGGGTAAAATGCTGTAGGAACCGCTATGCTCCATTCGCTTCCAGAAATCAAGCACATTTTCGAGCGGCCCCATCGTAGACTGATCGAGCTCCCAGTTTCGAAGCTCTTGACCGACGCGATCCGGCTGGATCGGAACTTGACGAAACGTAGCGCGAGCTCCAAATCGCGCGCGAATCCCACTTAGCGGTGGCTCCGGGTCATCTTCAACAGAGTCGGCAGTCGGAACCGAGCTATTGTCCATAGTTGCAGCGACCTGTTCCGCTAACGCACGCATCCTTGTCGTGATAGCCTCGTTGACACGGTTGACCATCAACGGTATGACATCGTCCTTCGTCTTTTCCTCCTTGTACAGCCGGGTCACTATTGCGTTGAGGGATTTTTCTGGGGTTATATACTCTGGATGCAGTCTCTGTTGCAACTCAAAGATGAACTCTCCATCTTCGAGGTAGGCTTCTTTTGTGTAGCGACAGAAGAAGCGGGAATCAAACGCATCACGCAGCAGTCGTCTCGTTCGAGCTGCCAGCTCCGTTAGATCATCGGCGGCGATCCATTTGAGAGACTTAGGCCTCGATCGGTGGGGCATCGAGAACTAATGTATCCAATCGGAGCTGATACAGCTCCATCAGCACTTCAACTTGATTGGGACTCTCGGCTTGACATATCCGCTTGATGTACGAAATCGGCTTCAACAGTGACATTATTTGCACTAGATCCTCTCGATAGTGCTTCAATGGGAACACCGGTGGTGCTGTTCTCTAACGCGCTGCGAGCCTCCCACGTTCATCATACCAATCGACAAGAGCGTTCCACTTCTCCAGTATTCGTTGGATTGATCCTGCGATGCTTAGGAACCGACCTGCAGTATAACTAAGTATTTACGTGGTAGGCGTGCTGGTCTGCGTCCGACAGAGAGCGGCAAATAGATCTCCGGCCTTTTCAACCGACTGGACGTCAGCAATTGTTTTCTTGATCCGAGTAATTAACCTGGTCATACTTGGATTGCGAGATCTATCAGCATCATTGTTCATTCCGCAAGCTTCCTTGGTCGCAGCGTGAGCCATGTGCGCCATGCACCACTACCATTTTAAGCTCAATTTGTTTCTCAGCAAATTCTTCACGTCTCCTCCGGCATCGCTCGTTGCGCCAAAAATGTCACGTGGTGTCAAGCCAAAATCACCGAGAAGCTGGAGTGTCCAAGCTTTGTATGGACCTTGGATCCCGTGCTCGCGCTCGCCGTAACTCGGTGAGAACCTTCTCACTCCAAGAAGTATAGAACGAAACTCCCAGTTGGAGTCGACAAAGTACACTCGAATGCCCATGAACTTCTTGTGAATAACCGAGCACGTCCAGAAGTCGCTCATAATCACAAAGCTACCAAGCGCCCCCAGCTTGCTATCCAACAGTACGCTCACAATTTCAGATTTCGCGCAGGAATACAGCTCGATAATTGCGTGTGTCACCTTCGCTGCGTTGATAGTAGTCTGAACTTTCTCTTTCTTGAGTAGAGCCTCCACGATTCGCGACTCCTTGTACTCACCAAACCGAAAGGGAAGGTTGTTATTGATAACCGCAGTGCTTCCACGAGCAGCCCAAATCGGCGCGGGTTATTCTTGAATAAAGACGATGAACGCAGGCGCTCGATTTCATTTTCCCGCTTCCGCTTCTCATTTTGTTGAGTCTGCGTCCTCAACGATACTACGTCGTGGACTGACGCGAGGTGACTTGCTGGTTTCGAGGTCCGATTGTAGGAAAGCGTGAAATTTGTGCCTTCGCGTCGGCAGGTTCCGTCTGCCAAGCATATCCAATGACACACAGGGCTTCCGTTCTCGACTACTTCAACGCGGAGTCCCCATTTGTAGATGTAGGAAGTCTCTTTTTCCGACGGTGGCTTCAGTTTCAACCCAGGCATTTCAGGGAAGCTAGCGATAGCGTCCTTCACGGCAGCAGGCGGCTTCTTATTCACCACTTCAACAAAGCGCGAAGTATGCCCTGTATATCGAGTGCGAGGTGGGGCTTGTCCCGTCAAGTCGAACGCTGTAGTCTCAACGACGCTGCGACTGGAGTTCTCGCCCAAGCAAACCGCTGCAGCGGCCGAAATATCGCTGTCCAGGCGCTCAGACATATCCTCGGTAGCAGAGCCGTCTTCTGTAGGTTGAAATGGCGTCGAACGGTGCGAAACGCGCGCGGGGGCTCCTGGTTGGTCCGAATCTGCCCCCGGAGAGGTACGTAGCACAGGGACATCGGCCTCTCTGCTTGGTGTCACAGCGTGCTCTAACCCTCCCGGCGTGAAGGCAGCCGCCGCTGTAGTTGGCGACATTCGGTTGCCAGCCTCTGCTGTCGGCGCCTCATTGTCCTCCAAAGTCGACGCCACGAAGCCCTCTGCAGTCGGTCGCACGTGCTCAGCTTGACCCCCGCGGTCTACAGTGCTCTCGCGCGCTCGCGTTGCCCGTGTCTGCTGAAGACGCTGAAAGAGGCTCGGCCACATAGCGGGAATCGTGCCTTTGGTACAGGCGTCCCCGGGCTAGTCCAGGCTGTATATTTTAATGTACCTCGCACAGGAAGTACAACAAGCTCTCAAGATTTGCGCGCTACTTCTGCAAGCATATTGATTTAGATGAGTGTACAGCGAGACCTACTGCGACAAGTGGCACGTTGCGGGAATATCTCCACCGTATTCTTGAGCTAAGCTTGTAGTAAGTCAGTATATACTCCCGCGTGAATCTTGTTGATTCGCAAACATCATAAGTACCACTGGGGCGAATAGGCCGGGGACGCCTGTAATGAGATCCAAAGACGCTTTGGCGCTGAGCTTCAGCAAGTGTTGAGTCGACAAGAAAGCTTGAAGTCTAGGTTGGATTCTGTATAAACAGCCAATTAGGTCGACAACCTGCGAGCCCTGATAATAAAAATACACTTTTTGGCGAGCCCGCCAACAGCGAGCCTTCACGATGGGCTCCCCTCCCTCGGATTTAATGGAGAGGATCCCGAAGAACGCACCAGCCGGGCTCGCAATTCTAAGCAGAGCCCTGATTTTAAAGTTGACGGGCTCCCTTACCCCTGGGCTCGTAGAAGGCGTGGTAGCAATGGCATACGTGGGAGGAGGCAGGCGTGATTGAGAAAAATATATGAGTTTGGATCTATTACTAAGGCGTCCATTTAGAGGGTTGAGGCGCCAACGATGGCGACCATTTAGATAATAACGAGATTTTAATCAGTTATAGAACACCTATTGTGAAATCCATATACTCCCGTTTGCAGTCGAGGAATCCTAATCAGATAGGGAACACATAGTCAGTTAGAGGGGTTCATTTAGGGAGGTGTCACTGTATCGAGGTTGCGTTGTCAAGTGCAGATCGCAGTCAGCGTCTGATGAACAGGGGTAAGCCAAGGGCTTCCTAAATGCTAGATTCACAATGATATTTGCGTTGGGGGCAGGCTGCACCGCGCAACAGCACATGTACTTACATGGGATGCTTGATATTTATTTTATACCGTCGACCGACATTAGTTTTGTCAACGGCTTGCACTTCTTTTGTCGGTCGACGGTACTTGATGTTACCGTTTGATTAAGCCGATGCTTTGAGTAACATCATGCTACCCATCTCAACTACTTAAGTACCACCGGAGCAGTTTAGTTTGCAGTTTAGTCACCTATCTACGCCCAATACTGCGCTGCTGCAGTCAGGCTCGGTAAACTCCAATTTTCGTAAGAATAATTTACAGTACCAATTTCGTGCAATAAGAAATAGGAAGTCTGGTACAGAAATCTATACAGCTTTAGAATGTGAAAATACATATACTAACTATCGAACCATGCTATTGTATCTAAATTCACTGATGCATGCGTTGAGAAGCGTAGGATATTTGTACGATGATGGTAACCGAGGTAAACTGTCCACATGGGTCTTTTTGCCCGACTTTGAGCTGAAAGTAGTGGCTACATTAGTGGGGTAAAATAAGAAAATAACACAATTGTAAACTGGACAGGGTTGGGTAGAGTCCAAAATATCGTTTTTCATTGCTCTTAGCCCTGGCTGCAGCTTCGCCTACTGTCCAAGACTGCCAGTGATCGCAGGAGCGACCGGTACGAATGACAGGATCGTTGCGTTACTAGAACTAAATCGCACCCCCTGCCTCTCCTCTCGTGATTAGTCATCTACGCGAGGTAGATGACACCATTTTCATCGCTTGAATCCGTACATGTATAAAGATCCTCTAACTTATTTGGTCGTAAGACTGTTTTTGGAAAGTTTTTGTTTTTGTAGCTTGGATTGGGTCCATGAGCAACAAAGTGACAGTAAGCGGAAAGATCGCAATGCTTGCGTTGCAAAACATGTTGAATGGGTTACACTCGCATACTAAATTGCAAACGAGTTTGCACTCAAATTCGTCGCAGCTGATTCAGGTCCGTCAACCTAACTTAGCAGCTTTCTTGGCAACATTTTTAGCCCACCACCTCGAGTAGTAAAGCCAGAACATGTAGTCCCCGTCGTGGAGCAACTGGTTCTTGTTCATCGTCAGCGTCCTCTTCGCAAGGCCCGACATCCTGGACACTTGACGTGGCGTGTATCCCTGTGCATGAATCTGCTTGAACATATCCAGGTATTTATCCGTGTACTTATCGACCTGGCCGACGAGCCACTTATCTTCGGATTTGACGAGAGCCAACTGGTCGTCGACTTTGTTCACGGAAGGCGCGGACTGCGTCATCTTTTTGAAAAAGTTCCGTCCGCCTTCGTACACGAGGGTCACCAACCCTCTATCTTCGCCCTCGAGGTCGTCGTTGTCTTTGGCCTCGCGGATTCTCAAGAATCGTTTGCCAATTCCGGACATATGAACAGCGAGGCCGGTTGCGCTCAACACGCCTGGGGACGCCACCTTGGAGGCTTCAGTAGTTGAGGCAGCATCGGAGCTTGCAAGGATGGCGACTGCAGCAGCAAATAGGATGAAGTGTGCACGCATGGTTGCGAATGGGGACTGGTCCTGGACGCTCGATGGTGAATTGAGAAATGAACAGCAATTCGCAACGTGTTCGGCACGATTCTGTTCACGAGGCTGAGTTGGTACAGTACATGTAGAGGCCATCGCACACTGCTGGACAACAAGGCAGATCAGCAGATCCGTGTTTATGGCTGTCCTGGTGCCAAAATCATAATCACTTTGAAGTGTAATTCAACAAGTAATTACTTGGTACTTATTGTGGTTTTCAACTATTTTGCCGCCCGATTTGACTTGTTATCTCGGAGTCCGATTTATATAAAATGGAGCTCCTGCATAATGGGTTAGTCCAATTTAGCTATATCTGACCTGAGTTAGTAGCATAAGCCTCAGAGGGGAGGCATTCCAAGTTGGCCATACCTCCTCACCTCTCATGACGCATTAGAACTGCAAGACATTGGGGACAATAGTGCACTGTATATAGCCACTTCATAGCACTATGGCCAGCTAAATCACCTGTGTGATCATCTACGGCCGCTACAACCTCGTGCCACGCCGATCTGAGAGAGCCCCAGACATGTTTTCGCGGCGGTCCCTTTTGCCGGCAAAGGCGGCATTTCTGGCCCCTGCTTCGCAACTCGCAGCCCCCAGACGCAAATCGGGCCAGATATAGTTTGCTTTCCTCAGCCCTTCCTGCTAAATCGGAGCCCTCCAGCAAATCGGGCCAGATATATCGGATCTTGGACCACCCGATTTGCCAAAACGGATAAAAGCCACAATACATGTTAACTTAACATGTAACATTGTTAAGTACAAAACTAGATTTACAAACACGCTCCCCAACCTGGCAATCTACGCGTACACGGCATGCGCAAGACATGTATGTATGTAGCACTACTGTATCTCTCTTTGGCTTGCATTGTATTGTCCATGCTATGGACGTGCGTTGCGACATTCTCACTCATCACATCGAACCATAAACACTTTGGTTGAGTTCTGTCCGTGGTAGTTTCTTGCTCCAGAGGATCCTCCGATCATCAAAAGATTTGGGCTGTGCTAAGACGAAACCGAATACTTTTTTTTACTAATATCTGCACAGATACAGTACTTAAGTAATACCGTAGGGGGTTTATACCATGACGAACTGGTCTGCTACCAGACGCATCAAAAGTTGATGCATCAGACGTATGGATACTGCACTAAGCATGTAGTAAAACTTTGCATGCAATACCGCATAAAAATCTCAAGTCGGCTCAGATATACTTGACTAAGATCCCCCCCTCTCCCGCCAGCCAAACTCGTGATACCGGTCAACAGTGCCTACAGTAGCACACCAAGAAGTATAATGGCACTTCAGTGTGCAGGCATGAGTTCTTCGTGCACCATCTCGAGAGTATTCCCATGGGTTCATCATACGAACAGCTGTCCCACGATAATAAGGGCCTGTTTCATTTGAGAATAACTGGAATAAGAATAGCGGGAGTTATTCCTCCCGCTTAATTACGACAAAAAGCGATACAGTAATGTGCGTCAATAAGGGACCGCTGATATGGATAGAAGCAAGGAGGCTATTGGACCAAACAGTGGAGCAAAGTCGGTTCCGTGTACTGGATTAGTGTATTAAAGTAGTTCCAGATGGTTTACTTCCCAGTCAACTCCTGTACATGGTTCATCTAAATCATTACTATCAGCGGGAAACCGGGCTCCTCCCACCCAGCTGTATATTATATGTACAAGGAAATTAGTTCCTACACGTTCCTTATTGACGCACATTACTGTAATCTTATTGGCTAAGAGGTTATTCCAGGGATAAGTTAGTCTGACTTTGAAAGGATAGCTATTCTGAGCGGGCTTTATTCTCCACCTGTTTCGTTTGAATAGCGTAGAATTGTTATTCCGGCTCGGCGCTATTCCCGACTTATTCTCAAATGAAACAGGCCCTAACAGCTCATGCTGTATACAGCACTCGTACATGTACATTATTGTACAGTACGTATCACTTAAAGTAATATCATCATATTATTAATACATGTTCTGTGCTATATGTACAAGCAACAAACTGCCGCCAGCCCTGCATTCTGGGTGAGTTTCTGCCAGGATGCATTAAATGCATTCGTAAATTTCTTCAACAATAAATTGACAAATACTATTGAAATAATGTACTGTAGATCGAAGACATCATATACTACTGTAGTACTTACCTGTTGTTGAATCACCTAATGTTACAATAGGCAGAGAAGCAAAGCGGAAGCACCAAATAGATTCAACAGCGACATGTCCCACTGCACATCGTTCTTCATACGCGTATGGCTCCGGACTGCACGTACAGTACGTACTGTACATGTATTGTGCTTTGCAGACTTTTTGGTACTTCAGACTGTAACTCGTACGACTTATCGAGCACGACTTATCTATAAATCGTACTCGAGTACGAATTGTTGTAAGTCGTGGATGGTCAATCAGCACTAAGTAGTGGCATGATTTAGCACATCCAGCATGGATTAGCATCCTTTTGGCACTTTCCGAAAGTGCCATTTCCGAGCCAAACTGGCTTCGAAACACGACTTGAGCAAGTCGCATTCAAAGCCACTATGATTTACCACTAAGTACGAACACTAACTAGTGCACTAATTAGGAGGGCAAACTGGTTGCAAAGCACAATACACTCCACGACAAAAATATATGGACACCACCAAAAGTGGCTGTAACTTCGTCATTTTTTATCGTTTTAAGGTGCGATTTGGACTAGAGTTGCAGAACACGCTGATAAAGATCTGCACGCTGCTAACACGCGCGCTTTTGCGCTTCTTCAGGTAGCTCACATACAAATCACTGGTTCTGCCCAGGTGACAAAACTTATGGACAGCTAATCCGCATACAAAATCCTATATAAACCAAAACCCCTTACAAATGATACGACTTGGACTTTGTATGGGACGACGAAGGAACCCATGATTTCTCTACTCTACCTTAGTACTGAGCCATATATCATCTACCAACAGTTTAGAATGGAGAAGACAATCGTATATCCAAGAGATAGCAGGTTTGTATGGGACGACGAAGGAACCCATGATTTCTCTACTCTACCTTAGTACTGAGCCATATATCATCTACCAACAGTTTAGAATGGAGAAGACAATCGTATATCCAAGAGATAGCAGGTTTGTATGGGACGACGAAGGAACCCATGATTTCTCTACTCTACCTTAGTACTGAGCCATATATCATCTACCAACAGTTTAGAATGGAGAAGACAATCGTATATCCAAGAGATAGCAGGTTTCATTGTCGCCCCATACAAAGTCCAAGTCGTATCATTTGTAAGGGGTTTTGGTTTATATAGGATTTTGTATGCGGATTAGCTGTCCATAAGTTTTGTCACCTGGGCAGAACCAGTGATTTGTATGTGAGCTACCTGAAGAAGCGCAAAAGCGCGCGTGTTAGCAGCGTGCAGATCTTTATCAGCGTGTTCTGCAACTCTAGTCCAAATCGCACCTTAAAACGATAAAAAATGACGAAGTTACAGCCACTTTTGGTGGTGTCCATATATTTTTGTCGTGGAGTGTACATGTAGTTATGAAGCCGGAGCAAGATGATTCACAAAGGCTTTGTGCTTCATCTTGCTCTCTGCTTTGTGACAAAGCATCCGCTCTTCAAGCTCTTGCGTCCCCAACGCTCTAGCAACAGCAGCACCATAGTTGTCGCTTTGTCGCGTGGACAAAACACAACAGTGCATTCCAGCAACAGAAACTCACTCACACCGATGTAGCCATTATACTGTACCCATTTCTGCGACGTGTGAGCGATTGTCAATTTCTCTAGTAGAGGAACTGTACCAGGGCAGAAAATCTCCCTCTATCAGAACAGCCCAATACGTTATCTCCAAGCAGACCAAGCAGACCTCCCTCCGCTCGGCCGCTGACCATGAACAAGTATCGCGTCCTCTGTCTGCACGGCTACCGCCAGGACGCCCTGAAGCTGCGCGGCCGCATCGCCGCCCTTCGTCGCACGTTCAAGTCCAGCGTCGAGTTCGGTCCGTGGTCTCGAAAATATTGAGTGTGAATGTCAACACATCTCTGATAATGTTTTAATGCGCTGCAGTCTGCCTAGATGCGCCGTTCGACGTGCCCTACCAGCCCACGTCAGAGGAGCACGCCAATAAGTACGAAGCTGTGCGGAAGGTGGAGGCTCTATCAGTGACTGACCACTATTCCTTGTGTATGTACTGTATCATAGTGGCGAGACGGGAGATAACGTCAAGCAGCTCAAGTGGTTCGACTTCATTCGTGATGAGGAGACAGGCCAGTACCTGCTGGAGCGTGTGGACGAGGCTGTGGAGTACGTCGCGAGCTTCGTGAAGAAAGAGGGGCCTTTCGACGGCATCTTCGGCTTCAGCCAGGGCGGTACCATGGCGTCGCTGATTTTGCAGAGACAAGGTCAGTTCGTTGGCATATACATGGCATTTTGGTGTCTTGACTAATTGCTCTCTGTGTGGGTCGGGCGTAGTGAGCACGCCGGAGTCGCCCTTTGAGTTCCGATTCGCCTTCTTCGTTTCGGCAGGGGCTTGTGGCGACCCCAAGTACGCTACCGACGTCAAGGTGGATCTGCCGTCGCTGCATGTTATCGGGGAGACGGATGCTGTGGTGGACAACGAGCGCAGCCTTGCACTCCGCGACCTCTTTGTCGACGCCAAGCTGCTGATGCACCCTGGAGGTCACTACATCCCCACCAACAAGGAGCCCAAGGACGCGTTCCGAGCCTTCTTAAAAGAGCTTCAGGACGCCGATGAAAAGCAGTAGAACGCGGTGCAATAATCCTTCAAACGAGTTGCAATTTTCAGCTGCCGTGTTGCGATGCTGATACGATTCATGGACATTGTGATCGGCATCAAGCATCGAGTTCTGTTAAACATCGTGCTCGTAGAATACGTAACGTTGGAGGAATTGTGTTGCCACAGGCCTTGCTCTATTATCGATGGGGTCTACTTCGAAGTAAGCTTACAGTATCTACTTGGCGTCAAAAGCTGCGGTCATTTCTTTCGCGAATTCTCGAAGAGCGTCCTTCGGCTCCTTGCTGGTAGGGATGTAGTGTCCGCCTGGGTGCACAAAGACCTTTGGATTGCTGTATAGCTCCAGCAACTTCTGGCTTCTGCCCATCGTCACTATTTGGTCGGTCTCGCCCATGATGTGGATCGATGGCACGCCCACCTTCTGTTCCGACTTGTACACGGGATCGCCCAGGTCGCACGAAGCAACAAAAATTGCGAACTTGAATGCGAACGGCGAGTTGTTGGGGTCGGCACCTACGCAAAACGACAAGCAACAATACAGTGAGAACTCAAGCGAAGGGAGAATACCCTTGAGAAACAAACTTACACTGGCGTTGCAGAAGCAGAGAGGCCATCATGCCGCCCTGGCTGAAGCCGAAGATGCCGTCGAAGGGTCCCTCCTTCTTCACAAACTCAGCAAGGTAGTCCACAGCCTCGTCCACGCGGCCGTACGTGTGCTTGCCGGTCTCCTCATCAATCTCGAAGTCCCACCACTTGTACGTGGGTTCGGCCTCAGCGCTGAATCGCAAATGCAAAAGCTGTCATTTCACCGCTCGTGGGCATCAATTCGTTCATCACTCAACACACATTTGCGCCTGCTCTTCCGGCGTCGAGTTCGGGTAGCTGGTTACCAGGAACGGGGCTTGCGGGAAGACTGCCGAGCATACACACAAGTCAGCTCGGTGAAGCGACAGAGTGAGACGTTGAGATGCCACGCACCGAAGTCGAAGCTGGACTTGAGCGCCCGACGCAGCGACGAGATGCGGTTGCGGAACTTGGGTGCGTCCTGACCGAAGCCGTGCAGACACAGAACGCGGAATGTAGTCATCTTTCTCGGAGGGAGTTCAGTTGATGTTCAAAAGCGGAAACGTCAGAAATGCTCGACCACCATCTCAACATGCCCAAGCACATTGGCGTCGGGTTTGTGAAAGTTGCTTCGGTTGATTACAGGGTGTGTGCAAGCATCAGGCTACAGCACTGCTCTTGTCTGATGCGCTATCTGCAGTGCTGCGAGCTGTGCGCGCAGCCGATGGCACGGATTGGACGTTGATGGCTACGTCAGTCCGCTAGCGCCACCGGACGCTTATTCAGTGGCGCGATCTGACTAAAGCACAGAACCCACCCCGAACGGATCATACTTCCTTGAACCGAAGCTCCTCGCCACAGCCTCTGCTTCCTGCGCAGTATCCGAAGACCCCTCCGCATTGTAGAGCCGACATGTTGCGTCTTCGAGTCTTCCAGCTGACTCTGCTACTTGTAGCGGTGCTGTTGCAGCTCTCCGTCGGCGCCAAAGACACCGAGGGCAAGAAGAGGTAGGTAGAACCGAGTAGAATGCCCTTTATGTCATAACTCTACCAGGATTCTAACAACCCGCTCTGTGCTTTAGTGTGGAGGTGCAGTTCCCCCACGTGTCCGATGCGCTGCTGGAGCAGCTCGGCTACCAGAAGAAGAACCGCTACTCGGCCTCGGCCTTCAAGGTGACGCCGCGCAAGCCGGCGCCGGACTTCAGCAACGTGAACGCCGTGGTCAACGAGAAGTTCGAGAAGGTGTCGCTGAGCGACTACAAGGGCAAGTGGCTCATCCTGTTCTTCTACCCGTTCGACTTCACCTTCGTGTGCCCCACGGAGATCGTGAGCTTCAGCGACAGCGTCGACCAGTTCCGCAGCATCAACGCCGAGGTCGTGGCCATCTCCACGGACTCGCACCACACGCACCTGGCCTGGGTCAAGACGCCGCGCAGCGAGGGCGGCCTGGGCAAGATGAACATCCCGCTGATCGCCGACATCAGCAAGCGCATCTCGGAGGACTACGGCGTGCTGGTCACGGACGAGGAGGACGAGATGTTCGGCGCTGCGCTGCGCGGACTGTTCATCATCGACCCGGAGGGCACCATCCGCTCCATCCAGATCAACGACGACGCTGTGGGCCGCAGCGTCGACGAGACGCTGCGCATCCTCAAGGCCTTCCAGTACTCGGCCTCGCACCCGCACGAGGTGTGCCCCGCCAACTGGAAGCCCGGCGGCGAGACCATCAAGACCGACCACGTCGAGAAGATGGACTTCTTCCAGCACCTGTACGGCGACGACAAGAAGCAGGAGCTGTAAGCTGACGAGCGCAGGGAGAGCAACTAGTGTCGATATCGGAAGACTACAGGACGGAACGTGAGCCGTTTCGGCGGTGTGGCGAGCAAGCTGTCGGCAGCACAGACACGTTGGGCAGACGAGAGCCGCACGTTTTAGACTCGACGTCTTCCTCTTCCTCCATGATGAACATACTACAGTACACCACAATTCAAACGTACTCTCCTTCTCTCCATGCTGTTGTCTTTTTTTCTCATTTTTTCTTCATTTATTCACGTCGATTCTCCTCCTCGAACTCCTGGCTGAAGTCCTCTACTGCATCCACTAACGAAACGCGTAGCAAAAGACTCTTGAAGACCGATCGGGAGAACCAAAAAAATATTTTTCAGCTCGAAACGCACGCTCAGAAAGGAAGAGGCGGCGAACGCTGGCGCGCGCTCTGCTCTGCACTTGCTACAGCCTCAGCTGGGCGTCCGTCGTCCACTCCGCTCTGCTCTGCTCTGCTCTGCTCGCTGTCTGTCTGTCGCTGCTTAGCCCTGCTGGGGGAAGCCGTGCTTCCAGTTCTGGTAGCGGTACAGCGCCACGGGCACGCCCACGCCGCCCACGGTCACGAACAGGGTCAGGCCCAGCACGACGCCCTTGGGGAAGTCGCCCTCGAACACGAGGTGCTGGTGGTGCTCGCCCTCGGCCGACATGCGCTTGGCCGAGGCGGAGATGCCGCGGCGGCCGGCGGCGCCCATCTTGGTGGCGGTCTGCTTGACGATCTGGCCGAACATGCTCTTCGGGTCTTGGACACTTGTGCGGACGGGAGGAAGGGCGGGTGTGAGGCCCAGGCGACTCGGGGGCGCGCACCACCCGCAGACTTTTTCGGAATTTTGGGGGGCTCTGCTCGACGAGGCGGCGCGGTAGTATGGGGATTTGTAAAGGCCTCAAAGACACGGGGGCAGATGTAGACTGTGTATACCGCCGCAAAAACATGCGCCTCATACTTAGTAATTGTATGTCCGGATGCAGCCGGATACATAGGCGCATTAATGAGTATAATGGCGTATACAACTTCAACTTTTGATGCACATCAACTTGACGGACAGTACAGGTGACGGCAGTACAGGTGAAGGAGTTTACTTACTAAATATCAATGCCGAGGAATACTATAAAGAGCGCCCGCTATCGTCCAGTTGCAGCGCGTGGCTGGCAGACTGGAGATCACCACGTTGCGGGCACGTACAAATACAAATACTTGCTGAAGCGGTGTCGTCACGGAGCTGTCGAGCTCGCGCCTACACGGCTTGCCCGATGGACTGCAGCAGCGCAGCGTTCGCCAGGATTTCCAGCGACGGGTCGTCTTTCTTCATCTTCTTCGGTTGCGGGGTGGCAGGGGGTGGCTTCTGCTCGGAATCGAGGGCGTCCTCCAGCAGACGTTTGCCGTTCATGACAGGAGCGCGGTCGGACGCTACCTTTGTGCTTCTCGGCTCGATCGTGGTGGCTGTGGCGAGAGGACTGTTGAAGTCTGGCGACGCCCAGTTGGGCATGGCGGGGATGCCCCACAAGGCGTTTAGGCGGTTGTAGGTTGCATCCGTAGGCGTCCAGCAGAGCGGACCGTGCGGACTACCGAGCTGACCCGTTTGGATCGCCAGCGGCGACTGTGCAAAGTTAGTCGGGTACAGCGACGCAAAGTCGACTTGGTCTGTCAGCATAGTGTTGAGTGGGTACACCTCGTTAAACCCGGCGGACACGGGAGACGGCAAGTCCGGAAAGTCTCCAATTGAGTTGCTCTCGGAGCCGGAGCTGTCGCGGCGCTTGCGCTGCGCTGCCGCCGTCGGCGTGACGCCGCGCTTGAGTCGTCGCTTGCTGGAGTTCCAGTGGTTCTTGATGGCGTTGTCCGTCCGGCCGGGCAGCATCTTGGCGATCTCCGCCCACTTGTTGCCGAACTTGTCGTGCAGTTCCCTGAGAATGCGCTCCTCTTCGGGCGACCACGGCTCCTTCCGGATGGCCGGGTCGAGCTGGTTGTGCCATCTGCAGCACCCAGTTTAACAGCAATGGCAGCCGTCAGCGCCAGCAACTTCAACATCTACGACGAAATGACAACTACTGCGGTACTCTCGTGCCGTACCGTTCACGGCATTGTTTGCCGTTGCGACCGGGCAGCTTGGTACCGATGATGGTCCAGTGGCGGGTCCCGTACTTCTGCACGAGCTTGAGCATCAGCAGATCCTCCTTCTCCGTCCACTTGCAGACGGGCTTGCGCTCCTTGCGGAGCCGCGGAGCGGGCGCCTCGAGCTGCGGCAACTCGAGCTGGGCGGCGCTGTGCTGGCTGGGCATCATGCTCGGCTGGATCCTCTGGGTCGCTCGCTGGCTGCGCGGAATCCGGCGGATCTCGATGTGAGTGGCGCCCCTTGCTTTGTCGCCAACTGCCGCCGTTTGACTGGCGCTCAGTATGCGCGGAAACGTTTTTCGATGGAAAAGATCGAAGGGCAAGTCCCCAACCGTCGAGACCAACGCGCTGCGATTGGTGGAAAGTCCGCCGCGACCCCGTGATTGGCCGGAAATCCTGCATGTTGAAGTGGCCAAGTGAGACCAAGCCTAAGAAGAATCGGCCAAAGGCTTCATTTCAATGCTTAGGCTTACTATTCGGGGGCTTTAGGCACGCTCATATCTCCAGCGACGTGCACTTGCGCTTGTTGTGGCCCGTCGTCTTGCAAACCGAGCACCGCTTGGCCGCCGACGGCTTCATCTGGATGGCGTCGTTGCGCACGAGCTCCTCGTCGACCGGGATCTGGATGGGCTCCACCAACGGGCCGTACGCCTGCGCGTAGCTGGCCACCGTGTACACGGAGTGGCAGAGCTGCGCGAGGTCCCACGACCCACCGCTCTTGTTGAAGAAGACAACGGCGGCGTACAGGTGCTTGCAGGGCAGGCCAAACTGGTCGCGGTACGGACACGAACACGACTTGGCGCTCAGATTCACGCGGCGCTTCTTGGCGATGGGGCTGCGGGCATCCCACACGTACGCGATGCCGTTATCGCCGTCGCTAGGGGAGACGCAGCACGCGGACGCCTCTATTTGCTGCTCCTCGAGGATATTCTCGGCGTACGGCGTGAGCACGCGACCAGACTGAACCAGCTCCTTGGCACTAACTTTACGCTCGTAGAGGTCGCCCATGCTGCGCTCCATGTACCCCTGGAAAAAGTCGAAGGGCGGCAGCATCCGACTCACTTTAACCGACGGGTTCTCCGACTCGGCCAGGTTCGTCGTCTGCCAGCCGTACAGGGCGTGGCACTTGAGGTAGCGGTACTTGGCCCAGAAGTCCGGCTTCATACTACGAAGATAATCACCCGCACGTGAATCCACGAGGTGAAGCGAGCTGAGGATGGCGTCGAACTCCCCCCGTGTGTCAGCATTCTGTGCGCGCCACACAAACTGGTTTACGTCCCGCCCGAGAGTCGTCTTGAATGTTTCTTCCATGGTGCTGACCAAGTGCGCCGTGCACTGAAGCAGAATGGGTGAGGCGCCTGAGAACGAGCCAGCAGCTCTGACCAGCGAGCGTGTTCGCTCGCAGTACATCGGTACGTCCAGAGACAACCCTCCGTCGAGACAGCCTTGGAAAAACCACGTGTAGTTTTCGATGCTCTTGCTGTCGCAGAGAGCCACTGCCAAGGTACACAGGTCGTTGTTGCCGTCCTTGGTCACCAGCTCGAGAAACGTCCCCTGGTAGTTGCTCGTGTGAGCCATATGAAGTCCGCCGAGGCCTAAGATACGCATACTGTGGCGCTGTATCAGCGGCGCGTGCGGCAGCATCAGGAACGCGCGCTTGAATTCATGGGACCACTGGTCCACTTCAATATTAAGCTTGGAGGAGGGGTTGAGCTGCTGAAACTGCATCAACAGCGACTCCAGCTTTTGAATGCCCACGACGACGTCCTTTACGATGCTACCCGTCACTTCTTGCTTGGCCCGGTAGGCCATGCGACTGGGCACAATAATGCCGTCCTGGGCTTGCACGATGGCTCGGACGCTGGGCCCGGACAGCTTGGGTACCGCACTCAGCGCTGCATTTGCGTTCATCAAGTGATTAACGACCTGACGCGTCGTGACCGCCTCCGTGCCCGTGCACTCCGGTCCATGGTCGGCGTTGAACGAGCTCACGTAGAAGTGACCCGCGAGGTTCGCGTTCTTGTACTTGCACACGCGCACCACAAAGTTGCACGGTGTCTGGCTGTTGCAGATGAAGGTGAAGTTCTTGCCGCCGCTCGCCTTGGGGTCCAGCCTCGCGCGCTTGCCCTGTGCCAGGGCGAAGTCCTGGATGTACTCCTTGGCCTGCGTGCGGTTCTCGAAGTGCTGACGCACCTGCAGCGTCATCTCGGCGCCAGACTTGAGCTTCACGTTGGCAAGCTGCTGCTGCATCGGGCTGTCGAGGGCGCGCGGGACTTTCCTGCGCATCTTCTTGGGCTCCTGCTCTGCAGCTTCCTCGGCTGCAGCGGCAGCGGCCGAAGCCACCGCTTCATGGGCGAGAGCGATGCTCCGTTGCTGCGGTTTGTCCGTCTCGCCGGCGTTGCTGGTCGCAGCACTGACCGCGACACTGTCGGCGCTGCTGGAAGGAGCGGCCGTTGAAGTGGAACCGGGGGTCTGCATGGTGGCGCGGCCGCGCTGCCAATACGGGAGGCCCAAGTGGGGGTCCGCGCCTGCAATTGGTCGAGGGCGGTTCCCCGTCGAACATAATATCATTCAAGAAATGGTTCACGCGGGGATGTAGTTTCGTGAATATTTGCTATGGAGTTCAGTATACCCCATAGATTTAGATGTATGCAGCCGGAATGTTACACACGGTCCTTGTCGCCGAATGTACCGGCCGTTTCCTCTGCCAAAACTCTTTTGCCCACACTCAAAGCCAACAAATACACAACTGGGTAGTCGCCCAGCGCAGGCGCCGATACTTTTTGCTAGTTTTTCAGCCGCTCCAGTATGGCAAATCCGTCCGCAGCCCTCAAGTCGCCCGAAGCTCGCGCGCGCGCCGGGTCGCCGTCGAATCGGGGTGGTCGCGGCTCGGTCTCTTCTCCGGGCGAGCTGCTGCGCCGACATGCCGAAAGTCAGCGTCAACAGCGCTCTCGCTCGCGCGGTACCAGTCCGAGCGGTACACACCGACGCAGCGGGCGCTGCAAAAAAAAGCGCGTGGAATCAGACATGGAATCAGAATCCCGCGAGTCCCGGAAGATGCTGAAGCTGGCGCTAGCCAAGTCCGTCGTCGAGACCAAGATGGTGCAGACGACCGCACTGCCGCAGGGCGCCGTGTTCTACCCGACGCTGGAGCAGTTCGCAGACCCCATCAAGTACATCGCCAGGTGCGTTCAGCAAACAATTTTACACTTTGCGGTTTCTACAGTTTTTTTTATTAACGGTTGAACTGGTGACACAACTTTGAACTTTGGATCAGCATCGAGCGCGAGGCCGCCAAGACGGGTATCTGCAAGATTGTGCCACCTCAAGGCTGGAGACCGCCGTTCGCAATCGAGTTCGAGGACGAGCGCGTGGAGTTCGAGACGAGAAAGCAGAAAATTCACGAACTGCAGGTCGGTGGGCTTTTCGACTATGTTATGAAAGGTTCGACCTGCGAACTTATTGGAAGTTTGGACGGTGAATGCAGGAAGGGCACGCGTATGGGAACGGCCGTACGCACACATTCAAGTCGTTCCGTGCTAATGCCGACGCGTTCCGGGACCGCTGGTTCCGATCGAGGGGATTGGACCCGGAGACGATGTCGTCCGATCAGATTGAGCAAGAGTACTGGCGGGTTGTTCAGACGGGGGAGCCCAACGTTGAGGTAAATTATGGTTTGTAGCTTTGTCGGGCGGCGAGTGAACGTCAGGCTCACGAATAAGATTGCAAATGTGATGCGCAGGTGGAATATGCCAACGATCTTGATATCTCCCAGGTCGGGAGTGGGTTCCTGCGCTCGGTGAAACGATTTGCCTCGCAGGCAACGGAAGGTACAGCGAGTGAAACCCACTCAGTATGTTTTTGCTTTATTTCTCTGACCTGTTATGGTTTTCGCAGGAAAAGAGAAGGTTGACTTCTCAAATCCAGAGTACTACAGAAATACGGGATGGAACTTGAACAACCTGCCAGACGCATACGGCTCACTGCTTCGGCACTTGGGCGCCGCGATCAATGGCATCAACGTGCCGTGGCTGTACTGCGGCATGCTGTTCGCGTCATTCTGCTGGCACGCAGAAGATAACTACATGTCCAGTATCAACTACCAGCACTTCGGCGCCAAGAAGCGGTGGTACGGCATTCCCTCTTCGGACGCCGAAAGGTTTGAGGCGGTCATGCGGACTCAGGTGCCTGCGCGTTTCCGCGAAAACCCAGACTTGCTGCTTCACTTGACTACGATGGTGCCGCCATCGGTCTTAAAAGATCGCGGTGTCAAGGTCTTCACTGTCGTGCAACAACCCGGTGAAATCATCCTTACGTTTCCCAAGGCGTACCATAGCGGCTTCAGCGAAGGTTTCAACTGCAATGAAGCAGTGAACTTTGTTCTTCCCAACTGGATCGACTACGGAAGGGAATGTGTCGAGATGTACCGCAAGTATGGACGAGTCTCGATCTTCTCCCACGATCGCTTCATTTTCCATTTTGGATCGACGCAAAACTTAGACGAGTACTCGGTCGGGGACTGCGAGATGTTGCTGAAGGAGTTGCGGCGTCTGTTCCACGAGGAGAGGAACTACAAGAAGGCGTTTTTGGCTGAGGGGCTGGAAAATGTGGAGGAGCTCAGCGGTGATGTCATGCTGGACGAGCAATCGATGGAGGTGGACGACGTGCGGCAGTGCTTCCAGTGCAGACACAACGTGTTCTTTTCGGGTGTGATCTGCTCCTGCAATCCCGGTCGACTGTCGTGTTTGCGGCACGCGAAGCACATGTGCAGCTGTCCGATGCAAAACCGGACCCTGCTACAGTGGGTGGGGACGGCTGAACTGCGTTATGCGATCCGACGTGTGCAGACAAAGATGCGTGCGCTGAAAGAGCGAGCTGGCGAGCAGCACACAGTGCACCCCCCGGTTGCCAAAAATGTCAACCTTCATGCAAATGCAGCCGCCGCAACAAGCAGCGCTGCGCACTCGACCAGCCAATGTTTTGTCATCAAGCGCGGCGGAGCATCCGTTCGCGCATAAAGCTAGGAAGTTTTGATCGCGTAGATGGGATGAAGGGATTCGAACGCGGTAGTATACAATAAATCGAGTTGGCATGCGTGTGGAAATAATGCGCCTTGCTTGCGATGATGCCAAGTATCGTTTGTACAAAAGTACATGAAGACTGACAACAACTAAATTTTAATTTTGCAGATGAGAAGCCGGTGAGTATCCACGTTTCGCCAGGAAACTTTCAAAGCCCTTGATGTCGTAGAACGTTCGGCCTGCATAATTCACCGAGTTGCCAGCATCATCCGAGTGACTATCAAACTCAAGCGTCTTATACAGCCACTCGATCTCGTCGTCCGACATCAGCGTGATCGCCCACCACAGCGTGAAACCGTAGTTCGACGGAGCAAGCAGGGGACGTAGCACAGGCCACGACTTGCGCACACTGGTCGCGCGCAGCGGAAACGTCACGGCAAAGCGGTCTCCATAAGGCTGCAAAACACGCAGCATCTCGTCCACCATCGCGGAAGAGTATTCTCGATGGATCTCCTCTTCGTTGGCGTTCGCCGTGGTCCACCCCACGGACAGCACGAGCTTATGCCGGTGGTTGCCTCCCTCGAGCTCCCCAAGCTCACTAACCTGTTCCAAGAACTTGGCGGCATCAAACGCCACGTGGTTCGTGTTCGCCGGGCCCACCAGAATGTCGGCATTGATAAAGATGCCCTTGATGAACGGGAACTGAGCCACAAACTTGGCCAGGTCCCCACGCGACGCCTCAAACGCCCGACTGCTTTTGAAGTCCAACTTGACGATCAGCGGCGTCTCGATGTGCGCCGTCGACCTCAGGAACGTTGCCGCCAGCTCCAGCATGGCGTCCAAGAACTGGGCGAGGGTCAGGTCCCCGTCCGTCGCGGGAGGGTGCCCCATGACGGGGGTCTGCTTGGCCTCGCCCCAGATGATGTCGGCCTCGACGGCATTGACGAAGTCGGGCATGGCGAACTGCTCGCTCGCGGCCTCGTGGATCTGGCGCTGCACGGCGGCCAGCAGCGCCGTCGAGTTCACGGCGTGCGCCCAGCTGTAGTCGAGGGGCGTCATGTGAGGAGGATGGGAGGGGGTATGGAGCCGCTGGAAGATCGGCGAGTGGGGATGCGCTACGTCAGCGCGGTCTCCGCTCGCTTTTCGCTCCAATCGCGAGTGTACACTCATTCTTTTCAGCGAATCCACGGCCAGGAACTCGAAAGAGCATCTCGCTAGTTTGCGTGACCGAGGGGTTGAACGTGACCCCCCTTCCTCCCGATCATGGAAGGTCGCTCTTTTTCAACTCGCTGGTCCAATCAGAACCGATTTTCGGGTTCCGATCCGTCCAAGTTGAAGCTGTGAAACAGTTTTCGGGACGGATGGCACGTGGTTGCAGCTCTCCACACATCAATGTGTCAAACAAGTCCTGCACGCCCGCCTCTTTATCAGCGGAACGTCATTCCTCATCTGCCGCCGCACTGCTCAAGTCCGCACTTCGTCGAGATGTCCGAGAGCGTGAACGGGGCTCCCGCGGAGAGCGCGCGCTACGCCAAGGCGCCGCACCTGTGGGCGCTGGGCGTGGGCGCCGTCGTGAGCGGCGACTTCTTCGGCTGGCAGTCGGGCCTCGTGGCGGGCTTCGACGGGCTGCTCATCATCCTGGCGCTCGTCACGGTGCTCTACGTGCTGCTGTCCTTCTCCATCGCCGAGCTGTCCACGACGGTGCCCGCCGGTGGGGGGCCCTACGTCTTCGCGCTGCACGCCATCGGCCCGCGCGCCGCCTTCTTCGCCGGCCTGGCCGAGAGCCTCAAGGTCGTCATCACGTGCGCCGTCGTGGTCACGGGCATCAGCTCGTACATGAACCAGCTGCTGAGTCTGAGCTCCGAGTACGGTCCGATCTGGTGGGCCGTCTTCTACGTCCTCTTCGTGTCGCTCAACATCGTGGGCATCGAGATGACCTTCCGCGTGCAGGCGGTCACGACGGTCGTGTCGGTGGTGATTCTACTTGTGTTCTACATCGGCGCGGCGACCAAAGTGTCGTACAGCGAGTGGGTGTCAGCGTTCGACTGGCAGTACCCGAGCGGCTGGGATGGCGCGGTCAAGGGCTACTCGTTCGCGTTGTGGTTCTATCTGGGCATCGAGGAGCTGCCGCTCGCTGTCGAGGTGACCGTCAACCCGGAGCGCAACATGCCAATTGGCCTCATGACGTCGATCTCCACCCTCGTCGTGCTGGCGTTTTGCACTGTCATCTTCAACTCGATGATCTCCCCTGGTGCTGAAGAAATGTACAACAGCTCGTCGCCGCTGCTGACGGGGTATCAGAGCGTGTTTGGGGATAACAGCACCACGTCGGGCTTTTCGTGGATGCTGATCCTTGGACTTATTGCGAGCTTCCACTCGTTCGTGTTCTGCATGGGTCAGTTGCTGTACGCTATTGCCCGTGACGGATACTTGCCGCATATCCTGACCACGCTCCATCCGACGCGTGGTACGATGTATGTGTCGTTGATTACCGGCAGCTCCATCGGATTCCTTGTGGTGCTTGTGTTGCACTACATTATCGGCGACACTCGCCTGGGATCGGTGATGATCAACCTCGCGCTCATCGGCGCCGTGACGTCGTACTCGTTCCAGCTGACCTCGTTCATTCGTCTGCGGATCAAGGAGCCGAACCGACCTCGGCCCTACCGCAGCCCTTTCGGCATCCCCGGCGCTGTGATTTCCATGGCGTTGTGCGTTGCAGGTATGGTGTCGATCATCTACAGCGGCACGTCGAGCTACGAATTCCTCGCGTCCATCATCGTGGCGATCCTGTACTTCGCTATCGGCGCCACGTACTTCTTCCTCCGTGTGCAGCCGCGCATTGAAGCGGCCCCAACGCCGAAATTGCGTGAAAACCTTCTCAGTAGCGTCTCGTCGAAGGTCTAAGGATGAATGGCAGTCCATTACCTCAAGTACAGATAATTGTATTGATTCATTTCAAAACCAGCTTAACGTTATCCGAGTGCACCAGAATGTTTTTTTTCGAGTTTGCCCTCAATTAGAGACCGCTACGGCACCGCTGTAAGTTTGATTCTCTAACAAGTTTGGTTGCCCCCAGTACTGTGCGTTACGCAGGACAGGTTGCAGGCTACCGGTGGCAGGTGTTGGGGGGGGGTCTTGTACTGTACTAGGAATAGTTGAGCACACCAGAAGATTCGCTAGACTAAGGAATGACTACGGGATCTTTGTGAGATCGTGCGAGGACGCGACCAGTATTTATAATTCGTTAGCACAGCTGCAAAAGCACGCATCACCAGCGAAAATAAAGCCATCGACCTTGCACAGCACCTTAATGAGGCTTCATGTGCTGCAACATGACCTCACTGCAGTCAGCGATCGACCACTTTCAGTTTTACTGACAATTCCTCAAGCTGCCTACACCAAGTAGCGTCTCCCATCCTTCCAGCTTGTAACCAACATGCAGGTCAACATGGTCAAGACGCCGCGTGAACCGAACGCGATGCTGAACGAGTCGGAGCCCGTGTACGGCCACCCGTTCATGTGCAGCGACCTGGCCACGGATACGTTCCCGCAGCACTCGGTGCCGGCTCGCGTGGCCCACCAGATGATCAAGGACGAGCTGGCGCTGGACGGCAACCCCAGTATGAATCTGGCGTCGTTCGTGACGACGTACATGGAGCGCGAGGCGGAGGAGCTCATGATCGAGGGACTCCGCAAGAACTACATCGACCTGGACCAGTATCCGCAGACGGCGGAGATCCACAACCGCTGCGTTCAGATGCTCGCGAACCTGTACCATGCCCCTCTTGGTGAAGGTGTGAAGGCTACGGGTACGGGCTGCATCGGCTCGTCCGAGGCCATCATGCTGGCAGGTCTCGCCATGAAGCGCAAGTGGAAGGACCGCCGCATCGCGGCCGGTCTGTCGTATGAGAAGCCCAACATGGTCTTCGGCTCCAACGTGCAGGTCTGCTGGCACAAGATGTGCAAGTACTTCGAGATCGAGATCCGCGAAGCCGACGTGTCTCCCGACTGCCTCGTGCTGACGGCGGAGCGAGCACGTCCCCTTCTGGATGAAAACACGATCGGCGTCGGTGCCATCCTGGGCAGCACTTTCAACGGCGAGTACGAAGACATCAAGGGCATCCACGACATGCTGGTCGAGGAGAACGAGCGGAACGGCTGGCACATTCCGCTGCACGTGGACGCTGCCAGCGGCGGATTCATCGCTCCATTCATCTCGCCTGACCTGCTGTGGGACTTCCGCCTGCCCAATGTCAAGTCCATCAACGTGAGCGGCCACAAGTTTGGGCTCGTGTACGCTGGAATGGGCTGGGCGATCTGGCGCGAGAAGGAGGACCTGCCTGAAGACCTGGTCTTCCACGTCAACTACCTGGGCGGAGACCAGTCGTCGTTCACGCTCAACTTCTCCAAGGGCGCCGGCAACGTGGTGGCGCAGTACTACAACCTGCTGCGCTTCGGTTTCGACGGCTACCGCCGCATCATGGAGGCGAGCATGGAGAACGCCGCCTTCCTGCGCAGAGCTCTGGTGGATACCGACCTCTTCAACATCGTGGACAAGGCGCACATGCCTCTGGTCGCGTTCTCGCTCAAGGACTCGTCCGCATACTCGTGCTTCGACATCCAGGAGAAGCTCAAGGCCCGAGGCTGGATCGTGCCGGCTTACACGTGCTCCAAGGGAGCCGAAGGGCTCACGATCATGCGCGTGGTGGTCAAGCAGAACTTCTCGTGCCAAATGGCCAAGATGCTCGTGCAGGATATTCTGCACGCGGTGGCGGCCCTGGAGCAGCACTCGCGGCTTCTTCACGTGTCGCCCGTGAAGACGAGTATGGCCACCAGCAGCGTTGCGGTCCACCCGATGCCGATGCCCGCTGTAGTCAAGATCAAGCACACGAAGCTCGGATCCAGCAAGGCGGGCAGCAATACGCCTAACAAGAACCCCAGGCATGCCACGCACCTCAAGCTGTGCATCTAAAGCTTTATTAACTTCATTCCACTTAGGCATTCTTAAGTACAATCGACAATACACTGATCCCTGAATTCATCTCCTGTCTTGCCGACTATCGTGGTAAGTTTCGTTGTTCGATGCGATAAGTTACGACAAACGGGGTTTGTTTGATCACCAAATGTGCAGGATGTTGGCCACGACATGGGAACTGCTATGAGATTTTCGCGCGAAGTTTTTTTTGCCTACGTGTGATCATTAGCCGGCGGTCGAGAGCGATGTTGAAGTGAGTTAGCCAATAGGATTAGGTCATTATGATGTAGCCATATCCGTTTGGATGTAGCCATGTTCGAGGCATTTGCTTGGAGGCATCACCAAGATGGCCTGCACCACACACACACTTAGCAAAGATTAATACTTCGTCTACATCTATTGCATCAGGTCAGTGCTTGCACAGATATATAGGATGTCGTTCCGCTGACAGCATTCCTGAATAAGCAAGGAGTCTGGTTGTGTACCATTGGTTCTTATTGCGGCCTCTACCAATAACGGCTCCTACATCGCTACGCGTGCTTAGCCATGTACTTTCAGGACCACCCAAGCATTCACACTGCTTTCGCTTTTTTGCTGCAGAGCAAGCCGGCAGCGGCGTGTCACGGTCACTACAGCCAATCGGTCGGCATTCTGAGCCGTTTGGCCAAACGACACATCGCTTTCGCTGATACACATCGCTCACCACCATGTTGCGTGCATTGTCGGGCCTCAGCCGTACGCTCGCAGGCTAAAAGTGGTGAACTTCCGACCCTGGCTCTGGAGGTATCGCGTCGATCGCCGTCACCACCCCCTACGACTTCGACCTCAGCATTGTACAATAGAGCAGCGCTATGGTATCGACCCGGTGCCATCAAGCAAGCCAAGGTTCGAGCACAGGAACCAACTACATGTATGAACATGTACCTGTGTTACTGCCGCGGAGACTGGGCTAACGCTGAATGGCAAGTCGACTCCAAACAGCGCGATTTATCCTGCTCTGCAAGCTGCTGCCCTGCCCCGTCCGCGACAACCGAGTGCCGTCCAATCTGAAAAACTTGATGCATCCCCCGACCGCCGCGTACGCTCGCAGCTTGAACCCGCGGTTGAACAGTTCTCAAGGACGGGCCAAGTTCTGCTGCGTCGACACCCGTCACCTCCCCACCGGCGGAAGCGCTCGAGGCTGCATTCAGTGCACTTCAACAGCAATGCTGGCTCGGCACTTGGGTAGGTCGAAGCTGTGGATCTCTGCTTCGAAACGGATGGTAATTTCCGGTCCTTTGTAAGGAGGAGGAGCACGTGCCTCAGCTCATGCGCCTCGGCTCATGGGAGCATCCTGCTGTAAACTGCACCAGAATTCGACGACGTAACATTGGAGGATGCGCTTTGCTGAAGGTTCTTTTTGATGGGCGGCATGCACATGTACGGACCGGGATGCGCTGCCAAATGAGACTCGCCCCCAAAGTCCAAACGCGGACGCCACTACAACGACTTACAAAGCCGGCAGACACAAAAAGCCGGCAGACGCAGTCAAGCAAAGCTTAACATAAGCAAACCAGCCAATCAGATTCAATCAAATGACTTCATCTTTATATACCATCTGGTTTTGTGTACTTTATATGCTTTCTTGTGTACTTTATGCAACACGTCGTGTGTTTTATGACAGTTTTACAGATTTGACGGGAGGGAATTTATCGTTGTTTTTATATAGGAGGATGGCATTAAGCATGCCGGCTTTGTATGTCGTTGTCTGTATACTGCGACTCGAACGTTGCGATTCACGAGCGACTGGAGCCGTGCCGCTGAGCTGCAAGTTGCAGCACCGCTCGTTGAGGCAGCCTGTTGCAGTTGTGACCGCTCGGACTCGCAGGACTTGCCCAAAGTCGAAGCTCGAAGCTCGACATGTTCGGCTGTGTCCGCGGAGCATCATCGTTAAGCATCCCCACCGGATCCGTATGTTTTTCAAGTGGGTCCCCAAGACGCCCGGCTCTGATCGACGAGACCTTGCGCTTCCTGCAGTTCATGCCGGTGCCCGAGCTCAGCTACCGAAAGACACCCTCGTGCAAGCGGACAGAGTACAGTAAGGAAATCCTCAATAAAAATACTCAAGCACTGGTTAATAAAATACCCAACCTGCAACTGACCGCACTGAATCCGAAGCACAGAATAGAACTTCGTCGAGAAGTTTTCTCCAGACAGGGATCACCTCAGGGAATTCGACGCACCGGCACCCTCGCCCGGTTCTGCGCAAGGCTGAAATGGCATCGAAAACCCTTGGATCAAAGACAGGGTTGAGACAGGCTCACCCGAGCCTCAGCTACATGTGATGCTCACGTATCCTATGGTACGACGAAATCGAAGCAACCCGCTGCAATTGATCCCCTACATATTGCCAGCCAAGTTCGCTGCGGAATGCAGAGCAAGTTGCAGCGGAACCCTCATATATATATGTATGTAAGCCGCCACGGCCTCTTTCTCACTGCCGGACGATCGGGCATTTTTAATCTCGGTTTGACTCGCGCAGTTTTTGCATGGCGAGCTGATACCGCTGCCTGGTTTGCCAATCGCAAAGTGCCGACGCGCTGGGCGCGGCCAATGACCGCCCGCTCTCTGCGGGCCCCACGTTGAACTGGTTGCACTTGTTGCCCTCGGGCCGTGTACATGACATGTACTACATGTACGCTCGCAGTTTTGGCGCCGCGTACGCTCGCACATTGCTCGTTTTGCGCGCCGGAGGACAGTCCAGCTGTGTGTGCGTCCTGCCGCTGCCCCCGGGCTGGGCTGGAGAGGTCGTAGACCTAGCTGGTAGTCCGGCGTCGAAGGTGGCGGGCGGGATCGGCTGGGATCGAAACAAAATGCCGGCGCTCTCGATCGCTCACTTTGCAATTTACTGCGCACTGCAACGAACCTCCTCCGCCTCGTCCGCCGACCTCGTTCCAAGCAGTTGATCCACATGAGCCGCATCTCCCACTTGAGTATCAATGGCCCGGCCGTTGAAGGCGAGGGCATCAAGCGCTACGCCAAGACCCCGCACCTCTGGGCGCTGGGTGTGGGCACTGTCATCAGTGGCGACTTCTTCGGCTGGCAGTCGTCGCTGGTCGCGGGCTTCGACGGTCTGCTCATTCTGCTCTCGATCGTCACGGTGCAGTACGTGCTGCTGTCGTTCTCGATCGCTGAGCTGTCGGCCACCGTCCCCCATGGTGGGGGCCCCTACGTGTTCGCGCTGCACGGAATCGGCAAGACTGCGGCCTTCTTCGCTGGTATTGCTGAGTGCTTGAAGGTTGTGGTGACGACTGCCGTTGCCGCCACGGGTATCGCCTCGTACTTCGCTGAGCTCATTGGGGTCGACGCCGAGTACGGTCCGATCTGGTGGATCGCCTGCTACATCATCTTCGTGACGCTCAACATTGTCGGAGTCGAGATGACCTTCCGCGTGCAGGTGGTGGTGACGGTCGTGTCGGTGTTCCTGCTGCTGGTGTTCTACATCGGCGCTGCCACCAAGATCGACTACCAGCAGTGGGTCGTGGACCGCAACTGGAACTACAACGGCTGGGACGGCATCCTGGAGGGAGCCTCCTTCACGCTGTGGTTCTACCTGGGCATTGAGGAGCTGCCGCTGGCCATTGACGAGACCATTGAGCCCACCAAGAACATGCCGCGTGGCCTAATCGCCTCGATCGCCACGCTCATTGTCGTGTCCTTCTGCACGGTGCTCTTCAGCTCCATGATCAGCCCCGGCGCTGACGAGATGTACGTCAACACCTCGCCGCTGCTGACCGGGTACAAGACGATCTTCGGCGACAACAGCACGACCTCGGGCTTCACGTGGATCTTGATCGTCGGACTCATCTCGAGCTTCCACTCGTTCGTCTTCTGCATGGGCAAGCTGCTGTACGCCATCGCCTGCGACGGATACCTGCCGCAGATGCTGACCAAGCTGCACCCGACGCGCGGAACGACCCACGTCGCTCTCATCACGGGAAGCATCATCGCTCTGGTGCTGGTCATCGTGCTGCACTACGCAATCGGCGACGCGCGTCTGTCCTCCGTGATGATCAACCTGTCGCTCATCGGCGCCATCGTGTCGTACCTGTTCCAGCTCACGGCCTTCATCATGCTGCGTATTCGTGAGCCCGAACGCCCCCGTCCGTACAAGAGCCCCTTTGGCATCCCCGGTGCCGTGGTTTGCATCATCCTGTGCATCTTCTCGCTCGTGTCCATCATCTACAGCGGCACCTCGAGCTGGGTCTTCCTGGCCTCGGTGCTGGTGGCCATTGGTTACTTTATCATTGGCGCCGTGTACTTTGTGTACCGTGTGAAGCCCCGACTGGAGATCGGCAATGGCCCCGTGTCGGCCAAGGAGTTCAGGGAAAACCTCATGAGCTCGCGCGTGTCCAACAAGGTGTAAGCAGTGCGTCGAAGCCTTATGGCACGGTGCAAAAACCGCAGGTAGCAACCGCACAGTACTGTGGTTCCTACGCTGCACGTCGTAGAACGGAGTCGTTTTAGTAGAGTGAGTCGTACTTGTATTTCCAGCCTTATTGACCTTAAAAAATCAAGCTGCCATGTTCACTACATTTTGTGCAGAATGGAGTTCCTTCAGGTTTACTGGGAGTGCTGCTCAATTAATACAGTGACTATACATATGGTGATACCGAGGACTTCACTACTACTACGTGCATGTACGGTAGAACGAGTCCAAAGTTAGAATTCATAACGTTAAACATCATGTTTTTCAACCAGGCTCGATATTATTGTCCCCGATCTGTAAGCTGACGATGTATTAATATATGTAGTGTATTCTCTTCTGAAGCACTTGACACCGGTTGTACATTGTACATTGCTACAGTGTTGTGGGTGTGGGGTTTGTTTTCGACTTGTACTACGTAGTATTTGCAACTGAAGCTTTTCTAACATTTCATCTCACATAAAATGAAGAAAAACACGTAACCACCTCCGTCAAATTCCGGTGGGCTCGAGGCCAACTAGCGAAAGTGTAGGTGGAGAGTTGCTAACGCTTTTGATTCACATGCAGAGGCGATTAGAGTTCTGGTGCGATAGTCCGTCAAGCATTATTGCCGTCGTCGTCATCATAAGTACATGTGGGAACAAGATGCTGGCAGTCCCGTTGGGCTGAGAAGATAGAACATCGCTTGGCACCAAGCGTTGTACTCTCAGCTGTAAAGAGTGGTTGGTGTACTGTACTGCCAGACTGGCAGTAAGTGAGCAGAGCGGTCCGTGCGGTGGCAACCGTGACAAGTTAGCGATATGCGCATCATCTTGGTGCGAGAATCGCAGCGAGATCCGGTCTCTGTCTCAATGCCCATCAACCGCCATGGGCAACAGTGAACCTTCCTGCAGTGACGAGCACCGACGCAGCGTCCGGCTCATGAAGCTCAGCGAAGAGCACCGGCTGATGAGTCCCGCGTGGTATGCAGGATATTTCTAGCCTTTTGCACCAGCAGGCGCGTGGCCGCACCAAGCGACCGAAGCGATTCCAATGCTCATACTGAGCTCAGCACGGCGCCACCCCGAAGAAGCACGGAAACTGCGCAGCAAGTTGCTGCCAGCAACCTCGTCGTTGTCAGGGGCTGTCGGCGTTGAAGTGCCCGCATGCAGCCACGCAGCCTGGGATCAGCAGCCTCTCGTTTGACTTCGGGGTCCGGCTTTTTTTCAAAACACGCGTTGAATCCGCCAATCACAGCCGCGCTACGCATTCAAACCGGCCAATCAATTTGATCCGCGCCCGTTCTCTGCCCACGTTGCAGTATTGCGCACGTCTTGCAGATTTGAAAAGTTGACTCTTGGGCCGCTGAACTTGATCAGTGCGGCGTTTTGCAGCATCGAGCGTAGCCATCTGCGCCGGGCCCAAGCAAGGCTGATACACTGCACTCAAGTCAACTCGGCAGCTCCAGCTTCCCTGCATCGCTCACTTTGCAACTTCCTTTGCTCTGCTCACACCTCCCGACTTCCTCCCGCGCCGAGTCATGAGCACGAATTCGAGTGTCAACGGGCCGGTCATTGAGGGCGAAGGCCCCAAGCGCTACGCCAAGACTCCGCACCTCTGGGCGCTGGGTGTGGGCGCCGTCATCAGCGGCGACTTCTTCGGCTGGCAGGCGGCACTGGTCGCAGGTTTCGACGGCCTCCTCATTCTTCTCGCCGTGGTGACCGTGCAGTACGTGCTGCTGTCGTTCTCCATCGCCGAGTTGTCGGCCACCGTTCCGCACGGCGGAGGCCCCTACGTGTTCGCGCTGCACGGCATCGGCAAGACCGCGGCCTTCTTCGCAGGTATCGCCGAGTGTCTGAAGGTGGTGGTGACCACGGGTGTCGCTGCGACGGGCATCGGCTCGTACTTCGCTGAGATCATCGGTGTCAGCTCGGACTTCGGTCCAATCTGGTGGATCGCCTGCTACCTCATTTTCGTCACGCTCAACGTCATGGGCGTCGAGATGACGTTCCGTGTGCAGGCAGCGGCGACTGCCATGTCGGTGATTGTTCTACGTTGGCGCTGCTACCAAGATCTCGTACCAGGACTGGGTGGTCGACCGCGACTGGAACTACAAGGGCTGGGACGGCGTCCTCCAGGGCGCTTCCTTCACGCTATGGTTCTACCTGGGCATTGAGGAGCTGCCTACGAAACCATCGAGACCACCAAGAACATGCCGCGTGGCCTCGTGACGTCCATCATCACACTTATCGCCATCTCGTTCTGCACGGTCATCTTCAACTCGATGATCAGCCCTGGCGCCGACGAAATGTACGCCAACGCCTCGCCTCTTCTTGAAGGCTACAAGACCGTGTTCGGAGACAACAGCACCACCTCGGGCTTCACGTGGATCTTGATCGTCGGACTCATCTCGAGCTTCCACTCGTTCGTCTTCTGCATGGGCAAGCAAGCTGCTGTACGCTATTGCTTGCGATGGATACCTGCCCCACGTCTTGACCAAGCTGCACCCGACCCGTGGCACGACCTACGTCGCTCTCATCACGGGAAGCATCATCGCTCTGGTGCTGGTCATCGTGCTGCACTTTGCCATTGGTGACAATCGCCTCGGCTCCGTGCTGATCAATCTGGCGCTTATTGGAGCCATCGTGTCGTACCTGTTCCAGCTCACGGCCTTCGTCATGCTGCGTATCCGGGAACCCGAACGCCCCCGTCCGTACAAGAGCCCCTTTGGCATCCCCGGTGCCGTGGTTTGCATCATCCTGTGCATCTTCTCGCTCGTGTCCATCATCTACAGCGGCACCTCGAGCTGGGTCTTCCTGGCCTCGGTGCTGGTGGCCATTGGTTACTTTATCATTGGCGCCGTGTACTTTGTGTACCGCGTGAAGCCTCGCCTGGAGGTGGGCAACGGCCCCGTGTCGGCCAAGGAATTCCGCGAGAACCTCATGAGCTCCCGCGTGTCCAACAAGGTGTAAGCAGTTTGTTTGTTAACTTTTCTTTAGTATCATCATGAGTCGTTGTTTCAGTTGAAATGCTTGGTATCGATGAACACTCAGAGCGTCCAGCATGTTTTACTTAGTCATGACCAACATCCTGTACTTACGGGATTAGCCTCGTTTGTCGTATCGAAGTTCGATCGCTTTGTTGAAGTTGTTCGATCATCAAAAGTCTTGATTCAAGAGGGCTACTTAACCGCAAAGCGATTATCAAATGTACGAAGAGATGCTTAAGTGGAATGAAGTTAATAAAGCTTTAGATGCACAGCTTGAGGTGCGTGGCATGCCTGGGGTTCTTGTTAGGCGTATTGCTGCCCGCCTTGCTGGATCCGAGCTTCGTGTGCTTGATCTTGACTACAGCGGGCATCGGCATCGGGTGGACCGCAACGCTGCTGGTGGCCATACTCGTCTTCACGGGCGACACGTGAAGAAGCCGCGAGTGCTGCTCCAGGGCCGCCACCGCGTGCAGAATATCCTGCACGAGCATCTTGGCCATTTGGCACGAGAAGTTCTGCTTGACCACCACGCGCATGATCGTGAGCCCTTCGGCTCCCTTGGAGCACGTGTAAGCCGGCACGATCCAGCCTCGGGCCTTGAGCTTCTCCTGGATGTCGAAGCACGAGTATGCGGACGAGTCCTTGAGCGAGAACGCGACCAGAGGCATGTGCGCCTTGTCCACGATGTTGAAGAGGTCGGTATCCACCAGAGCTCTGCGCAGGAAGGCGGCGTTCTCCATGCTCGCCTCCATGATGCGGCGGTAGCCGTCGAAACCGAAGCGCAGCAGGTTGTAGTACTGCGCCACCACGTTGCCGGCGCCCTTGGAGAAGTTGAGCGTGAACGACGACTGGTCTCCGCCCAGGTAGTTGACGTGGAAGACCAGGTCTTCAGGCAGGTCCTCCTTCTCGCGCCAGATCGCCCAGCCCATTCCAGCGTACACGAGCCCAAACTTGTGGCCGCTCACGTTGATGGACTTGACATTGGGCAGGCGGAAGTCCCACAGCAGGTCAGGGGAGATGAATGGAGCGATGAATCCGCCGCTGGCAGCGTCCACGTGCAGCGGAATGTGCCAGCCGTTCCGCTCGTTCTCCTCGACCAGCATGTCGTGGATGCCCTTGATGTCTTCGTACTCGCCGTTGAAAGTGCTGCCCAGGATGGCACCGACGCCGATCGTGTTTTCATCCAGAAGGGGACGCGCTCGCTCCGCCGTCAGCACGAGGCAGTCGGGAGACACGTCGGCCTCGCGGATCTCGATCTCGAAGTACTTGCACATCTTGTGCCAGCAGACCTGCACGTTGGAGCCGAAGACCATGTTGGGCTTCTCATACGACAGACCGGCCGCGATGCGGCGGTCCTTCCACTTGCGCTTCATGGCGAGACCTGCCAGCATGATGGCCTCGGACGAGCCGATGCAGCCCGTACCCGTAGCCTTCACACCTTCACCAAGAGGGGCATGGTACAGGTTCGCGAGCATCTGAACGCAGCGGTTGTGGATCTCCGCCGTCTGCGGATACTGGTCCAGGTCGATGTAGTTCTTGCGGAGTCCCTCGATCATGAGCTCCTCCGCCTCGCGCTCCATGTACGTCGTCACGAACGACGCCAGATTCATACTGGGGTTGCCGTCCAGCGCCAGCTCGTCCTTGATCATCTGGTGGGCCACGCGAGCCGGCACCGAGTGCTGCGGGAACGTATCCGTGGCCAGGTCGCTGCACATGAACGGGTGGCCGTACACGGGCTCCGACTCGTTCAGCATCGCGTTCGGTTCACGCGGCGTCTTGACCATGTTGACCTGCATGTTGGTTACGAGCTGGAAGGATGGGAGACGCTACTTGGTGTAGGCAGCTTGAGGAATTGTCAGTAAAACTGAAAGTGGTCGATCGCTGACTGCAGTGAGGTCATGTTGCAGCACATGAAGCCTCATGAAGGTGCTGTGCAAGGTCGATGGCTTTATTTTCGCTGGTGATGCGTGCTTTTGCAGCTGGAACTAACACAATTGTCCTCGTATAATTGGATCGATCCGCTTCCTCGTTCCTCGCACTATCTCATGAAGATCCTGCGCTCGCATCCAGCCATTCTGTTAGTGAATCTCTGGAGCCCCAGCGTGCCCAACTATTCCTATCCAGGCTCTATTGATATCGACAACGCCACGCTGCCCTTACGTTCTGGCCAATGCCATTCTGAAGTAGCTTCGCTCGAACGCTGAACTGCCTCCAAGCGGTACACTTCAACTCAGCACACGATTGATTAACGCCTCGTTACATGGCGCCTTTGTGCTGTTCAAGCAGAGCGGACCATACCGCCTGCGTACTTCTATGTGGTGGTTCGCTTTGGTACTGGGAAGTATATTAGATTGACGCCGCTCGGGTATCAATGGAGTAGCAACAGCTATGGGTATCTACGTAGTTTGCCCGTGGGTGGCGACGTTTAAACCTTGGACGAGGCATTACTCAGCAAGTTTTCGCGTAGTTTCGGCGTCGGCGCTGCTTCGATACGCGGTTTCACACTCATGAAGAAGTATACAGCGCCGATACCAAAGTACAGGATCGCCACGACAATGGACGCGAGGAACTCGTAACTCGACACGCCGCTGTAAATAATCGACACCATCCCCGCCACACACAGCGCCAACGAGACAACGGCACCAGCAACGCCAAAGGGGCTTCGATACGGGCGAACGCGGTTCGGCTCCTTGATGCGTAGCCGAATGAACGAGGTCAGCTGGAAGCAGTAGGAAATCACGGCGCCGATGAGCGCCAGATTGATCATCACCGACCCCAGGCGCGTGTCTCCAATAATGAAATGCAACACAAGCACCACAAGGAATCCGATGGAGCTGCCGGTAATCAACGACACATACATCGTACCACGCGTCGGATGGAGCGTGGTCAGGATATGCGGCAAGTATCCGTCACGGGCAATAGCGTACAGCAACTGACCCATGCAGAACACGAACGAGTGGAAGCTCGCAATAAGTCCAAGGATCAGCATCCACGAAAAGCCCGACGTGGTGCTGTTATCCCCAAACACGCTCTGATACCCCGTCAGCAGCGGTGACGTGCTGCTGTAGATCTCGTCGGCGCCAGGGTAGATCATCGAGTTGAAGATGACAGTGCAAAACGCCAGCACAACCAACGTGGCGATGGAGCTCATGAGTCCCAGCGGCATGTTGCGCTCCGGGTTGATCGTCGCCTCAACAGCCAGAGGCAGCTCTTCAATGCCCAGGTAGAACCACAACGCGAACGAATATCCAACCACGGCTCCGTCCCACCCCGCAGGGAACTGCCAATTGCGGTCCGCCACCCACTGCTGGTAATCGATCTTGGTCGCCGCGCCGATGTAGAACACGAGTAGAATCACCACCGACACGACCGTCGTGACCGCCTGCACGCGGAAGGTCATCTCGATGCCCACGATGTTGAGCGACACGAAGAGGACGTAGAAGACGGCCCACCAGATCGGACCGTACTCGGAGCTCAGACTCAGCAGCTGGTTCATGTACGAGCTGATGCCCGTGACCACGACGGCGCACGTGATGACGACCTTGAGGCTCTCGGCCAGGCCGGCGAAGAAGGCGGCGCGCGGGCCGATGGCGTGCAGCGCGAAGACGTAGGGCCCCCCACCGGCGGGCACCGTCGTGGACAGCTCGGCGATGGAGAAGGACAGCAGCACGTAGAGCACCGTGACGAGCGCCAGGATGATGAGCAGCCCGTCGAAGCCCGCCACGAGGCCCGACTGCCAGCCGAAGAAGTCGCCGCTCACGACGGCGCCCACGCCCAGCGCCCACAGGTGCGGCGCCTTGGCGTAGCGCGCAGAGTCCGATGCGTCGGCCATCAGAACTGTTCGGGGGTTCTGTTGTGGAGGTGCTGTTCGAACTTCGGGCTCGTAGCCACGAGGAGAGACGATGCCTGATGGTCACAACTTGTGACCTTGTGACACAAGGTCATGGCGTTGCAGAGCTGTTTGTTCACAAAGTGCGTGGCATCCAGTTATTGGCACGAAGTGGCAACACAGCTGCAACTTAAGCCTTTGTTGTGTGGACTATTTCGGTGGGGTTGTGAGCAGGCACCAGATTAAAGTGCTGTAAAGTTGCGCGTCACAAAAAGTTTTGCAACATATGATTTATGCAACAGAGCAATCGAACTGTTGATGACAGCCTGCGGATGCACTGGGCGCCTTCCATATAAAACCGTTTGATCAGTTTAATCCGTAATTTATTTTACTGGGATAGGAAGCAACGTTAGTGCTGCTATCGCAGACCAAATAGGATTATATCCGTGGTACGTCAAGTCAAACGATGACTCCTCCTGACATCTAACTGGTATATTTTCTTGAAACCGGTACGACTCCGGTGCCGGTTTATATGCGCGAAGTGATTAAAGCAACCTTAATGGGAACATAAAAAATCCCAGAAGGTTGCTCGAGCAACCTTATATTTCTGTTAAAGTGGCTTGAGCAACCTTGTAATTTACGACACATTTCCTCTACTGAGTAGCTTACCGCAAAATTTCTACTTGGGGTAATATATTCGTACTGTAAAATTGTCAAGGTTGTCCAACGCGGCCGGAAGCTCGTGCAAAAGGTGCTTCATTTTGAAAGATCCAACGTGGAAGACCCGAAGAAGCAACAGCAAGCGCCATGTTACTCCTGCTCGATGACATGTAAGTAAGTGTGTTTGCCATGGCTTCGGGGTGCGAGTACATCTAACCTGTGCCTCTGGACAATCAGTAGCCACGTCCAACGGCGAAGCACTGCAGGGATGTGGACGACAGCCAGCAACTGGATGGCTGGAAGACGCTGCGAGGGCTGTGCGTGGATGCCCACGACAAAGAATGTGCGTGGAGGGCTGCGGCGAAGACTGTGACAGCGAAGCACGCCTGGAGGCATCTTATGGTACGTTGCACTGTGCGGAGAAAGTTGTAAGGTACTTGCGTTTTTACTCCAACGTGTGATGCCTGTGCACGTTCGAGCAGACATGAAGATCAAGGTTGCGGTCCGGCGAATCGAGATCACAGCCAAACCTAAATGGGAAGAAGCGAAAGCTAAGCAGCGTAGGGCGTAATATATGGTGTGGATATGGCTTGAACAGCTATGTTGACTATTACTGTATGCTTGACGGATTGGACCGGGTAGTCCTTAGCAACTACCATTTAGCCGGAGAACCAGTGCAATGAGACGACGGCCTTGGTAGGTGTAGGTAGGCTGCACTTGTATATACTCGATGTCTTGGCGTGACGAACATGAAGTCTGCTGGCCCATGGCCCCATGCTCGAGGCCGATTGGCTTCGCACTTTTGATCTAACATAGCGCCAACAAGTGGCATACTTGCGCCAGGTAAATGTGCTGCTTGAGTTGCCGAGCATCGCCTGCATCTCTCTCCTTCTGACAGAACTTGCGGTGCTTTTAACTAATACTACTTTGTGATGCACGCGGTACCCGTGGAACCTGGCGGGCTGCTGAACCACAGCGGATAACGTCGTGATAGTGATAGTCTCGCTTGATGCGGTGCAGCTTAGCGTGTTGAGGCCGCTTTGAGCAGTCACCAGCCCGTATGATCGTCAAATTTCGACCTCAAAGTTGACGCCGCTATTGCCATTTTCTCCTCGATAAATTACCGGTTGCTGAAGCAACCGGTAATTTTAGGATTGCCGAGCCGTTTTTAAGGTTGCGGAAGCCTCTTTAAGGGTGCTGCAACCGGTGTCGTTTTGTCGTAACAAAGTTGCTTTACGGATTGCCTGATATGCATGGGCAGATCGAACCGGTGCACTACCGACAACACTGGTATGAATCAATATATGTCTGGGTACGTATGAAAATGAAGTTAAGACTGAAGGTCAGCATTTTGATTTTTCTACAAGCTCTAAACAGATATCAACCAAGGTTCGCATTTTTGTATTGTAAAGCATTGCCGGTAGACAGTTTGAACTGGCAAATTTCCGGGCAGATGCTGCGGCTGCGAAGCAGGCGCAGGAGATGACCGTAGCTAATAAAAAAAAAATGAATACATACATAAAAGAAGGGGTTTATACCAAAATTCTCCTATCCCAGCCTTCGCGGAGCCCTAGTAAATTACCGAAGCGTTTAATGCGCCCCAAAACGGTTGCTGGAACGCGACCTTCGAGTATAGTGGAGTTCAGTCACTTGTTTAATCACGTTGCTAGTTAAGAGTAGCATTAGAATTGTTTGATGAGACCAAAAAGTGGTCTTTTTGGTCTCATCAAACAATAATAAAAGTTTAATCCGGGATTAAACTTTTATGCGCGATCTTTGGTGAGGGTTTTGGAAGGCGCCCACTACTGTACCGCATGTAACACGCGACTCGACTCGAGTAGCATGCTACGCTACAGGTTGGCTGAGCAGAACGGGCTAAAGTATTTGAACGTGACAGTGGTCTTTCCGTGTTAGTTTTAGGGACAAGGACCCTCGTACACGCAATTCACAAGTGCGATACGGTTGATATGTCTTCAGAATGTACAGTGTCCGAATTGCACGACGACATACCGATGCAGAGGGTTGCAAGCGGCAACTATGCATTTATAGTACCGCATTCATGTGTGCATGGAGCTAGATGCACAGGTACAGGCTCGACATCCAAGCTTCTCGGAGGAAGAGTGACAACTTTGCGTGGCGTTCATCTAACGTGTTGACAATGTCAGTTTGGCGTGTTGGGAGTACAGTACATTGCAGAAAGGCTCGCCAACTTGGTGGTGTGCTTGTACTTGTCCAAGGGGTACACTGTACATGGATAAGTTACTGTACAGCGTTCCTGGCGCGGCCCGGCGATCAGCGACAACTCACACTGCAAGTATTTCGCCTGAGGCAGGCGAAAACGAGCTGTCGACCGAGATTCGAGGGGCTTCTACTGTACATACTCGGAGCGAGATGACAACCCACACATGCATGCGAAGTTTGCCAAGCGAGCCGACCTCGTCGTTGTGGTTGCCTTGCAATGCCTTGGTCACACCGCTGTGCCTCACAAGCGGCTGTACATGTAGCTCGCCCATTCTTCGCTCTCGGAAAGGCGATTCAATGGTTGCGCTGCGCAATGCCTAGCAAGACGCCCGTGACTATCCAGACTAACAGCGTTGCTGTCACAGGACTTCCATCAGGTCCCGCTCCTATCGGATTGACTCATGCACAGTGCGCTTGTACATTCCACACAACGCTGCTGCGCGGGGAGTCCCCGCCGGGGACGTGACGGTGCACGGCAGTACACGTATACAGCCACTTGCCACCGTCCCGCCAGCTGCAAGCCCCACAGCGTTCATGCAGCTGCAGCAATTCTCCATAATGTGTCCGACGTCACCTGCCGACGTGTAAGCAAGCCATTCTTATCCCGGGCTGCCCTCCTCAAGGGCAGCGGATGTAGCCATTTGCGCTGATTTGTTATTTCAACCAATAGCCGATTTTTATCCCGTATCTGGGCCAATCACAGGCCGTCGTTTGTCTGGCTTTTTTCCGCCTCCTCCCCCTTCAAAGCAAAGCACATAGCAAACCGCCAGACGCTCGCCATGGGCGAAGTGATCCGCGTGCTGCTGCTCAACCCGCTGACGGGCGTGACGTCGCTCGTGTGTCTGCAGCGCCCGCTCGAGTGGGACGGCGTGCTCAGCGACTTCTACCAGGTCATCACCAACTCGGACGACGACCCGGCGCCCAGCATCCTGGCCAAGTGCAAGGTGCTGCTGCACCCGACTAAGTCCAAGAGCGAGAAAGGAGTCGTGGTAAGTATGCACACCATCAACCAATAGGCCCCCACACTAGCCTTGTCAACCGTGCTCAATTGTGTATTGTGTACTCTGTGGCAGATCCGGAAGAACGCATTAGATCGGTCCATCCGCGATGGAGACCTCCTGAGTCTCGACGGATTCCAGCTCGACGAGACGGCGGGCCCCCCTCCAGAGCTGCTGGACATTATGGACACGCTGGACTTCGACGTGCCCGTGGACTTCGGCGCGGAGCTCACCCCGTCGGACAATCTCAACTCGACCGGGAGCACGGACGCGGCGGCTAAAGTGGCCCCCGAGCCCATGATCAAGCCCATCGTCAAGCCAGTGGGCCAGATGCAGCCCCCTACGGCTTCTCCGGGCGCGTCGCGTAGCAACTCGCGCAAGTCCAAGAGAGGCCGCAGCTTGTCGTCCAAGTTCTGGCTCGTGAATAAGCTGGCGGCCAGTGGCAAGATCAGCAAGGAGCAGAAGGACTCGCTCAAGATGCTGCTCATTGCGTCCGACGACTCGGCCCTGCACAAAGCGTTTGAGCACTATGAGGAGACCGGAGACCTGGACACGCTGCTGAACCTGCAGGTGAACTCCAAGAAATCGTTCGCCGGCTTGCCGCCGCTCTCCACGGAAGCCTTCGACTTCCAGCTCACGCAGAACATTGAAAACGAGCTGGACCTGCTTTCCATGCGAAGCTTCAACGTTGGAGGAGGTGCCAACTCGCCGGCGAACCAGGCACCGTCCCCTGTCGCTGCTCCGCCAGTAAGTACCGGGAGCAACAGCAGCGTCGCTGTTAACGAGCCAATCCCGTTCTCAGCAAACACGAATGGTGACGCCCTGGACCCGTTAGATGTGTTGCTAGACTCGACGCTGGACTCGCTGCCGATGCCCATAGGCCACGGCGACGACCAGAACCTGCCGTCAGCACTGCCTGGCGATCTGCATGGCATGGAGGAGTGGCTTAAGGATTAGATAATGGTGTGAACAGTCTGGTGTGGGGTGGGTCGGTGAGTCCAATACGCAAGCAGAGACACAAGATACTGTAGAGAACTTGCAGATCAAAGCACTGTGTGAGGCCAAAAAGCAAACCGAACAAGACCCAGAGGAGTAAGTGATTGGGTGAGTGAAATTCGAGTGTCCGTCCAGTGCGAAGGTTTCTATCACAGCTGCACCCAGCAAAAGCCACAGCTATTGTCCTTGGCTCTACCAGCTCGGCGTCTCCTTCTCCTCCCACACGTCGGTGATGTGCGGGCCCTTGGACGCGTCCAGCGGCGTGTCCTTGAGGAAGTCCTGGCGCTTCTCCTCGTCCATCATGCTCGCTCGGTAGCACAGGTACATGTTCTTCCACGTGAACTTGCACTCGTCTACCTGGCCGTATCTGTAGAAATGCTCCATCTGGTTGCCGGGTGCTGGCAGGAGACAAATGCACAGCGCGCGTCAGTCGAATGTCATTCATTCTCCTCCACACACCCGTCAACACTGCAGTGCAACAAAGCGTCCACGTACTGACGCAGTAAAACGACCGGTCCAGGAACCACCGACACGACATTTTCTTGTTGGCGTCGCCATCCTGCTCCTTCCGAAGCTTCTCCTCGTGCAGGTATCGCGCAGTGCGCTCGGCGTTCGACCCCTGCGAGTCCATCGTGCTCAGGTCGCGGAGTGACAGGTTTCGGTACACTGATGGTACATAAGCTGTGTGACATGCACACAATGTAGCCAAGAACCCACACTGTAGCCAAGAGCCTAAAGGACAACATCAACTTGCGAGAAGATCGTCACAAATTCGGGCCACCAACACTTATCAAGCATGATGACTTCACGCGGAGGGCGCAGTGACGAATTATATTGGATGTTGATGGTGGAAGTCTGCTTTACACCGGCAACTTGATGTGGATCACGAGCGTGGCGTAACGTTCCAGCCCTTGAGTTTGAGCTCGTGGAGCTGCTCTTGCAGAACTTTCGTGAGCTCGATGGTGCCTTCCAGTACGCTGCGCAGCTCTTCTTGCACCTGGGAGCGGTCGGCAGGTTTGATCTTGGGTGCTCTTGCACGCGTTCCATCGACGTCAGACGAAGGATCGCGTGAGGCGCTCGACGGTCGAGTACCCAGGCGGGATCGTGGAGCAGAGCTGCCGCGCAGGAACGAAGTTTTCGAGCGAGTAGATGTTGCAGTGGGCTGCTTGATCTGCGTGTTGTTGTTACCGGTCGGTGAAGCGTGCAGTTGCATCGTCTGGCCAAGAGGAACTGTCGCTAGCTGCTCGAATTCGCGGAGTGGAGCAACAACACGAGCGTTAAGGTACCAAAGAGTGCTCACGGTGGACATGAATGAAGGCGGTGCATGCAATGAATAGGGAGAGGATATGAAAAATCTCCACAGAAATGACGCGGTCGCCGCCCACAGGGTCCATGACCTTGATCATGTGGATGCCATCTCTATCCTAAACACACATCGAGCTTGGTAAGCTCTTACCATGTACAGTATCCATGGTTATCACGCGACGTACCGGAGCTGGTCCGAACGACTTGGTGCTTCCGATTGCGGCCATCATCTTGTTCGCCTGGTCAATCTTGACTGAAATCTTCTTCTTGAATTCGTTCTCCTCACGGAAAAGCTCTCGCTGCGATCACAGCGCTACAGGTTGACAAAACGTTCATGCTGTTGAGTAAAATGAGGCACGTACGGCGAACTCTCGATCGCGCGCCTTCTTCTTCTCTGCAGCCGCTCGCAGGTAAGCGATCGAGATGGATGCAGCTGAGCGCTTTGGCGTATCGTCGTTGTCTTGAACATTGCGTGAAGTTGAAGCCGACTTTGGGCGCCCTGCTGGAGCGGACGACGGCCGAAACTTGGGCTTCGACCTGAACTTTGCATCTGACACCGGCTGCCGACTTAGCTTGTGCACAGAACGAAGGAAGAGGTAAAACTACCTTCGCACAGCATACCTGACAGCGTAACCTTACCGGACCAGTGCCTACGTTGCTGCTTCGGCTGCTGCCTGTTCACTTGTTGCTGCAGTTTGTGCTCTCGCTCAGCTGCATCGCCGAACTCTCCTCCATCGTCATCTCCGTCGTCGTCTTCAACAACTTCTTCTTCCTCTTCCTCCTCCTCGAGATCGTTATTCCTGCTGTATGACACAAGCTCAGGTCGCGCACTCAGCACCTTCCTAGACGTCGTAGGCTTCGCACTCGTCGGCCGAGGCCGCGGGGGCCGTGCGCCAGCCGCCGACCAAGTCGAAGACGCCAGCATCGTCTTCGATAGCAGTGACCTAAAGGCACCTGTACAGCAACAAAACACCAAACGTGACTCTTCACCTGGAACCGTCACCTCCACCAACACGGCAGCAAGAGCCTCCAACACAGGCGTTCATTTAAAAGCTTCCCATTTTTCTGTTGTTTTTCCAATCTTCCTTTTCTGCTTTGCCTGTGGCAAGACGAAGAGAATCCCCCTCCCTCTCAACCCCCTCCTCCCTCCATCATCTCTGTAAGAGGACGACGCAACGCGACGCGACGGTGGCAACCTGTTATCCCTGTGCGTGGCTTCCCCGCCTGACTTCTATCTGCAGACGGCTCGGACCCCGCGTCAAGAAGCTGCTTCCTGAGTCTGTCGCTATAGGGATTCGCGCGGGCTGTTTACCACCGGGTGAGCTCGGCGCGCTCATCGGCCAGCTTCTCGGCCTCCACGACCTTGTCGCTGACGTAGAACTCGAGCGGGCGCTGGATGGCCTGGATCTCGTCGGGCAGGTAGCTGCGCTTGAGCGAGCAGTCGGCGGCGCGGGCGATGCGCTTGGTGCGGGCCTGGTAGTCCTCGCCGTTGACCCAGTGCAGCGCCGTCTGCACGGCGGCCGTGTCCACGAGGGCGTCGTCGTACTTGAGGCCGTACATGCCGAACGACTTGCTGACGGACTTCTGGTACAGACCCGCGACCTTCTTGATGAGGCTCATGGCTTCGGGATGGCTTAGGTTCTGGCGGTGTCGGAGACTCGGCTGGAATGTAAGTGAGCGCGTTTCTCACTCAGGGAGGGCGTGCACCACCGCACAAAAGTACTGCCGCAATGCACTGACTTAAAATACAAAGCAGTTCCTTTAGGTTATATTATAACCAATCACAGCGCGTTATTCTCCTCGAGCGCCGCCCGTCGAGCCATTCACTGCGGTTATTCCTTTTGAGAGTAGGGACAGTCTAGATTCAGTACATTGATAACTAGTGTGCAGTACACGAAATAAAGTGCTGCCGCACCAGTTGCCGCTTCAACGTTGCCCTTGACATTCACTCTTCATCCTGATGGAAGATCTGCGCGCTCCGAGTGGCGCCCCCGCCCCAGGCACGCCTCGCCCGCGCACTCGAGGCGCTCGCCGTCGACCGCCGACGCCGACGCCGCTGTCCGTAGGCTCCAAGCGACACAAGGAGTCGGCGTTCCCGGTGCTCTCGTCCGCCCTGCCGGCGCCCCGTCGGCCGGTAACAGCGGCGCAGCCTCCCACTGCCCATGCAACTGCCAAAGCCCCATCACTTCGAGGCGGGACGAGCGTCGGAGAGCGACGCTATAATGTGAATAATCCTACAGAAGACCGCCACTCCTCTCTCGGAGAGAGGCTCCATGCCTCCGGGCTCAAGCGCAGCGTCGTCCAGGCGCAACTCTTCCCTGCTGTCAACGGGAAGCAGAACACGAGGCTTTCTGAGGGTCTAGTGCCTAGAAAACGTCGTGAAGGAGATGGGTACGGCAACAACCAGAGTATAGATGAGACCAACCTGTGCTTTAAGCCCCTGGTGTCGTCGCTGAACGTGCATCCGACGGGGGCAGTGCTGATTCCGTCGCGGCCGACGTCTTCGGCGGCGACAGCTACGGCTTCGACACAGAGGAAAAGACTGCTGACGTCTGCGGGGGCGAAGACAGTGAGGGAGTACTCGGTTAATGAGAGAGTGGTGCCGGAGAGAGAGCCCATGAGTGCGAGAGATCGATACTATGTTGACCAGCGAGCTACGACGGCACCTGGACAAAAGCATCATTTGAGACCGCCAGTGGTTTCTGGAGGGTATGTTGGGGAAAGCGGAAGTGTGGAGGATACGAGGAAAACAAACGAGACACCAGAATCTGGGATTATTGCTGAGAACAGTAATCAGAAATACTGGGATGAGCCAGCAGTTAGCGATAGCCCACGCCGTGGTGATCTACTTGCACGTCGCCATGAGGTCAAGTCACTAGCAGAAAAACTAGTGGGCGGATTTACGCAACGGAGCGATTCTTCTAGTGCCGAGAGTGGTCCTGCGGTCGTGTACGGGCTAACTACTCCAAGTGGAGCTGTACCACGGGATTCCTTCTTCTACATGAGGCGGGTTGGGTCGAACCCGTACAATTTGGAGGTCACAAACCACTCGCGCATTAACCCAAAAGACTACTTCACGGTTAGCCGACTTGGTGTGACGCACTTTGCACCAGACGGAGTTGAGTTTCTCCCATTGCAACGGTTTGAGCGTGAAAACTACATCTACTCGCTCCTGATCAAGGTAGGGTGGCGACCAGAACCTGAAACTGTTCTTGCTGTGGCGTTATTGCACTGCTCACTTCGTTTGTTGCTGTCCTAAAGTTACCATTTTTCAAGAAATATCGCATCTGGAAGAGGTTCACGATCTGGAAACGAGCTGTCAGTGCGAGAAAGCGAGTCAACGCTTTCGTCTCCCTCAACAACAGCCTTTTCATTTTATTACCACACCTCCATGACGCGCTTCTTCAGGTTCGAAGCGCGTGTCTCGATCTCCAGGAAGCCAGATTATTCGATTTTGAACATCCAATGGGGCCAGCAGAGATTTCAACTTGGACAGCGGGCACAGACAGTGAACAACAGCATCAGCCGCAGAGGACATACACACTGGCTGAGTTTTCATTACGCCTGAAAGCTCAAAAGACTCGAGTGGAGCGACTCGTTGACCACTTCATTTCGGATTCCGAAATGACAGCGAAGCACGCGTGTGAGAAGTATATATATTCATTTCTTCAGAGCACTGGTTTCAATGACTCGACACCTACGGGGAACTCAGAGGATAAACGAAGACGATCATCGACTCTAGCATCTCGACGGAAGGGAAGCAAGAAAAGTCGTGACGAAGACAGTTCAGCTGAGCAGAAGCCGATGACATACACCGAACGAGCAACCATGAGAACTCAATGCCGTCGAATCACCAAGTTTCTCCGCGTCGTCGAGTTTCTGGTCTCCGATGCGCTGTTGCGGATGGCGATCTCATCCACGGTTTTCCTGAAAAAATCGCTCGTAACTTTTATCCGTGATATTGACGACGACGGCGATTTTTCAGGCGGTGAAAGTCCTCCCAACAAGCTTAACTTTTCAGCCCTGACCGACTTCACGGCTCAGCAGCCCCTGATTCGTGTCGAGGTAGCGTTGAAAAGTGATACTACAGGCCAAGCGGGTCGTTCTGGTCGCCCGCGAGCTACAAGGATGAGCACCGTGTCTGGTGTAGCTCCTAATAATTCGGGTGACAAAAACAGCTCCGCTCCTACATCTATCAGGGGCCACGAAGTTCTGCTCGAGTCTGGGAAAGCTATGGATGTGCTTGAGTTCAATCCCAGCACAGAAACGCTTCGGTTGCAGCTAGAAACATTAGTTTTCAATGGTTTATCAGCCGTCACCAATCGCGAGAGGCTCCTACGAAATTCGATGTTTAAAGTCTACGCAGGGGCAAGCCTAGATGATGGATCTCAAGGTGGCGATGGCGATGACGATGGCGGGGAGTTATCAAGTGCAAGCATGGACCTTGACATACTGATTATGGAGGACGCTACATTCGTTGAAACTCTGCAGAGCATTAATTCGATTGTCCTCGATGTCTTCGAACTTGCTGAGGAAAACTGTGGAGAACTTTCGATATTCCTCGAGCGATATCAAGAGAACACTCGGTTTTGCAAAGAGGTCTCAGACCCAGCACGCTATCTAGACACTGACGTACATGACTTTCGAGAACTTCTGGACAAATATATACAGGAGGCACAGGATGTCGACGCTGTTGCCGAAACCGCATCATGCGGTTTACTACTGTTGGATAGGACGGGGTTGAACACGTTTCTGAAGCCTTCTCCTCGCAAGTGCTTGGACGGTCTTTATAAACTGATTCCAGTGGTTTTTCGCTTGCTGAATGACAACCTCATCAAAGAGTTGACTACCACGAACGACCGAATCAGCACGATCCCGACAACGGTAGAGGAGTTTTCAGAGTCGCTGGCATATTTGCGTGAATTGCAGGCTGGCCAAGACGAATTGGAGGAGAAGTGTCGTTGTGTTCGAAGCTTGTATCATCTGCTTGAAGAGTACCGCGTGAAGATGACAGACACTGATCAGATGAACGCATTTGTTCTCACGCAAAAGAAGTCGCAGCTGATAGCTTCGATAGAGCTTTTTGAAACGTGTTGTGAACAGTACTCTGCTAAGTTTGGCATCGAGCTTGAGGCTCGGCTACCGGGGCTCGTCTCCAAGATAACGACAGTCTCTGACGCGCTGTCTAACTCATCCCTTTTCGACCTGACGTCTGATATTAACGACACCATTATCTACCTCACGCGTGTTGAGTCGGACATCATCCAGCTTGAAGCTGATGTAAAGCTCCATTTCCAGTACGAGAAGACTCTAGGTCTGCCGCAAAGCACTGCCTTTGAAGAGCTGGATAATCTAAAAGCCGATTTGAAACTTAAAATTGAGATGTGGAAGATGTTTCGAGAGTGGCGTGGCGTCGTGTCTGTATGGGAGAAACAGCGATTCCCAGAGGAGATAGACTTCGCGATGATTGTTGACCAAGTCGAGCACTTTAACAGCCAAATTACAAGGTGGGAACAACGGTTGTCGGAGGTTATGGGGCCATTATGCGCACACTTGAAGTCTTGCGTGGAAGAATATCGGGTTACCATGCCGATTTTGACTGATTTAAAATGCGCAAGCTTCGAAGAGCGCCACTACAACCAGCTCCGCGAGCTACTTGGGTTTGGTATCCGGCAACTGGAAGGTACAAGTCGCACATCTGCAAACACACCAGTACTCACGTTGGGAGAGTTAGTTCAAAAGCAGCTCTCACCCTTCAGCTCCCAAATCAACCGCATCGCGACAGAAGCAGCGCAAGAACGGCTTCTGAAAGACATGCTATCAAAAATCGTCGTATTATGGGAGCGGCTCGAATTCGACGTCAAGCCGCACAAAGAATCAAAAGAGTATTATGTCCTCGCATCACTGGAGACCATATACACGACACTAGAGGAGTCCTTGGTGAGTATGGCCACAGTGCTCAGCTCCAAGTTCCTGGCTCCGATCAAAGATTTGGCACTGATGTGGCACAAACGCCTGCTATTATTTCAAGAAACATTTGATGCTTGGATTGAATGTCAAAGGCAGTGGATACACCTCGAGACAATTTTTTCGGCTCCCGATATTCAAAAACAGCTTCCGAATGAAGGCGCTATATTCCTGGGAGTGAACCAGTTCTGGAAAGATTTGATGCGGAGAACTCGAGACCAGCGAGGCTGTTTGAAGGTCACCGGAGCCGTACTGATTGGTATTAATGCTCCCAGTGGACCAAAACCTCATAAAGACACTGGAAATGGAATTATTAGTGGCGGGAGCAGTGGGGGTGTTGGTGTAGGGCAAGCGCTTTTAGACAGTCTTACAAAGCACAACGCCTCACTCGAACGGATCGAGAAGTCCTTAGAAGACTACCTGGAAATGAAACGGCGAGCATTTCCCCGCTTCTATTTCATCTCAAATGATGAACTACTGGAAATGCTGGCACACGCGAAGGAGCCGCAAGTTGTGCAGCGACACTTGCCGAAGTGTTTTGATGCCTTGGTGAAGCTGGATATAAGTGACGATGCCGTTCATAGCTCAGGAACCTCCACATCGGTGACGAGCTCACAGGATATCGTTGCTATGATCAGCCCCGAAGGAGAGCGCGTTGCATTTGGACGAACGCTGAAAGCTCGTGGAAATATTGAAGACTGGCTGAACGCTGTGCTTGTCAACATGAAAACTTCACTTCACCGGCACGTCAAAATCTGCTTGGGGGACTATCAGCATTCGTCCCGTGAAACATGGCTATTCCGTCACCCCACGCAAGCAGTTGCTGTCGTGTCCTACATTATCTGGGCAAAAGAGTGCGAGTTTTGTTTACGTTCTCGATCACAAGACCCTGTTCGCGATTTATCCCTCTGGCACCAGACTATCTGCTCGCAGTTAAGTAACTTGACTAGGTTGGTGCGAACATCGCTTACACCTGTCCAACGTCGAATTGTGGTATCTTTAGTGACGACAGATGTCCACTTCCGTGATATTGTTGAGTCCTTGGTGGCCAAAAGGGTGGCAAATGAAAACGATTTCTTGTGGCAGCAGCAGCTTCGCTATCAATGGCATACCGAATATGATGAGTGCGAGATCCAGCAAGCGAACTGCAGAATCAAATACGGATACGAGTACATGGGTGCGTGTAGCCGTCTCGTCATCACACCTTTGACTGACCGCTGTTGGATGACAATTACTGGAGCGCTTGAGCTACGGTACGGTGCAGCTCCCTCTGGCCCCGCTGGAACGGGTAAGACGGAGACATCGAAGGACCTCGCAAAAGCACTCGGCATTTTGTGTATCGTGATCAACTGTAGCAGCCAGATGAGCTGCAAAATGATGGGAAGCATTTTTAACGGAGTGATTCAAGCCGGGACGTGGGTGTGCTTGGACGAGTTCAATCGTGTTGATATCGAAGTGCTATCCGTGGTCGGCCAACAAATGTCTGTGCTGAGGAATGCGAGGTTGATGGACGCCACAGACGTGATGCTAGATGGCCAATGCGTTCCGCTGCGAGAACACCACGTTATCATCACAATGAACCCAGGATACGTTGGACGTACAGAGTTACCAGACAACTTGAAGGTCTCGTTCCGACCGGTTGCTATGATGGTGCCAGATTACGCTCTAATCGCTGAAATCTTGCTCTTTGCGGAAGGATTCCAATTGGCGAAGCCCCTATCACGCAAAGTCACGAAACTATACAAACTTTGTAGTGAGCAGTTGTCCCAACAAGCTCACTATGACTTTGGAATGAGAGCAGTACGGACGGTTCTCACAATGGCAGGCTCGCTCAAGCGCTCTGCAGCCGCGACCGTGGCCAATGCACCTGGAGCCACCGCAGCGAATGTAACAGCTCCTGATGCAGCAAATAGCGGTGACGAGAACATTGTTTTGATTAAGGCCATGGTAGGCGCGAATACGCCAAAGCTTACCGATCAAGACAATCGGTTGTTTCAAGGCATTGTTAAAGATCTCTTCCCAGACATGCTTACGTCGCTGGGTGCTGTTGAAAGCGAAGATCTTCTCCACGGAGTAGGAGTGTTCACCCCGTCTGCTGCACCCGGTGGTGTGGGCTGGATGGCCGTGTTAGAAAATGAAATTTATGAGCAGTTGCGACGTGATGGTTTGCAGAGCCCTCGGCCGTGGATGAAGAAGATACTGCAATTGTTTGCAACATTGGAGGTGCGGGTCGGAGTCGTTCAAATTGGTTCCACGGGAAGCGGTAAAAGCACAGCTCTGAAAGTACTGAAAGCTGCAGTGACTGCTCTACGCGATCGAGTTGCACACCCAGATACACGTTTCCAGCGCGTGGTTTCGTACACTTTGAATCCTAAGGCACTTTCGATGGTTGAATTGTATGGCTTCTTCCATCCCGTTACGCACGAATGGACAGATGGATTAGCGTCGAAGCTGCTGCGAACGTGCATCATGGAGAAGAACGAGGAGATGCTGGCTCGACATTACGCTAACCATGCGGTTGGAGTCAATAGTGATCCTTCAACATGGAATTTGCCATTCTACTGGATAAACTTTGATGGGCCTATCGATGTGCACTGGATTGAGAGCATGAATACTGTCCTGGATGATAACATGACGCTGTGCCTGGCAAACGGTGAACGGATCAAGCTTCTACCAAAGATTCAGCTTTTGTTTGAGGTGGCAGATACTAGCGCAGCGTCGCCTGCAACAATCAGCCGCCTGGGTATGGTTTACTATCATCCCAAGTGCCTTGGGTGGCAACCGTTTGTTGATACTTGGGTATCAAAATTGACTGCTCCCGTGATACCTCTTCCAACGTCGCCTTCATCTACCCATGCGTCAGCTCCAAAGGAATCCACGGCATCGACACCGTTAAATTCCAAGATCAAGGCGCGAATTCTCAAATACTTTGAGCTGTTTGTGGAGGCTGGTTTATCGTTCGTCCGTCCTTCCGCTTCATCAAATACGTCAATGCGAGTGCCGGTTGCTACATGTGATTTAGCTTTCGTCACCTCAGTTTGCCACATTTTTGAAGCGCTATTGACTGAGCGAGCACCCCCAGAACTTTTTGCGGCCACCCCACCCGCCATACGAGGCGGTACCGTGAGCCTTGAAGATGTACTAACACTGGATTTATCATTGTCGTTGGACGAGCAGCGGAACCGATGCATGGACCTAATGTTTATATACAGCTTCGCGTGGTCTATCGGCGGCAACCTGCATCTTGACCAGCTCAAGGGGGAATTTCAGGACTTCCTCTACCGGTTGATCTGCTCGAACGAGCAATACTTGAGCCCCGACATATTGGCGGTGGACGGCAAAATTCCAACGCCAGCAGGGTTATCACAAGCTTCTGGAGATATCCACGACTTCTTCATTAACTTCCAGTACCTAAGCTTCTCGCCGTGGGCGAGCAGTTTGCTGGAACAAGCGCAACATCAGCAGTCAAGTCGAATAATAAGTGGCCGTCTTCTGGTCCCAACTCTAGAAACGCTGAAGTATCGCTACCTGGTTGAATTAATGGCGATCGATGCGAGGAGACCCGTGCTACTGACGGGTGCAACAGGGTCCGGGAAGTCTACGCTGGTTAACCACATCTTAGATGTGCACGCACGGATTGCCGCTGACATCGATCCGTCTGATTTTGATGCCACCTCATTGCTGTCCGTGATCGCACACGGAAAAGTGTTTCCGCTTGTATTGAATCTATCCGCGCAGACTTCGAGCGACAGTGCTCAACTAAGTATCGAAAGCAAGTTCGCGAAAAAGCGTCGGACGCTGCTCGGAGCACCAGTCAACAAGCAGCTCGTCGTAGTCTACGTCGACGACGTCAACATGCCAAGCGCCGAGCAACATGGCGCACAGCCAGTTATTGAGCTCTTGAGACAGTATTTGGAGTTCGAGGGTTTCTATGATCGCGAAAAGTTTTTCTGGAAAGATGTCAAGGACTCTGTCCTGATTGCTGCAGGTGGCTTACCAGGTGGAGGTCGTCAACCGCTTTGTCCTCGTTTCGTACGTCACTTCAGCGCCGTCTTCTGCCTTCCAAGCTGCAATGAAGCAGCACTGAAAACGATATTCAATTCGATTCTTGCCGCACACATCGCGGCGTGTGGCGGCAGTGGAGTGTTTGCGAAGAACGTGAAGGATACGCTATTGCAGACAGCCGATGCTACGTGTGAGCTATTCCAACGTGTTGTACAGGGGCTTCTTCCAACTCCTTCGAAGTGCCATTACACGTTTAACCTCCGAGATGTGACCAAGCTTATGCAAGGAATTGTACTTGGTACACGAGGGTTTGCCGGATGCACAAACTACAACAAATCCGGGGGTACTCCGCCGACGAGCTCGTTGACAGCGAACACAGTGGTGAGTTTGTGGGCACACGAGGGAATCCGTGTCTTCCGCGACCGTCTTGTGGACGACACGGATAGAACATGGTTCTCTGAGCAGCTAGTGGATATAGCCAACCGAAACTTCGGTCTGTCCTGGACGATAAACAATGTGTTTGTTACGGAAAGCACAATGGAGAACAACCAGGTGCATCCTACTGATGGCGATGGAAGTCCAGCAAAATGGAGTAAAACGCGACTACTTTTTTCGCCAAGACGAGTAGACAAGCGGAAGGAATCAACGACAAGCAGTACGAATACCGCCATCAGGTACGATCAAGTCGGTGATCTTGGGCGTTATGAAGCGTTCCTGAACGGTCAAATCGCAGCGTACAACACGAGCCCGCTTCAAAATTCGACATATCGCCCCGCTCTCGATCTGGTACTGTTCGAAGACGCGATGGTGCACACTGCAGCAATCGCTCGGATCCTTGTACAACCGCGAGGTCACGCGATGCTTCTGGGAATGGGAGGATGCGGAAAACGCTCTCTCGCAAGACTTGCTGCTTTCATGACTGGGTATCGCTGCTTTGAGATCGAAATGAAGAAGGACTACAATATTGAGGACTTTAGAGAAGACCTGAAGTGTATGATGAAGCTTGCTGCGCTAGGAGAGACTGGTGATGGATATATGAAACCCACGCGAAGTAAATCTGGTCGAAGTACCCGCACACTGAACGTAAATATGAATGGTGAAGGCTCAAATTCTGGTAGCGCTGTTCCCACCGTTTTCCTGATAAACGACTCGCAATTGGTGTGCGATGCCTACTTGGAAGACATCAATACGATTCTAAACGGCGGTGATATTCCAAAGCTATTCGCCTCTGACGAACTGGAGAGAATCATCAACGATGTCAGGACATTACTTGAGCGCATCGCAAGTGAGCTGAAAGCTTCCCAGTCCGCTCATGGAGAAGTGACTTCAGACATGGCTGATTTTACTCGAAAAGACTGCGAGGACTACTTCCACTCGATGGTTCAAAACTCGCTTCACTTTGTTATCTGCATGAATCCTCTGGGCGAAGAATTCCGCGCGCGGGTTCGACAGTTCCCGGCGCTCATCAACTGCACCACAATCGACTACTTTGACGAATGGCCGAAAAGCGCTCTAGAATACGTTGCCGAGTTTTATCTGTCTCAAGAGATGCCTGAAGATCGATTTCAAGGAATTCCTGTATTGAGCAGGGGATCAAGCACCCCCGACCTGTCAAGCTCTCCGGTCATCCGATCAGCATTGACTTCACTGTGCGTTGAAGCCCATCAATCCATTAGCGCGGTGCTCCCAACCTTCTTTGCCGACTGCCGAAGACGGGTCTACATCACGTCACAGCACTATCTCGACTTGATCTCTCTGTTTCGCCGTATTTATCAAGAGAAGAAAGCCGGGTGGGAAACTAAACTGCAGCGGTTGATGGCTGGAGTCATTAAGCTCGAGGAAACCAACTCCCTCGTCACTACGCTGCAAGATGAGCTGGTCACTCTTCAGCCAGTTCTCACGAGCAAGACGAAGGAAGCGGAAGAGCTGCTGGCTCAAGTCGCCATCGACCAAGTGGAAGCGGAGCAGGTCGCAAAGCGAGTAGGAGCGGATGAGGCGGTTGTGAAGGAGCAGCAGCAAGAAGTCGCAGCGTGTCAAGCGGATGCACAACGCGATCTTGACCAGGCTCTGCCAGCTCTCAACGCTGCCGTAGCAGCTCTCGATTCGTTGGACAAGAAGGACATTACAGAGGTCAAGGGGTTTGTAAAGCCGCCACAGGCTGTGCAAGTCGTGATGGAGGCTGTGTGCATCATGCTGGGTGAAAAGGCCGACTGGGACAACAGTAAACGGATTCTATCACGATCAACGTTCATGTCGGAGCTCAAAGAGTACGACAAGGATAATATCCCTGCGGCGATCCTGAAGAAGATCCGAAAGTATATTGAGAATCCAGACTTTGCTGTCGAAGAAGTTAAGAAAGTTTCGTGCGCTGCGATGTCCCTGTGCATGTGGGTGCACGCCATTGACACGTACGCCCGCGTGTTTCGAGAAGTAGCCCCTAAACGTCAGCGGCTGGCTGAGATGAACCTGGTCCTCGAGAGCGCCAATGCAAAGCTGGCAACAAAGCAGCAAGAATTGTTAAATGTCTTGGAAAAAGTGCGTAAGCTGAAGGAAAAGTGTGACGCAACGTTGGCTGAGAAGCAGCGGCTTCTGGAGGAATCCGACTTGACCCAGCAACGGTTGAAGAATGCTGAGAAGTTGACCGTGGGTCTTCACGATGAGCGCATTCGTTGGAAGGGCAGTATCAAGCTACTGAAGCAAGAAGGAAATGCGATTCTAGGTGACTCATTCCTCACTGCAGCATGCATGTCGTATCTCGGACCTTTCGACGGCTTGTATCGAGGCAAGTTGCTGCAGCGGTGGACAGAGCGCACGATTGGTTCAATCGGTGCGTCGGACTCGTTTGTGCTTGCTACCGCTTACGGAGATGTTCGAGAATTGCGTGAGTGGCAGCTACTTGGCTTGCCAAGCGACAGTTTCTCGACAGATAACGCCATTTGTGTTTTGAAGAGTAAGCAACGTTGGCCTTTGATGATCGATACGCAGCAACAAGCAATCCAGTGGATAAAGCGGTTAGAGGCTCCTTATCACTTAGAGACTGTGAAGAGCGACGATAGCAGCTTGATGCAAGTGGTCGAGGAATGCTTGGTGGGAGGAAAACCGTTGCTGATCGAAGACGTGACTGAGATCTTGGACCCGTCATTGGAGCCTGTTCTTGCGGTGACGCCAGCTCAGCGCTCGAGTCATAACACTAAAATGTTCAACAGAGTGAAGGTAAAGCTTGAGGAGCGGATGGTGGAGACAGACGTTGAGCGCTTCCGTCTGTATCTCACGACCAAACTGGCCAATCCACACTTTATGCCCGACGTGTTTATCAAAGTAAACGTGGTGAATTTCACAGTGACGCGAGATGGACTAGAAGAGCAGCTACTAAGTGACGTTGTGCTGCGAGAACGCATTGAGGTGGAGGAGCGCAAACACACGCTACTAGCAAGTATCGCGCGCGACCAACAGCAGCTTCAGGATATCGAAATCAAGATTCTGAACCTGTTGTCCGATGCGAAAGGCAACATCCTAGATGACATTGAGCTCATTCAAGCGCTCGAGACGTCCAAACAGACGTCGAATGTGGTGGCACAGCGCCTGACCGAGTCCGAGGCCACAAAGTTCGAAGTGCTGGAGATACGCAACCAGTACCATTCTGTAGCTGTTCGTGGGGCTATACTTTTCTTCGTGATCGCTGACTTGGTGGAGGTAGACCCGATGTATCAATACTCACTGGAGTATTTCACTCGGCTGTTCAATCTGAGCTTGAACGAGGCGCCAGCAAAGAGGAACCTCTCCGAGCGGCTGGATAGTCTCAAGCGCTACATGACTCTGGCTGTCTACCGGAACATTTGTCGCGGACTGTTTAAAGCACACAAGACGCTCTTTGCCTTCGTCATATGCGTCAGGATTCTCATTAACGCCGGTGACCTCAATCCTCTCCATGTCCGTTTACTTGACCAGTCCGTCGTCAATCCAGAAATGGTTTCGGCTACAGCAACAGAGCAGACAAGCTCCAGGCGCACCACGAACGCAGCAATAATGGGAAACCTGAGCGATCTAAGAGAAGCGAAGGGGAGGTCAAGCGCAGCTGACGCTGCATTTGTTGCTCTGTCCAGAAGTCTACCCGTTTTCACCAAGCTATTGGAATCGTACTATTGCGACCATGATGCTTGGTGCAGCTGGATCGCTAGTGGAAACCCGTTTGTTTCGCGCCTGCCGGGGGACTGGGACACAAACTTGCCGCGGTTCTTGCGGCTTGTGATCATTCGTTGGCTGCGTGAGGACGCGTTTACGATGGCAGTGCGTTGTTTCGTCAAAGAAACCCTCGGCAAGGAATTTCTTGCGGAAGTGAACAGCGACGTGTCAATGAGCGATGTGTACTGCGATGTGGACAAGTCAACCCCCTGTCTGTTTATCTTGTCTCCAGGCGCTGATCCAATCTCAGCTCTCGAACGGTACGCACGTGAAAAGGGTATTGGAGAAGACAGGTACCATGTCATCTCTCTCGGACAAGGCCAAGGCCCCATTGTTGAGCTGAAGATGGAGGAGTGCAAGCAGCAAGGCTTTTGGCTTGTGCTCCAAAACGTGCACCTAGCGAAGTCGTGGCTTCCGAAGCTGCAGTCGCAACTTGCTGTCCTAAAGCAGGAGGTACGCAGTGGCGGTGTCCACGAAGACTTCCGCCTCTTCTTGGCCTCGTTCCCCGTGACGTACTTCCCCATTTCGATCCTCCAAAACAGTGTCAAGGTCATGACGGAGTCACCAATGGGGGTAAAGGCTAACCTGCAGCGCTCCATGCTGCTGATCAAGCAGCTGAATGCCGATCTGGACAGTCGCAGTGCCTTGGTGGTGACTTCTACGAACAAGACGATGAAGCTGCGCCTTGCATTTGGTCTGAGCTTTTTCCACGCAGTTGTACGCGAGCGCTCCAAGTTTGGGACACTCGGCTGGAATCTCAAGTATGACTTTAGTGACGCCGACTTTGTGAGCGTAGTGACACTCCAGCGGAGACTTCTCGATGCTGTGGCTGCAGCATTCGACAACAGAGATAATACTGGTGTTCTTAGCCGGGAAAACACTGGACTAGGGCTCGACCCCGTTGATCAAAGCAGTACTGAAGATGAAGATGCGGACGCAATGACGCAAGTTCCGTGGGATGCTTTGCTGTTCCTGGCGGGGGAGATATATTACGGTGGACGTGTTACTGACGAATTCGATCGACGGTGTCTGATGGCGGTATTGAGGCGATTCTGTTCCAAGGCGTGCTTCAGTGCTGAGCCGCGCAGTATCCGCCGCGAGTCGATATCGATTCATGGATTAACTACAGCCATTTTGAAGAGGAAAAGCTCCTCGACACTGCAGAAAAGTGTGTTTTCAATACTCGACGACAGCTTTTTCGCTCCCGAATTTCAAAGTGAAGAGGAAATGGTTCAGTTCGTTGATGCACTGCCAGATATGGATGGGCCTGACGTGTTTGGGATGCACCCGAATGCACACATTTCCTATCAAAGGCAAGTTGGGCAAGAGTTTGTGAAACTGGTTCTTCAATTGCAGCCGCACACAAACATCGTTGACACTTCTACAGAAGACGCTGCCGCGAAGAACTCAGAGAACGAGGTCTCGGATTCTAAAGTCACAGTTGGGAACCACCAGGTCGAGCTCACTGCCTTGGAGGTATGCGACGAGATCCAAGAGCAGCTTCCGCCTCGCTCTACGATAGAAAACGCGGAGTCTTTCTTGTCAAAGCGGCAGTCAGAGAAGTCCCAAGACCCACTCTTCGTTGTGTTAGAGCAAGAAGTGGTGACGTGCCACAAACTCTTGAGCCATATCAATCATCGTTTGGGAGAGGTTCGACACGCCATTCAAGGTATTGCCGTGATGTCCGTGAAGATCGAGCAAACGCTACACAGCCTCGCACAGCACCAGGTACCGGCTGACTGGATCGCTCATGATGCGCACTCCATGCCAACGACCCAATCGCTATCACAGTGGGTAACGAGTCTGCTCTTCAGGTGTGAGTTCCTGCATCGTTGGGCTGAGCGTGGTCGACCACCACATAATTCGTTCCCACTATCCGTCTTCTCGTTCCCACAGGGACTATTTACTGCAATTCTGCAACGCCATGCGAGGAAACATTCGATCCCGATCCATTTCCTGGACTTCCAGTTCCGCGTACTGAGCGAGCACAAATTTGTGACGCTTGAGACTTCTGAAGGCCAGCTGAGCGTCGACGGTGTGGTGGAAGGCAACGATGAAGGCGCGTATCTAACTGGATTGATGCTTGAAGGTGCGCACTGGAATGGCGAGCTTCGTTGTCTTTGTCGGCCCCAGCATGGCATCATGCGGCAGACCATGCCAGCTGTACATGTTCTACCTCATCGGAGTGCTGGGATGGGTGGTAATGCGCTAACCGCGCCAGGAAGGCCAGCTTCAAATGCTGATCTCGAATCTGGTGCTGTATCCAAACCAACTGCTCGACTCAAGGAATCTTCAAAGAGACTGGATCCAGGAATAGGTGAATCGCGGTCATCGTCAGACATGCTGATGACTGGAAGTATGAACAACCTCAACTCGTATTCGTGCCCAGTGTATCGCACTGCACTGCGAAAAGGGACGCTGTCAACCACTGGCACATCGACGAATCTGGTGCTGGCGATGGATCTACCTTGCCATGGAGACCCTGACTATTTTGTACTAAACGGCACGGCACTTGTATGTACTGCGATGCTGGAGTAGCGTGCGTGGCTGACGGGATTACCGTACCAAAGCACCTCAGCTCAAAACACGTGGCAGGGACATTGATTTTGAAGCAGCGTTCGTACATCATTGAGTTGACTGACGTCGGCGCTGGATAAGTAGTTTACTTCGCATTTTCTGGTATTGTTAACCATTATAATGACTAATATCAGGAAAAATAGTCATTCTTCCATCAATCAACCTCTATTCCTCAATCGAGCTGGCGAGTCGACTAATAATAATACTTTCGCGCCCACAAGCCTCGAGCTGCCGGACGTGTTCGTCTTTCGCAAGGCAGCGTTCGACGAATACAGAGATTTGCTCCCGGTGGGGCTCCGTGCGTCGGCCCTCGACGTGTTTCCAGACAGCAAGGCGGAGGAAGCTTTACCTGTGGAAACGCGCTTGGCTGGTTCCGGGCTCAGCGACGATGCCCCACTAATCGTGCGGATACCACAGGTCTGGGTCCAGTTGATCCATGGCGCCACTCGAGTCAGTTGCGGACCTTTACGCAGCCCCCATGCGTCAACAGGACAGCATTGGGATGCTGAGGGCCGCGCTGTGTATGGCATTCTCAGACACTCTCGGAAGAGAGCGGCCTCGTGTGAAAGTGTACGTGAGTAGAGCCACCTTTGATAGAGAGGAGGCGCTTCAAGATGGGGACAAGGTGGCGACACACGGAAGCGACAAAAATGACCCTCTGATCGTGAAAGCTCCCGGCTCTGAGCCAGGACTCCCGGGTATGATTCGCTTGAGCGATCATGGCAAGTTTAAGCAGGAGTGCGACTTGACGGAGTGGAAACGTGGCTCCGTGCGCAAGATCCCGTTGATCTGGGAGTTTATGAAAGATTTGGGTGGGTGTACGAGCAATGGGACCGTCTTCTGGCGACTGGAGGACAGAATGTTGGTGTCGCTTTTGGTGAAGGGTTGGTTCCAGGAGTCCCAGCTAGGCGACTTTGCAGCCTTGAAGGAGAAGAGGGTCATTGTGCTGGGATCCCCGGGCGTGGGGAAGTCGGTGATTACGTGCATCATGGCTTTCTACCTCGCTTTGGTGCGCCAAGAGTAGATCTTGCTGTATCGAAGCACAGATGAAGGAGAATACCTCTTATACCTCGAGTACGAAGCCCACGGCGACAGCGTTGTCTATTTCACGGTGGAAGAAGAGCAGTGCGACCCAACCAAGGCGACCAAAATCTACCGAGCATTGTGTGAGAAGCACGGAAAACAAGAGGTATGGCTGCTGCTGCTGGACGGGTTCGTATTACAGGATGTTCCTGCCGCGCTAACGAAGTTTAAAATGTTGTCGACGTCTCTGCAAGTTTCGTCTAATGCATTTGAAGGGGAGAACTCGTACTTCGGTCTGCTTTCGAGTTGGAGAGAACGCGATTTGTTTGCGTTGGGCAGATTGGTCTAAGGCTTCGATGAGGATGAATTCGCACGTCGCTATTTCTTTTCCGGTGGGAACGTTCGGTACTTTGGGTTTCCCAGCGTTGGGGATGTAAAAGACGAAATTGACGGTATATTAGGCACGTTCGGCACGCACTCGGACGAATTCTATTCGAGCAAGTACCTTGGTTGGTCTGACAGCGGAAGAATGAATCGGTTGCGGCGAACGTTCCTCAACCTGAATCTTGGTACGGAGCGTAAGGATGAAGGCAAAGAGGAAGATCTGAAAAAGAAGAACAGTGGCGGCGTAACAGTTCAATCAGAGGAAAGTCAGGGGTTTGTCTGTCTTCGATCTCGCGCGGAGTGGGAGCAGGCTGTGGATTCGTTGTACGCAGTCCAAACACTAACCGAGAACATCTCTGGAGAAAAGTTGGTCAAGTTTTACAATTGGACACTCGGTGCGGATCATCCATCGCTGGCTGCAGGCCTTTACGAGGCCTTCATGTACCGAATGGCACGTGAGAACCAGCTACAACTTGCCGTGTCGGAGCTCCAACAACATAGTCAAGAAACGGGTCGGAGGTTTATGCAGCTGGAAATACTAGAGGGTTCTGCGATTCGTGGGGAGAGTGAGGTCTCGCAGCCTAAGGTGGTGCTCAACAGTTGGAGAGACGATACGAAGTATATACTGGAGTGCTGGCTACCGTCATGCTAAGACCGTCGATACGATTGTAAAGGTTGCCTCTACGACCTCCAGCAAGATTGAAACTCTAGCGTATCTGGACGTTGTGGCCGGTCCATTGCATATTATGGATACCGAGAAGCTGCGCGAGTTGAACCGGATTTTTCGCCGCAGTAGCCCTTGTGGTCTTCCTATGTATCTCGTACTGTGCCTGGATGAAAGTGCTTGCAAGAAGGTGGTTCTGGATCCGATCGACCTGGTTGCAGCAGCACGACAAATATGTCGAGTGTGTGTGGGCTACTGCCCTGCTCTTCAGGTCGCCAACATAGCACCTTCACAAGAAAAGCGATCTCGTCGGCATTCGAACCACGCAGGAAATCTATAAACCACCAAAAGACGTGCGCATAAGCCACGGCAGGTAAAACGGTGGAAAATGCCCAATCTATCGAAGATGCCATACACAATCCAGTCGCGACACGACCAAGACAGAGTTAACGAAGTGGTGCAGTGTGGCGATGGATTTAAAAAGAGGGCCTGCTCGGAATCAACGTCTACCGAGATAATACAATTATCCGCAACAAAAATAAAAAAACGTTTTTTATTATTTTTGTTGCGGATAATTGTATTATCCATGAGTTCTGGGAACCACCTTCGCTAGCACAAACAAAGCATGAGTTGTAGTTGCGATTTCAAGCAGTACATTTGAAGATTTGTTGCAGAGGTGAAGAGTTGATGTCATGACCGTTTGCGTATGTGAAAGCTCGTCAACGTCAGCGTGATAATGCTTTGGTTCATGCCTGTGTTGTATTTTGTGCTGCCTAGTAGGCAGAAGAGAAGGAGGGAGCAATGGTTTTCAATTTGGCCTTCTACCTCGCTTTGGTTCGCAAGAAAAACGTGTTGCTGTATCGAACATCGGATGCAGAAGAATACCTCTTGTACCTCGAGTACGACACGGAAAACGACAGCGTTGCCCATTTTACGGTGGAAGAAGAGCAGTGCGACAAGAAGAAGGGGATCAGCATCTACCGCGCGTTGTGTGAGAAGCACGGTAAACGAAACGTGTGGCTGCTGCTGGATGGTTCATTTTGAATGATGTCCCTACACCGCTCAAATGCTGGCAACGTCTCTGCAAGTGCAGCCGAAAGCGTTTCAATTGGAGAGCTTGTGTTTGTGGTTGCTTTCCAGTTGGAATGAGCCCGATATTTTCTCTATGGGCAAATTGGTCTATGGCTTTGATGAGAGCGAAATCGCACGTCGCTATTTCTTTTCCGGTGGGAACTCTTGGTACTTCGGGCTTCCAAGCGTTGTAGACATTAAAGACGGAACCGACGATATATTATGCACGTCCCTCACGAAGTCAGACGAATAATTCTCGAGCAGGTACCTCGGTTGGTCCGGTACCGGACAAATGAATCGGTTGCGGCGTACGTTCCTCAAGCTGCATCTCGGTTTGGGAGCAGATAGCAAGAAGTTGATGAGAGAACACCCTGCTGCTGGTGATTACGAAGAAAAGAGGATTGACAAGAAGCTACCGGGAACACGAGAGCTTGGCTGTCATGGATCTCTCGCAGAATGGGGGCATGCTGTGGACTCACTGTACGCTGTCCGAAGGCTAACGGATAGTTTCTCGGAAGACAAGTTGATTGAGTTTTACAACTGGGCAAGCAGTGCGAATCATTCATCGCTGGCCGCAGGTCTCAACGAGATTTACATGTACCGAATGGCACCTGCAGCTTTGCGTATCGGGTTTCCAGAGCCCAAGCCAAAAAACGGACTGGAGCTTTACCCCGCTGGAGATAATTGAGGGAGCCACAGTACGCGGTGATAGTGCCGCCCACGGATATACAGGCTAGAAGTTGCTCCTTGAGAGGTGGAGAGATGACACCAAGTCAACGTACTGGAGTACTGGCTACCATCACGTTCACAACATTGATGCCATTGTAAAGCTGGCCCCTACATCCGGCAAGACCGGCACGGTGGCATATCTGGACGTGGTGGCCAACACCTCGCACGTTGTCGACGCCGAGAAACTGCGTGAGTTGAACGAGATTTTCTGCCAGGGTAGCGAGACTACTGGTGGAACTCCGGTGTATGTCGCGCTCTGCCCAAATGAAAGCGCTTGCAAGACGTTGAGTTTGAAACCACACGACCAGGTTGTTGCAGCGCAGACAATGTGCCGTGTTTGTGTTGGCTACTGCCCAACTCTTCTGGCTACCAGCATGCCACCATCGCGAGAAAAACGTTCTCCTTCGGAATCCGAACTATGCTCTGAGCCAAGAAAACAACAAAAGACCTCAGGGTAAGGAGTGTGAATGCCTACGGTGGGGTGAATTCAAACGTACCGCTCGGGGGAAGGCAGAGGGGCCAACAAGGGGTGTGAACGAAGAAATATATTGTGAACCATGTCAAACTATGCTTGCTAGTTTTCGACCAAAATACGTTTCACACTTTCTTGCAGGGCCACGAAGTAGCAGTGAATTAGCTGGCGCTGGTCGTCCACGATTGCGCTAATGAGAACGTGAACAATCGCTGTTTGCTGTCCGTGTCTGTGTAGGTTTTGCGCCGCCTGGACGAGAACCGCGTTAGCCAACGGTGCTTTTGATTCTAATTATGCGTTTCATGGCAACAACGCGACGCATTCGGAGCATGTTCGAGCACTTTGGTGATGCCAGAATGAGGCAAGCACGACTGGCCAAACGTATCGACGATAAACCGTGACGTGAACCGACGAAGGTTCTGAGGAAAATATAAAGCCGGGAATGGCGGCTCAAAAACAAGCAACGAGTTACATGCGAGTGCTTCCGTGGACTGTTACGAGATGCAAAACTGGTTGAGCGATTGGTGAGCTGCCCTCCGCTCTCACTTCGACATTCGCCCGCGCTTTCATCGCATCCCCGACTCCAGTTAGCATGCGGCGACTAGCTGTGATCTCTACAGCGGCCTGGATGCTTGCTCAAGCTCGAGGTCAGCGGGCATTCGCCATCACGGCTCACTACACGAGTGCATCGTGCGATGGCCCACCCTCGTACGCCAAAGGTGAAGAAACTCCCCGTTGTGCTGCTGTTGGTTGCTCAGGGTTAAGTGGAGACGGCAGCACTGTACAAGATTGTTCTTCCGAGTTGGACTATCGCGCGGACATCGACGGACTTTTTGGCGGCGCGCCATACCTTCTGCGCCACGTCTTCGACGACGTCAAATGCTCGGAATTTCTATTCGCCGAAGTGTTTCGTGCCTCGGGTAAATGCGAGCAGCGTGGTGACCAAGGGGACTACGTGCGCGCACTTCTCGACAATAACGGCACGGCATCAGTACACTATTTTCAAGACGACTTGTGCACGGCAGAAAGTTGGTATGGCGGTGACGACATTGACATGGAGGCTCTCGATAGTCATCTCTGCGTGTTAAGCCAAAAGTGGTATGCAAGTCCTGGTACTTCGCGAGCGTTGGCCTCAGTCTTGACCTCCTCCGATGACCCAGGCGTGACCGGGAGCGACACAAGCACCAGTACCACCGCTGTAGCCGACCCAACCCCATCGTCGACCTTGGGAACTACTGAAGGGGCCAGTGAACGCAGCAGCTCCGCGCCCGATGATACCGCTGTTTCCACGACTGGTGACACTAACACGGGCACATCGAGGACCAACTCGGACACATCGCCGGCCATTGAGGACGGAACAACCGATACGATGTCGTTGAGCACAGATGACACGTCCATCATTAGCGATGATTCGACTACGACTTCCAGTAGATCCGGAAGCAATGCAGCCATCTTGAGCTCAACTGGAGACGCGAGTTCCGACGGATCTACAGAGCTCGCTACTGATACTAGCGCAAGCACTACAACCGACACTCAAGTTGAATCCTCTACGTCCAGCAGCAATGCCGATGATACGGGCTCTAGCTCTAATGGCTCAGCGTCTTCTACCAAGAAACCCTCGAAAAGTACTCGCAGTTCACGCGTGACTATCACGACCACTGCCCCAGCCTTAGAAATGTCCACATCAGCCTCAGCCTCAGCGTCGACTACAGACTCGAGTAAAGCCGAATCCGTAGAGAACAGCGTCGTGGCTGACAGCAGCGCAAGTGGCAGTCGGACGTCAACTCCTGTAGCTGTAACAAAGTCGAGCATTGGCACTGGAGCGATCGTGGGGCTCGCAATGGGTGCTCTAGCAGTGTTCATCTTGATTATTGGGAGCGTCGTCCACCGACGGCGTTCAGGTGACGACGACGTACTAAGTCCACTACCAAGCACTGCATGCAGACCGTCCAGCGGGCCTTACTGGGGGCAAACATCGCCTATTAACCCGCGCCGTAGCCACCAACGCTACAGTGATCAACGCTACAGCGAGCCAAGGTACACGGACAGCCTCACTTCACGACACGCAAGCTTCCAGCGGGCATCAAGCGGACCGAGCGGACTCTGGAACGACGACGTCATCATCGCCAAGCGCATTCCAAAGGACAAAGTCCACGTCGAGCAGCTTGTGAGTCGCGGGGCATTCGGAGAGGTCTACATGGGGCTCTACAACCACAAGCGCGTGGCTGTCAAGATGCTCCTGCCCCAAATGCGTGGATATATTAACAAGGTGAACGAGTTCCTGACCGAAGCGAAGCTTACTGCCACTATGGAGCACCCGCACATTGTCACGTTCATTGGCGTAGCTTGGGACTCCCTTTCCGACGTGTGTGTGGTGTTGGAGTACATGGATGGAGGCGATCTCCGCTCGCTACTCAGCAACTACGAAACTACTCACCATCCAGTAGGTTTCGACAGAGGGAAAGTCACGATCGCCCTGCATGTGTGCCATGCCCTGGCATACATGCACTCTTTGGCCCAACCGGTGATTCACCGAGACTTAAAGTCGCGCAATGTACTGCTGAACCGCGCGATGGAAGCGAAGTTGACGGACTTTGGTGTCTCCAGAGAGCGACTCGACCGTACGATGACTGCAGGGGTTGGAACGTCGCTGTGGATGGCGCCTGAGGTGATGATGGGCAAGAAATACGACGACAAGGCCGACATCTTCTCCTTTGGCGTGGTGATATCGGAGCTGGACATGCACGCGCTCCCTTACGCCAAGGCGCTGGCTGCTGCATCCGCGAACAACCAAATGGCAGCCGCTGTTCTGCTGCAGCGAGTGGCACTGGGGACTCTACGGGTCGAGTTTTCCCAGGTTGGCTCTCGCTTGATGGCGGAGTTGGGCAGTGCGTGTGTGTCGGTCGATCCTAGCGAGCGGCCAACGGCGGCGCAGATTTTGTACAGGTTACAGACCATTTTGAATCGAGAGCTGCTGTAGCGGTTGAAGCGACAACCTTTTCAGATACTTTTTAAAGTACATGTATCAACCTTGCTGCCATTCTGGGGATACAGAAGTAGGAAATCTCTACGATTTCGGACGCTCTGTTGGGTGTGTCGGCTTCAGCGCCTAAATTAATCGCTATCAAGACCATACTACAGTAGTAGCATATAATTGACACGTTCCTGTATTGACCCACCCAACCATTTGGTTGTCTGCAGATAAGTTTTTCGGCCTAGCATTTGTTTGTCTCCGAGTTCCTCGACACTTCTACGAAACGATTCAGCTATGCGGTGAGCTGCTGGTTTGAGCGTGTGGTCTTATCCGGTAGAGGTATTGCGGTGCGCCCTGTTGCGTTTGATTGGCACCCCATCCGGACATACATGTACCCATTTGGCTCGAACGTGAGCGGGGACAGTTTCAATTCCAGACTTGACATCTAGACCGCACTCGAGTACGTCATCTCCCAGTTCGAAGTATGCTTCGAGTTCCGGTGTTTGTCGCGGTGGCCGTCGCGCTCGCTGACTCGGCTGCGGGGTCGACGTTCAAGCTCACAGCGCACTATTCCAAAGGCTCGTGCGATGGCCTACCAACTGCCATTCAGATCGAGGATACCGCTAGTTGTGTCGCGACCAAGTGCTCGGGCTCTAAAACGTCGACAATTTGCTCCTCGGACGAGAAATATCGCTCGGGCGTGAACAACCTCTTCGGATCGGCCCCCTATATCCTCCGGGAAGTCTACAGCGACGCGGGTTGCTCGAAACTCCAATCAGCGGAAGCGTTCAGGGCGGATGGCGAGTGCGTGCAGTCTAGTGCTGCAGGGACGTTCGTCCGTGGTCTATTGGAAGCAAACGGATCCGTGTCGGTGCAGTATTTCACGGACGCTTCGTGTTCCCCTGTGCGTTTGAACCATGTTGATCACGCGTTGAAAGCGACATTGGGAGGTCATTCGTGCGACTCGAACGCGGTAAAATGGTACTCACACTCCAGTGTTCGTCGATCCCTCGCGGGTGCGGATGGAGAGCCTGCAGCCAACTCAACCGTTGCCGTCACTACGGCCCCCACCCCTCAAGAACCTGCTACAACTGCCCCCGGTGCCCCTACATCGCCACCAGCGCCGACGCCAACGCCCACGGCAGCCCCCACGCCAGTGCCCACCGCTGCACCCGCTCCAACCGCGGACAATCCGTCGCCAGTAAGTGAAAGCAGCGCGGCGACAGCTTCGTCCGCATCCACTACTACTACTGAAGCTGCGGCGCCGAGTTCCGACAACAGCAAAGAAGCCTCGAGCGTGGCCGAAGAGAGCAAGTCCGGGTCGATCGAAGACTTTAGTACCAACTCTTCTAGTGAGGCTACACCCACGCCACGCCCGACGACGAAGAGGAAATCAACTGCGGCACCTTCTACGAAGTCCCCCACCACAGGCAGCTCAAGCAAAGCCGACAGCTCGCACTCCGCCGCATCAGAGGTGGAAGTCCCCCAGGCTGCCAACGTCTCCAGTGTGTCAAGTACTGCAGATACCACGGGATCCGCTGTGACGGACGACAGCTCGAGCGGCAGCAACACGGAGCAAGCTTCGACTGGGAAAAGCTTCAGCACGTTGACGCTGGTGGGGATAGCGGCCGGTGTCATTGCGGTTGCAGTCGTGGGCATCGCGATCATTCTTCGCCGCGTCCGAGCTCAGACCATCGCGCAGACGCCCGTGCCAGGAGCGGGCTTCCTCGATCCGTACATGGGCCAAACTTCCCCCTACGACCCTCGACGGCACAACCAGCAACGAGGTGAACACATTCTCTAGAATTCGCCGCGTAGATCGGCCGAGAGAAGGCCGCAATGTGTTTAAGATTGCGGGGTGGGAGATCCCCGGCTTGCTATGTGTTTGTGCGTAGATGTAAGTTTCGTATAGTAGACTGAGTTTTCAATATCGCAAGCTTGTTTAATTGTATAAGCCTCTCGTATCGAGACCCACTAAGTTCATTATAATGGCTGCCGGACAGGCCGCACAATGCTTTCGTGCATCATTTTACTAGTACCTGCTTGCTGTTACAGTAAGCGATCGAAGAGTATTCGTGCGATTCCTTATCTTTTGAGGCATCGTTGTTGAACCAAGAGCCACCATGAAGCCTATCGACGTATGGATCCGCCGTTGCAGTTGGGTCTCTCTACTCGTATGCATGCGGAGGATTGTTGCGGGCAGGAGCTTACCGCACCTTGTATTAACTGTACATCTGATTGTGGCCAAAGCGCGCGTGTTGGGTCACTTTTGGTCATCCTCCACTTAAGCCGATGGAGATAGCGAGAGCTGCTGTTCTCGCGTGGGTCTTATCGGGAAGAGGACTATACATTGCGGACATTGCGGACACTTGGGTCGCACTTCCAGATTTCGCATCTGACCCCACCGACACCTCAACTTGTGTCGTTATGTGGCGCGCGTGGGTGGGGCTCCCTTTGGTCCTCCCGCTCGCTGAAGCAGCTGCACAAAGCACCGTCGAGCTCACCGCTCAATACTCCAGCTCAACCTGCGTTGACCCACCGACCTTCGTAACGATTAAAGAGTCTCCGAGTTGCATCGCGAGCAAGTGCTGTAATGGCGTAAAGACGGCGACAATTTGCTCATCCGAAGACAAATATCACTCCGCCGTGAACAACCTCTTCGGCAGCACACGCTTTATCATCCGAGAATCGTACGACGACGCAAACTGCACCGTGCTTCAAAGTGCGAACGCGCTCAGGCTGGACGATCAGTGCGTGCAGGATGGAGTCACGCAGATGTTCGTTCGAAGTCAACTGGCCAGCGACGGATCAATTTCCGTGCAGTATTTCACGGACGCTTCCTGTTCGCAAGACCGTTTGCACCACGCTGAGTTTGTATCGAAAGAGATCACGGAGGACCGTACCTGTGATTCCAACGCGTTGAGATGGTACGTTTCAAAGCGCGTCAGGCGCTCGCTCGCTCAGACGGCGTCTTCTACCGACGAAGAGGGGGACGATGACGACACCGGCACTGAAGAGACCGACGCTACGAGCCCTCCCGTGACGGAAAGTGCAGATGGCGATGCTAACACCAACTCGGCCACGGACGATGAAGACCCAAACGCGGGTACAGATACCAGCAAAAGTGCGGACAGCAGTCCTGATGAAGATGAAGCAGGCACGTCGAAGTCCAGTGACAAGGGCTCGAACACTGCAGAACCCACGCCGATAGCCACCGAGGCACCGATGACCGAGGCTCCTACCACCGAGCCGCCGACTACTGCACCAACGACGACCCCTCCCACTACAACAGAACCTCCTGCCACAACGAGCGCTCCAGATCCGACCGAAGCCGCTGTAACTACGGCCACGCCTAAGGTGAAGAAAGTCTCAAGTACCGCTGGTGAGGCTGATGCATCCACTACTTCCACTGCAGCCAGTACGCCCTCAAGCAAGACGGAAACCACCGACGAGGCCACGGAAGACTCGGTCAAAGGTGCAAGCGCAAGTGGCAGCAAGGCTGCAGCTACCTCCACCGAAAGCTCTAATGGCACCACGCTTACTCTGATAGGGATTGCAGCAGGGTGTGTTGCTCTTGCCATCATCATCTTGGCGCTGATTGTTCGACGACTACGAGCCGAACACAAGAGTTTTCACAATGCCACCCCTGCGCCAGCTACTACCCGCCGAGATGTGAGAGATCCCTACGCCATGCAGACCTCACCCTTCCAGCCTCAACGATGCACTCAGCGTCGATACACCACGCTGGCCCAGAAGCCATATCTCCTGCAAGAACCTACCGATGACCAACCTGGACAACGACCGACACAGTCCCAGGCCATTCAGGAACAACCCAACCCTTTGGAGAACTCTGTCAGCGCTCTCGTTGCTCCAGCCAAGCAGACGGAGGTGTGGAACGACAAGGTCATCGTCGCCAATCGAATCCCCAAAGAGAAGCTGCAAGTCCAGGAGCTCATAAGCCGCAGCACGTTCGGCGAGGTCTACTCCGGGATGTACGATCGCAGACGCGTCGCCGTCAAGATGCTGCCGCCTCAGATGCGCCTCGACGTCCAGCAAGTCAACGATTTCCTGACGGAAGCCAAGCGCGCCGCCACCATGAGGCACCCGCACATCGTTTCATTCATCGGTGTGGCCTGGAGCGCTCTCTCGGACGCGTGTGTGGTCATGGAGTACATGGATGGAGGCGACCTCCGCTCACTGCTCAACGACTATGGAGCAACCCGTCATCCTGTGGGCTTCGACAACGAGAAGGCCACTATCGCGATGCACGTGTGCCAGGCTCTGGCCTACATGCACTCGCTGTCCACACCCATGATCCACCGCGACCTCAAGTCCCGCAACATTCTCCTGAACCAGGCCATGGAAGCCAAATTGATGGATTTCGGCATCTCGAGGGAGAAACTCGACGAAATGGTGACGGCCGGCGTCGAAACTTCGTTGTGGATCGCTCCTGAGGTGTTGATGGGGAACAGCTACGGCGACAAGGCCGACATCTTCTCGTTTGGGGTCGTGCTGTCGGAGCTAGACACACATCAGCTACCGTACGCGAACGCAACAGCAGGAAGCAGTCAAATGGCGTGCGCTGTGATGCTTCAGGAGGTGGTCGCGGGGGCGCTGCAAGTTGAGTTCTCGCAGCAGGGTTCTCAGACCATGGCGGAGCTTGGACGTGCGTGCACGTCTGTGGACCCGGACCGACGTCCCAAGGCGGCGGAGATCTTGCACATTTTGCAGGACGTTTTGAGTGAAGAGCTCCTCGAGTGCTCGTTGTGATGTAGAGTCTTTATTATTATTTGTCATAAATGTCCCTACGTTTGGTTTTGTTCTAGTGACGGCTTATTAACTTGGTCCTTTGCTGCAATGCTGAAGTTGGATAGTATACAGCCTCTGGTCTTGAGCGGCATTGCGTATCCATTGAAACCAACAGCAGCACCGCCGACAAACGCCGCACCTTAATGGGGACACTATCGTCCCCAAGTAAGCAAAGGACCCCCCCCCTGGAAGCGGTAAGACACTTGACTGTAGTACGTACGCATCGCCGCAGTTACATGCATGCACCGGATTCATCACTGCGACACCGCTGAGCGTCAAACGCGGTGGCGTGTGCCGCCGCTCGATGGCGTGCCCGCTGGAAATTCATCCGAGCCCAACCCAGCGCTGCGACAGCAACCTCGACATTTTTCTCTTGGTCCGTCGCCAGCTCAGCCGCAGCGGAGAGTACCAGCTCGGAGGAAGGGACGAGATTCAGGAAATTCCACCCGCAAGGGTGCAGCAGCAACAAGCCAGAGACAGCGTAACCCAAGGCGATAGCATCCGCTCGGTCGTCGCCGCCGGCAACGGGACAACGTCCGCAGCTGCTTGGGGGACAAGTTGAAGCCGCGGTGAGACGAGCTGGGGGACCCATCTCTTTGTCTTGGTTTCAGTATGGTCTGACTCCTCCCGCCGCGTCACATGCAGCCCAAGCACCAGAAAAGGCTCACCTGGAGAATGGAGACCGAGATTCGTCTCCCACGAGTGGCTGCTTCCCCGGAATAGAGACCCACAACCTTCAGCTAAGGCGAGTGAGCGCTATATCTTGCGCCGGCAGCACTGTGCTTCTTTTCAGATTAAAATGGCGAGCGTTGCGCACTCGGCGCTCGAATCTTGAAAACCTTTTTTTCTTAGGCGGCAAAGCCGTGCATTTAACCAAAGGTTGTTACTAATATATTCGACCAATACAAAAACGTAGTCAACTGTTGCCAGCATGTTCCGAGAAGCATCATCATCTGTCAAATTTGCACTTCCAGACGACCTGGACTGGATCGTAACGGCCCGCTGCACGAGACAGCGAGTTCTCTTGGATGGATCGAGCTTCCTCGCTCAAAAAAGTGGGGCAGGCGATGCAGGTCGGCAGGTCGTTACGTTTGACAGAGAGAGATCTAACGACCCGACCAGGGGCCAAACGCTGCGGGCTTTGAGTCGACCACTTTCACTTTTGCTGCCTGCACGTCTACTCCTCCCCAAGGTTTCTTTCACTCAGTTCACTCACTCAAGCCCCAACAGGATGCTCAGTCTCGCCAGCGGCACCAACGACGCGATGCTCCACCCGACAGAAGGCCGACTCAAGATCGGCGGTATCTCGGTCCGGCGCATCCCGTCGCCCACGTTCAAGCTCAAGATCGAGACCAACCTGGACGCCGACGGCAACTGCACCGCTCTGGATGCGCGACAAGAAGTCGGTCTCTGGGGCGATGAGGTCGTGCTCAGCAAGAGAATCCCAAGGGAAGAGGTGCAAGAGGACCAGCTCATTGGCCAAGGAGCGTTCGGCCAAGTCTTCGCGGGCTCCTTCAGGGGCGACAAAGTCGCAGTGAAGAAGCTGCTGCCGCAGACCCAGACGAACGACGACCACGTCGACGGCTTCCTGGCCGAAGTCAAGATCACCTCGACGCTCCACCACCCGCACATTGTGCGCTTCGTTGGCGTCGCGTGGGCGTCCGTATCCGACCTGTGCGTGGTCCAAGAGTTCATGGAGGGCGGCGACCTGCGCTCGCTGCTGGACCGGTACGAAGCGGAGCGTCACGCCGTCGGCTTCGACCGGCAGAAGACACAGATCGCGATGCAAATCTGCAGTGCGCTCGCGTACATGCACTCGCTGTCGCCGCCGGTCATCCACAGCAACCTCAAGTCGAGGAACGTGCTGCTGAGCGGGGCGATGGAGGCCAAGGTGACCAACTTCGGCACGTCGCCCAAGAGGACGTACCGGACGCCAACGGAAGCCAAGAACATGACGCTCTGGATGGCGCCAGAGGTCATCCTCGGTGAGATACACAGCACCGACGCCGACATGTTCTCGTTCGGCGTCGTGCTGTCGGAGCTGGACATGCTCTCGGCTCCGTATGGCCAGGCCCGGCAACAAATCCGCGACTCCAGTTGGCGCCCGCTGCAGGACGCCGACATCCTGCAGAAGGTGACGAAGGGGAGTCTCCGCGTGGTCTTCTCCGAGTCGGGCCCCATGACGCTGGCAGAACTTGGGCGCGCGTGCGTGTCTGTAAATCCTCTCAAGCGCCCGACGGCGTCTGAAGCGCTGTACAGGCTCCAGACCATTTTGGCTCAAGAGCTGGCGTAAGAGCCACCCGCAGCTCCGTGGCCCGAGTCGCGATCGTCTTTCTTTCGCGTACCCCTCGATAGACTTTGTGTGTACATTTTGAATATCGCTTCCCTTTGCTTTCTGTTCGAGGAGGAACGAGCAAAGCACTGACTGTCAACTGGTTGTCTCGGCTCGATACTTTGCCGACCAAACTGCAAGCATAGATTGGAGGTTTGAACGGCTATCAGTGACGCAGTTGCATCTGGATCCGCGCCTTGAGCTGGCGGTCCAGCTTCAGTCGTTACATCAGCGTTGAGATTCGAGATATTCAAGCACTGCGTCTTATGCAGAGACGCAGTGCCTCCAACGCGGCAGGATCTCAATGCCACAACTCTGCTGTCGTTGACAGCAGTTATCAAGAAGCCCGAAGCGTCGGAAAGTCGATCAACTCCCGTTGACCCCGTTATTCGTCTGTCCTCGCTCCTCCAAACTCAAAACAAAACTACGCCACTTGCATTTCCTCCAGTCAAGACGCGAACCGCTGGAGGACGAATTGTCGGGAATGCGCTTGTCACTCTGGTTGGCCTCTCTCGCAGCTTTCGGATCGCTCGAAGCCAGCGCCAAGAGCGTGCCGAATGTCATCGCGTACTACCACTCGACCAGCTGCGACGCCACCCCGAACCGAGTCGACCTGGAGTTCAACAGCGACTGTAATTCTCAATGTCTCGAGAATCTCGACGGCGACTGGAAAGCTTGGAACTACATTTGCCCCCTCGGAGACTACAAGAAGGCGGTGTGGGACGCGTTCGGAGGGGCCTCGTATATCTTGCAGGAAGCGTACACCAGCGGCTGTGATTCGAAGGTCGGGGCAACCGCGTTCCTCGCCTCGGGCCAGTGCGAGCAAGTGATCATGCTTGTGCGAGATTGGGGGTACGCCGTCTACTCCATCGCGCAGCTCGAGTCCGACGGCTCGGCGTCCGTCAAGTACTTCACGGACAGTGACTGCAACACGGCCTTGGCGGTAGCTGCACGTTTGACCGCGACCATTAACACGCAGGACACAACCATCGACAAGGCCACGCTGAATTCTGACAGCTGCGACGGAGACGACTACCGTTGGTCGTACTACAGCTCCTCCTCCCCCTACACTTCCGACGATGGCTCTGGTGGCAGTGGTGGATCGACAGCAGCAAGCAACAGCACCCAGACTAATGGCGGCATCGACGCGGATCAGATCTCGAAAGACAACGCCAGCACGCCAATAGAATCAACAACCTCGTCTTCCGGCGGCGACAATCTCGTGGTAATTGCGGGAGTCGTGACTGTTGTTCTCGCTGTTGCTCTCCTCGTTTGGCACCGTCGGCGACGTAAAGGGGCCGACGACCAACCGTCCGACAACCAAGACCAGCGTCCGAATGAGTACTTGACTCATGCCTCGCCAGCTACCTTCCAACAACGGACTGCCAGTCTCTCATCAGGCAACACGGGTTCTCTGAATGGAGCTTCACTAGGGCAATCCGGGTTGTGGGACGACGATGTCATCACAGCAAAGCGTATCTCGCGGCGCGATGTCCACACTCATCACCTGCTGAGCCGCGGAGCTTTTGGGGAGGTGTATTCTGGAGTTTACAACGACAAGCGTGTTGCTGTCAAGATGCTGACTCCAGAAACTCGAAGCTTGATGCCCCATGTGAATAACTTTCTAGCTGAGGCCAAGTTGACCGCCAGTATGGACCACCCACGCATCGTCCACTTCATCGGTGTTGCATGGGATTCGCTGTCCGACTTGTGCGTGGTCATGGAGTACATGGAGGGGGGAGACCTTCGTACGCTGCTTACGGGGTATGAAGCATCTGGTCACCCTGTCGGGATCGATCGGGAGAAGGCGACGATTGCGCTGCATGTCTGCCACGCTCTCACCTATCTCCATTCACTTTCACCTCCCGTTATTCATCGAGACCTCAAGTCGTGCAATATCTTGCTCAATCATACAATGGAAGCCAAGGTGATCGACTTCGGCGTTTCGAAAGAAAGGTTGGATCAAACGATGACAGCAGGGGTCGGCACGTCGTTGTGGATGGCACCGGAGGTCATGCTCGGAGAAAAATATGACGACAAAGCGGACATTTTTTCGTTTGGCGTGGTATTGTCGGAGCTCGATATTCACATGCTGCCCTACAATAACAGGCGTCGTGACACAAATGGGAGACGTATGCCAGACGCGATCGTTTTACAGCAGGTGGCGATGGGAAGACTCAGTGTGAACTTTTCGGATTCGAGTCCTTTGTCAATTGTGGAGCTGGCTAAGGCGTGTGTGTCTGTGGATCCCATCGTGCGCCCAACCGCGGCAGAAGCACTGTATAAATTACAGATTGCGCTAGCACAAGAGTTAGCTTGAGACCCGGTACATTAGATTTCTCCTTCATTAGCCGGCTTTCTCCTTGCATGACTAACTCGTTTTAGAGATCTCATCAACTTGCGTTGAGCATTGCTTCTATCTGGTGCTGCATGGAACGTTAAAATTGTTTGATGAGACAAAAAGTGGCCTCATGCCTACCAAAAACGAACAAATCACCCAACATATTCAAATTTAAGAAAACTTATATTTTCTCAGACGATTTTTACGTCTGAGTAAACGAAGGGTCGCTGCACGGCAACGTATTAGATTTGACTTGATTTCATTATTGATGTTCTTTTTCTAGCAACTGACGCCTATATCAGGCGACCTCTCACATATTTCGACCTCTGCACATTTGATATTTAGAGACAAATTTAGAGATTCATTCTATGTCGAGTTATATCCGTTTTTGGGTGGACGCCTACCAAAAACAGTAGTAGCAAACGCCCCCCCCACGTAAAAGCTTAATCACGGGGAATTATTCGATGAGATCACGTTTTGGTTTCTAATAATGAGACTCTCAACTAGCAACGCGATTCAACAAGTGACGGGGCTCCACTTTACCCGACGGTCGCGTTCCAGCTACCATTAAACGCTGCGTTTAATGGTTGCTGGAGCGCAGCTTATTTTTTTAATTATTAATGCCCGAGCGGCTTGAGCATTACGGATTAATCTGATCGAATCGTTTTATATGGACTTTGGAAGGCGCCTACTATACCGTAGGTCGCGTATCAACGGCCGTTTTGGTGCACATTAACTAGGGCTTCGCGATAGCTGGGATAGGTACACGAGAACCTCGTTAGAATCGTGTAGTCACTTCATAGCCTCAGCATATGCTGTTAGCACGACGATTCTCAAATGAAAAACGGACCTTGTGAGATCGATAGCCAGCCTCCATCATTCTTGTTAGTCAACACCAACCTTAAAACTACCACCAGTTTGTTTGGGGGACAGCGACAGCGCCCGAATTAATCCTGTTTGGGCTATCAGCACTTCGTCGCTTCCTATCCCAGTATAAATTACGGATTAATCTAATCATAGTCACGTGGCGTAACGAACGACTTAACTTACAGCCATCGACTCCCGCTTCGACTGCTCCGCCGTTAACTGCCTTTCCTAACCTGATGTACCCAACGCAACCTAGTGAACTCTTCCAAGGAAAACGATCCATTCAGTCGAGTTTCCTCCAGTCCCGTGCCACGTGAAGTTGAGTCCCACATACATTCAATGAATCGGGTCATCCTATACTTCTTGATACTCGTCGCTCTCGTTGAAGGCGAATCCAGCAGGTTCAGCATCACGTCCCTCTATTCGTCGGCAACGTGCGGAGGTTCCCCTCGTCGGATCGACGTCAAAGTAGCGGAGTCTTCTAGCAGCGGATGTGGCAGCGCCTACAAAGGCTGGAAGTCGGCCGATTTTACTTCCACTGACGACTACAAGAAAGCTGTGTGGGTGTCCTTCGGAGGAAACCCGCTTCTACTGCTCAAGGCGCTCGAAAGTGACTGTGAGACCGTTGCTGCAGCGACGGCGTTCCCCGCCTCCGGGACTTGTGAACAAATTCTGTCGGCTAAAGAGCGAGAGTTGGCGATTTACATGATTGCCAAGCGTGAAGCTGGCAACGCCGCGTCCGTGCGGTATTTCAAGGACAGCGCCTGTACGTCGCCTTTGCTTGAGCCCGTCCAATTGACCAAGAGCATCACGACTCAAGACGCTACAATCAACCTCAACAGCAGTAGCTGCGACGACAAACTCTTGGTCTGGGAGTATTTTGATCTGAACAACCCGTACATCGCCGATGGTTCAAGCTCGTCCAGTGGTTCTAACTCCTCTTCAGCCTCTTCTTCGCTTGACACTGGAGGAAATGACGACGCTGACAGCAGCATGGGAATACTAGCGGGTGTCCTCGGTGGAGTACTGGGCAGTGTCCTTGTCGCTCTAGTGATTGTTCTGTATCGCCGACGATCCAGATCAAAGGGGTCGGGACAAGAGGAACTGCGTCAGAGTACCAAGAACAAAAGCGCTTACCACGATCACAATTCCCCGGGGTCGGAAAAGCGCACATCCAGTCCCGATACGAGTAACACGGCATCCATTGAAGACGCACAGCCGCCGCTATCCGGACTCTGGACTGACGATGCCATCACTACAAAACGAATCTTCCGACGCAAAGTTAAGGTTAAACAATTACTCAGTCGTGGGGCGTTCGGCGAAGTGTACACGGGCTCTTACCTCGGCGAGGTCGTAGCGGTGAAGATGCTGTCGGCTGAGTCTCGCAGCGTCTTGAGCCACGTCAACAACTTCCTGGCCGAAGCGAAAATTACCGCGACCATGTACCATCCGCGGATTGTGCACTTCATTGGAGTGGCGTGGAACTCCTTGTCCGACTTGTGCGTCGTCATGGAGTACATGGAAGGTGGGGATCTGCGAACGCTGCTTAACGGGTTCGAGATGAGGAAGCACCCCGTGGGTATCGACCGGGAAAAAGCTACGATAGCCCTCCACGTCTGCCACGCTCTCACGTATCTCCACTCGTTGTCGCCGCCAGTGATCCACCGCGACTTAAAGTCCCGTAACATCCTGCTGAATAGCGCCATGGGGGCCAAACTGACCGACTTTGGGATCTCCCGGGAGCGGCTGGACAGCACGTTGACGACGGGGGTGGGGACGTTGCTGTGGATGGCTCCAGAGGTGATGCTAGGCGAGTGGTACGACGACAAAGCGGATATTTTTTCCTTCGGAGTGGTGCTGTCCGAGTTAGACTTGCACACGCTCCCGTACGGGCAAGCGAAGGACCACAACCGCGATTCCAAAGGGAGACGGCTACCGGATACGATTCTCCTGCAGCAAGTGGCCATGGGGCACTTGACGGTGGAATTTTCAGACGCGGCTCCGAAGGCTATCGTCGAGCTGGGGAAGGAGTGCGTCTCCGTCGACCCGAGCTTGCGCCCGACAGCAGCCGAAGTCCTGTATAGACTGCAGATTGTGCTTGCCAGCGAACTCAAGTAAGACGCAATACAAACCCAAAAGTTAATGATGAAGAAGACAAACAACGTTTTGTACTGTGCACCAACTAAAACGTTCACACCTTGTGGAAGTTTGTAGTATTTACAGACTTTCCTCTAGCGCGATGTGAAGTTTATACAGTGCTTCTGCCGCTGTCGGGCGCTGTTCCGGGTCCAACGCCACGCATGCGCGTCCCAAGTCAGCAATTGACGTTGGTGTGCTCTGAGAGAACTCGACTGAGAGGAGCCCCATCGCCACCTGCTGCAGAAGGATGGAGTCTAGGAGGCGTCTTCCATCCGGGTCGCGCTTCGTCTTCTTAGCGTGCGAGTACGGTCTTGAGTGCACGTCCAGCTCCGCTAAGACAACGCCGAACGAGAACATATCGGCCTTGCAGTCGTACTGCTCGCCCATCATTACCTCCGGCGCCATCCACAGCGAAGTCCCGACACCGGCAGTCATCATGTCGTCCACATGCTCTCGCGAGATCCCAAAGTCCGCGAGTTTGGCTTCGTACTGAGCGTTAAGGAGAATGTTGCGTGACTTGAGGTCTCGATGGATGACAGGAGCAGGCAATGTGTGCATGTACGTCAGCGCATGGCAGACGTGCAGAGCGATAGTGGCATTTTCTCGATCGATACCAATAGGATGGTGTGTAGCCTCGTACCCATCCAGCAGCGTTCGTAGGTCACCTCCCTCCATGAACTCTATGACAACGCAGGGAATTCCACGCCACCCCAGCAACACTGGCGATTCGAGGGTGGTCCATATTGGCCGTCAGTCTAACTTCAGTCAGAAACCTGTTCACGTAGTCGATCTTCTCCCTGTTTCCAATGGATAACATCTTCACGGCGACGCGTTTGTCTTCAAAATTTCCAGCATAGACCTCGCTGTAGACTCCACGACTTAAAAGTTGTTCTATTCCCACCTTTTGACGGGAAATGCGCTTTGCCGTGATGATCTCGTCCGTCCATAAGCCAGGTTTCCCTGGCGGGCCCTCATTTAACCGCGTACCGTTGAGACTTGACGGTCGCTGTTGGTCCATTGACGGAGATTCTTGGTAGAGGTACTCGCTGCTACGAGTTCGTTCGTGGTGCTTGAAGTTTCCCGTACGCTTTGCCTTTGAGCGGCGGTAGTACAAATATCCGAGGACAGTGAGCACTACAACCAACGCCCCCGCTGCAATTCCAGCGTCGAGTTGAGTTCGTCTTCGCTTCCAACGCCATCTGAGCCTGAATAACTGTGGGAGTCAGCTCTAATAGCGCCGTAGTAGCTCCAGCTGTAGTAGTGGCCGTCGCATTCAAGGGAATCGAGCTGCGTTGAGTCCACGTCTGAGTCGTCGGATTGGATATACCGGGTCAGCGCCACCGACTTTTGCAAGGGTGACAACCACTCGTTGTCTGTGAAGTACTGAATGTTAAAAGAGAGGTGGGTAGTTAACTGGGCGAGCACATACACTGCTGTGCCGTTCCGCTGCTCCCCCGACAGAATTTGTTCACAGCGGCCAGATCGTGGGAACGCTATTGCGTCTCGAAGTGTCGTGCAGTCTTCTTCGAACGCCTCGACCAGCACGTAAGCAACCCTCTCATAGACCTCGTCGAGTAGCTCTTTGTAGTCGCTACTGGAGTTGTAGCTCGTCGATCCCCAGCCGTGAAACGATGTCGAAGTGCATTCGTCCAAAGAAGAGCCGCCAACTTCAGCGTCGACTCGATTCGGCGCACCTTCACATTCGTGAGCTAGGTAGTAGGACGTGAGTTGGAACTTCATGTCTTCCACGACGCAGGCTTGGAACTCTAAGAGAGAAAAAAGCGCCACGATCAGACTTAAGCTAGCCATGGCTGGCCCTCTCTAACTTAAGTGAGAGATGCTCGGAAAGCGTGTGAAGAGCTCCTCGAAGCGGTTAGAATAAAACTCGCAGGACAGGCTGATTAACCCATCCTGCGACGTTTAAAAGTGCAACGGATTCGCGATACCCTCGTTCATTTGACTGGACCTGTTGGTGTAAAACGACCGAACTATGATTTGAAACCCCCCTGTTCTCACCGATCCAGTGTAGTTAGCCTCCGTTTTCGCCTGTCCCGGGTTGGAATTGTGGCATCTTTTCCGCTGGTCTCCCCGTGCCGTCACTTTTCATTTCCAGCCCTTGCTTGAGCGTCCTACTAAAAAGGAGTTGGAAGCCATGCGCTTGTCACTCTGGGTGGTCTCCCTCGCAGCTTTCGGATTGCTCGAAGCCAGCGCCACGAGCGTGCCGAATGTCATCGCGTACTACCACTCGACCAGCTGCGACGCCACCCCGAACCGAGTCGACCTGGAGTTCAATAGTGATTGTAATTCTCAATGTCTCGAGAATCTCGACGGCGACTGGAAAGCTTGGAACTACATTTGCCCCCTCGGAGACTACAAGAAGGCGGTGTGGGACGCGTTCGGAGGAGCTTCGTATATCCTGCAGGAAGCGTACATCGGCGGCTGCGATTCGAGGGCCGGGGGGGCGTGCGCCTTCCTCGCTTCGGGCAAGTGCGAGCAAGTGATCATGTTCATCAAAGACTGGGACTATGCCGTCTACTCCATCGCGCAGCTCGAGTCCGACGGCTCGGCGTCCGTCAAATACTTCACGGAGAGCGACTGTAGCACGGCGTTGGCCGAGGCTCGACCGTTGACCCCGTACATCACGGCACAAGACACAACCATCGACAAGGCCACGCTGAATTCTGACAGCTGCGACGGAGACGACTACCGGTGGTCGTACTATAGCTCCTCCTCGCCCTACACTCCCGACACGGGCTCTGCTAGCTCTGGCAGCACTTCAAAACCGGCGGACGACGGATCCAGCAGCAGCAAGGAGGACTCTACTGCCGACAGCGGCTCCGGTAGTAGTACGAAGTCTACATCAAGTGACTCTGGCACCAGCAAAGGTGACTCAAAGGAGAGTAGTGCGGCCAGCTCTACTGGTTCTACTCCCGACGAAGACAGTAGCGCTCTACCGACCGCTTCAAACAGCAACAGCAGCACAATCGACAGCAGCATCGCCAAGAAAATCACCAGAATCCGCGATGCTTCGGGCCAGGCCTCCACCGACGGGACGAGTACGAAAGTGGCGCAGTCTTCCGGAGCTTTCACGTCTGGTAACACGTTGGGGATCATCGCAGGCGCTGCAGGGGCGCTCTTTATCGTCGTGATCGTCGTCTTGGGCTTGATTCTGTATCGTCGGCGCTCGGATAAGGCGCAAAAGGGTCGTCTACCTGACGGTCGCCAAAGCGAATACGCGCTCCAAAACACGCCGTCGAGTGACCAACAGAACTGAAGATTTTCACGAGTGGAGCAGTGCCGCGCGGTATTTGCGGAGGCGGGCCCAGCGACGAGCATTCCAGCGAGCCAAGCACTGTTCTCGCCAGGTGAGAGAATCGACGCGATTAAGGTGGTGGCGCCTGTGGTGGCTTTACTTCTGCAGCATGTCGCGCTCGACACGAGCGAGTGGAGTTCTGCGGACGTCGACAACATGCAGACGGCCATATTATCGAGGGTATTGGGAGAAGGGAATAACGAGGGAAGCCGGTCTATCAGCTGTATACTTAGTGGACTGATCGACGAACAGAATCATCCCGAGCCGTCTGCAATCGGCAAGTGGGTGGATCCTCAGTCGGGATCAGAGACACAATTTCCTCTCCAACACGCGGTCGACTACGCCTTCTACATCGACGGTGAAGCCGGTGGCGCGCCGGCGGCACTTGGCGAATCGTTTTGCCGCGCACACGACGAATATGTGGTGTCCACCGGTACACAAGAGGTACAATGCCAATCTGGCAATACCGAGTCATGTGAACTTTTCGACACCTTCAACGATGATGACGACGGTTTTCCAGATGCATCGGACCCGATCGCCAGACCGGTTCCAGCCACTGTGCAAGCAGCAGGATCAAAACGCAGCCAATCCCTCCGTGGTACCAGTGAGGAAGTTGCTGAGCCTCCACACCAAAGACGCCGTATCACAGAGGCCACTGATCTCTCCACAAGGATGCCCTGATTGTAGCGAGGCTAAGTCACGACCCCGAACTACTCGACCGTTTCCTGAACCTCCGTGAGCAGTCCAGGACTCAAGCGTCCAGTGCATCAGCAGATGATGAAGAAAAACAACCGCTACCACCATTGGCGTCGCCGTGCAAGGCCAAGAGCACGACCAAGAAGTCCAAGTATGCGTTTTCGCCACAGCGAGAGCACCAGGAAGTTCACGACAAGCTAACATCGGAGCGCCACAGAGGTAAGGACCCTGATACTTATGTGCATAGTCAGATCCGATCCGGTGCCCTGCTTTGCAAGTCTCTCCCCGGCGTGTTGACTCGCGCGTACGACTACCAGTTTGGCATTGAAGGTCTCTCGATAATGCACTTCAGCTTTATGGACAGAAAGAAACGTATGGAGTGGATAGACTCGGGCAGTGCCAATTTCTCGAACTTTTCGGCGACAGCGGACTTCGAACCAGCTCCAGCAGCCACCAGCATCAACGGCGTTGTTGGTGCGGTGCGCGTTTTCCAGGTGTTCGCGCGCGAATACTGCGTCACTAGCGCGATTGAGCTGGTGGATGCCATCATTGGATTTATTGAGGCCAAGATTATGGCTCTGCGCTGGGAACCGGAGGACATACCGGCCTTTGTTTACTGGGTGAACGACGTTCTCGAAAGCTACCGATATGCAGTCGCGTCTTCGGATAAAGATCTGGGTGCTATTCGACTTCGATGCACGTTGGATGACCCCCTTCTGCGTGAAATCTTGCAAGAAGTCCAAGAACGGTGAATTCAGCAATTAGAACAGAAGAGCTCAACGAGTAGAGCACCCTTTGGCACGGTCGAAGCATCGCAGGCCATCCCGGGCCGTTCCGCCTCGGCGAGACAGCGAGGAAAAAGGAAAGGACACGGCCCCATTCCGCCCAAAGTGCTGCAAAAACTGCCGAAGCAGAACGACACGCAGGGAGGAAGTCGCCGGCTCTGCATGCGGTTTCTATCGAATGCAGGGTGTGATGCCGATCTTCATGAAGGAGCTCACGACGGCCGGGTCCACTTTGTTCCGAAAACGCTAGACGCCTTGGTCAAAGCCGAGATCGAGAAACGCTTCGATGGACTGAAGCCGCAATACAAACACTTATGACTACCTGTGGCTGCTCGGTCGCCATCGGCACACATGACGTTCCGATCCGGTTACTCCCCAACGCAGCCTGCCAACGTTATATCGAATCGATCAGAATGCCGAATAATTGAATGCAAACCCAAGTTGAATGACGCTGAGCCTACCCCCGCTGATGTTCGTTCTCGTAGTGCCTTTGCGGCACCTACAGGCGATATAAGTGTGGTCGCTGTAGAAAATCTCCGTTCCACGTCAATGTCATCTCTCACAACCTGCACTCGAATCTCGAACGATGCTGAGCCTGCCCCCAGCGCTGATGGTTGGGCTAACCCCCACGGAATGCCCCAAGTATTGGCTGCTTTGGATGCCGCAGAAAATCTCCGTTCCAGATCAGACATCAAAATATTACGCACGGTTGCTCTTAAGAACGACGCTGAGCCTGCCCCTAGTGCCACTGCTTGGGGTAACACATCTGTGCTGCCGCAAATAGTGACTGCTGTGGATGCTGCAGAAAATCTCCGTTCAACACCTGAGCAAAGTCCTCACCATCCTACCACGGCGTATGCATCGAATTCTATTGCGCCTTATCAAGCCAGGATGGCTTCGTCCCATGATAATGCTGCGCATGCCTACAGCTCCACCGCTTCGCAGAATCTGGTATCTCTCTCACGGGAGTCTGCTATTACCATACAGCACGAGCTGGAGTTAAGGCTTCTTCGAGACGAAGCTCGAATATCCCAGCTTCACCGCCACTGGGGGCTGCGACGATCGCATCCTACTTCCGCTGACAAATCGGTCATCGACATGGTTGCGTGCCGCTCGCTATCGGAGATAATTCGATCGAGACAGCTAAGCGTGGAGGACGCGGCAAAAGTATTGAGAGGCGAAACTCTACCTGACTGTAGACCAAACAAGGCGCTTGACCCGGATCGTTTGCGGTATGTACTACGTGGGTACCCACACTTAGACCTCCTGATCAATATCGCCACGAAAGGTATCGAGGCACAGTGGGGCGATGGCCCCATACCAGTTCGGCCTCCACCCAAAAACCACGGGTCGTGTCGTCGACATCTGAAAGCCGTCGGTAAAAGCATCCGCGCAGGCCAAGATAGCGGGCAGTACATGGTTGTCGACGCCGATATCCTGGAGCGATGGTCGAACGTAATCTGCAGCCCACTAGGAGCGGTTGAGAAGAAGGACGTGGATCCCTCCGTTGAAGTGAGAACCATTCACGATCTATCGTACCCATTTGGTAATTCTACGAACGATTACTACCAGAAAAAGTCGGTGCCAGCCCTCACTTACGAGTCAGTGACTAATATTGCTCGACGTATCGAGCACTTGGCTACGCGTCATCCTGGTGTCCGCGTACGTATCCTGAAAGGCGGTGTGAAAGATGCATACCGACATCTAATGTCTATAGCATCTCAAGTATTTCGTATGGCAGCTCTGGTGACAGACCTCAAGATTTTACTGATCGACTTAGCAGCCCCCTTCGGATGGTCCGGATCCCCACCATTTTATGGGCTGTTTGGACGTGCCATCTCGTGGTTGATGACAACTAATTCACCTGCCACAGTCGCTGATTCTGAAGATACCGAACCCTTTTTTGGCTACGAATGGGTAGATGATCATATTTTAGTCGAGCTGGACGTCAATGATCGGCTACATCTCGCAGAAGCAACCCTACGGCATGCGATGTTAGCCGTGCTGGGACCCCGATCAATTAATGAGGCCAAGTTCTCGAACTGGAGCACCGAACTCGTCGCCCTAGGTCTGCTCTGGAACACGGAAAAGCGAACAGTATCGATGCCAGCTGACAAAATCGCTAAGGCGCTACAACGAGTAAATACGATGATTTAGCATCAAGCAGCTACAAAATCGGATCTACAAAAACTCCTAGGGTCGCTAAGACGTGTGTCAACTTGCTTGCGGGCCGCCAAGCCATTTTACCAACAGCTGCATGCACTTGCAGTCGCTGCACCACGGTTTGCAAAAGTAAAACTCTCCGCCGGGGCGAAGGCGGATCTACGATGGGTTCAAAACATCCTGGGTCATGGGAATTTCGCTGCGCTACCCCTGAGCAGGTTCAGTGATCTTCCTTCATCCGATGTGGAACTGTACATGGATGCTTCACGATTCGGGACCCTGGCGCAAATAAATTTATCCAAGAAAAAATTGACGAGACCGAGACTCTTCTAATCGCCAACGATGACACGCATTTCAACAGCTTCTCCATTAATGTGCGGGAGCATCTGTGCATCGCATTGGCACTGTGGACCTGGGGTTCGTCGTGGTCGAGCAATTCGTCCGGCCAAATGCTTCACGTGAAGTGCTGGAGTGACAATATTTCAGCAGTGCAGTGGAGCAATCGACTTTCTTCAAAGAATGAACTCAGCCAAAGAAATCAACAGGGCAATTGGTCTAGCCGAAGCCTACTTCAACTTACGAGTATCGGTGGAGCATTTACCAGGGTCGACCAACATCATGGCAGACTCAGCATCGAGGGCCTGGACGGATCCTTATAAAACTGTGTGGACTAATTTTTCTGTGTCGTGGGAACAGACAGCCGTGCCGCCAATCTTTCGCAAACTCTACACGAACTTCTCGAAGGACTTCAATCCCGCTCACTGGCCTCGTCATCAAACGTTAAATACTCAGCTACTTGGTCACAGTGGGTGCGATGGTGCACGGAAATGCGACTGCCTAAATGGTTACCCAAGGACGAAGAGCGCCATTCATATCAGCTCGCACTTTTCGCAATCTACTGCTGGAAATTCGGATGGAACTCGTCCGAAAGAGGCAACTCTACCTCCACCGTGCTCTCCAAACTCTGCCACATCTCGTGGTATCACAAGCGCTTCGTCGGATACAAAGTCGGACTGTCCCCCGGACACCAGCTTGCTGTCGTCGGCATGCGCAGAGAAGACCGTCCAACCAACCCCAAGGCCCCCGTCACCATGCATCTCCTCGGAAAATTGCACAGCTCCCTCGATTTTTCCTGTGCCCAGCACCGAGTCATCTGGGTGGGGCTTCGGTGCTGGGCTTCTTCTTTCTTTTGCGCCGCTCCGAGTATCTAGCTGACGGCACGAGGGTAAAAGAATATGCTATTCAAAGGTCCGATGTACGCTTCCTGGATGATCAAGGCCGCGACCAAGAATTGATCGATCGAGTGAAAAAGGTTCAAATTCGTTTTCGAGGCAGCAAGACTGACCAGTTTGGCGATGGATGTACTCGTGTGCTGGGTCGGTCTGGTCACGCCCAATGCTGCCCAGTAATGGCGTGCTGGTATCTCGTTCAGCATCACCTTTCCATTGGCGCGAAGGCGGACACTCTACTCTGCAAAGTTACGCGGACCCACAACTTTCAAGTCCGAGACCTCGTCAGTGCTTTGAAACACGCAGCTGAACTCGTTGGGCACGAACCAGACAGTTACGGCTCCCACTCACTTCGTAGCTTAGGTGCCTCAGCACGCGGGCTACGACAGCTTGGCCATCACGGGAGGTGGAGATCGGACGCCGTTGAGCGGTACACAAGAATGAGCTCACAACTAACAGCACGGATGGCGGGCGACATGATGGCCAAGGCAACATTGCAGCGTAATCAAGGGGCAACCTCCACGCCACACCCCCGCTGTGGAGGCGCTGCAATGTAATTTTCAACTTTTGTGCCGGGTTCGGCACGCCCCCAACAAGTAAGACGACGACGACGACTGAAAACTGGGAGTAGTATCGCTACAGTTGGTACGGGGTCGCTGGGTAGAGGTCCGCAAGGCCAGTCGGGTCTGTGGAGTGACGATGTCATCACTGCGAAGCGCCTGGCACGTCGGGATGTTCAAGTCCAGCATTTGCTCAGCTGCGGGGCGTTCGGCGAGGTCTACTCGGGTGTCTGCAACGGGAAGCGCGTGGCTGTAATGATGCTGTCGGCTGAGAATCGAGGGGACATGGCCCACGTGAATGAGTTCCTAGCTGAGGCCAAGATGACCGCCAGTATGGACCACCCGCGCATTGTCCACTTCATCGGCGTTGCATGGGACTCCCTGTCCGACATGTGCGTGGTCATGGAGTACATGGAAGGCGGAGACCTTCGCACGCTGCTTACGGCGTATGAAGCATCGAAGCATCCGGTCGGAATCGATCGGGAGAAGGCGACGATTGCGCTGCATGTCTGCCACGCTCTCACCTATCTCCATTCACTTTCACCTCCAGTTATTCATCGAGACCTCAAGTCGTGCAATATCTTGCTCAATCATACAATGGAAGCCAAGGTGATCGACTTCGGCGTCTCCAAAGAGCGACTCGAGCAGACGATGACGGCAGGGGTGGGGACGTCCCTGTGGATGGCACCTGAGGTGACGCTGAGCGAGTGGTACGACGACAAGGCCGATATGTTCTCGTTTGGAGTGCTGCTGTCGGAGCTGGACGTACACACGCTTCCGTATGCGCAGGCGAAGGAGAAGCAGCGAGACTCGAACGGGAGGCGACTGCCAGACGCCATCATTCTACAGCAAGTGATGGGGAGAGTCCGCGTGGAATTCTCGGGGTCCAGTCCGGAGTCGATCATGGAACTGGGAGCTGCTTGTGTGTCGGTGGATCCAGATCTGCGTCCAACTGCAGCTGAAGCACCGTATAAACTCCATGTCGCACTCGCAGAGGAGTTGGGATGAACGCTTAGTGTACCATACAGCGATTTTTCTTAGGGTGAAGCAAGACCACCTGTCAGGGTTAACCCATTTGGTTATTTGGATAGGCTTACGGCTGAGGTGACTCAAAGACAGCCCCCTCCTGCCACAAATCAACCAGCATATTGCGTCCAGGCATGACCGAGTAGGCAGATGCGATCGGCGAGCACCAACGGTATCATGTGGGTAGCGAGCGAGTTACTGGCCTTTTGCCGCAGCAACAGGCGCGTCCACTTGATACACCTGGCACACAAGTGCACGATGTGTTTTTGGGTGAAGATGTTCACTTTCGATTTCTCCGACGTCGTGCTCACTGCGTTAACTTAGCGATGAAGCGTTGGCTTCGTGGGGTTCATGTTGTGGCCGCGTTGGCTGAGCTCTCACTAAACAATGCCAAGGCGGAGACTTCGTATACGACTCTGTCCTATTACCCGACCGACACGTGCGACGCGAGTGCCCATCGACTGGACGTTGGGTCCTTCTCCTGCAGTGACGAGTGCACGCGGCAAACTTCCGACTGGAGATCCGTTCAAGGCTACTGCGATATTGTCGGCTACAGTAGCGTTGTTGACCAGGCGTTCGGGGGTGCAGCATATATCCTGATCGAAGCCTTCAACGACAGTGACTGCAAGACCGTCGTGGATGCCACGGCGTTCCAAGCTTCGGGAAGCTGCAGTCAGGTCATCATGTACGTGGACTACTGGGGGTTCGCCACCTACGCCATTGCTAAAGAAGAAGGAGGCTCGGTTTCGATCCGGTACTACAACGACAGCACCTGTAGCTTGCCATTGCTCGAGTCGGTGACACTGCTCGATGGGATCGACACTCAAGACGTCGACATCGACCAAGCCACTCTCAATTCAGCCAGCTGCGACGAAAACAACCTGCGGCGGACGTACTCGGCGGCTCTGAGTAGCGGAGCTCCTCGTTAAGTCAGAGCGCAAGTGGCAGCAGTGCCAGCGGTGCAAGCCACGCAACTGGTAGTAGTGGGTCTGGAACTTCATCATCGTCATCGTCATCAACGACTACACCGTCAGGAAGCAGCAACACGGGGCTGATTGCTGGGGCTGCTGCAGGGATTGCGGTTGTCTTCTTCCTCATGTTGGGCGCGTTCTGGTGCGTCTGTCGATCAAAAAGGAAAGCTTCTAGTGATGCTGTCTACCACGCTCAGGGCAACTACTCTCAAGACAACGGCACCTCGTCGCTCACTGTGACGGCGCAGGGCGGTGGAACGTTGGGCCAAGCTGGTCTGTGGACCGACGACGTGATCACCGCCAAGCGAATTTCACGCCGAGATGTTCACATTGGCAAGTTGCTGAGCCGTGGCGCGTTTGGTGAAGTATACTCGGGAACTTTCGATGGGTCACGTGTGGCAGTGAAGATGCTGCCGCCTGAAACTCGAGGAGCTATTCCGAACGTGAACGCATTCCTGTCGGAAGCGAAGATGACTGCGACGATGGATCACCCGCGGATTATCAGCCTGATCGGAGTCGCCTGGAACTCGCTCTCGGATTTGTGCGTGGTCATGGAGTTCATGGAAGGTGGCGACCTGCGAGCTCTTCTGGATAGGTATCAAACTGCGCAGCATCCAGTGGGTATCGACCACGAAAAGGCCACCATCGCACTTCACGTTTGCCATGCGCTCACATATCTGCACTCGCTGATGCCGCAGGTGATCCACCGGGACCTCAAGTCACGGAATATTTTACTGACCGAAACAATGGAAGCCAAGATCACGGACTTTGGCATCTCAAGAGAGCGACTGGACCAGACAATGACCGCAGGTGTGGGAACGTCGCTCTGGATGGCGCCTGAAGTGATGATGGGCGAGAGGTACGACGACAAAGCGGATATGTTCTCGTTCGGCGTGGTGCTGTCGGAGCTGGACGCTCATGCGCTGCCGTATGCGCAGGCGAAGGAGAAGAACCGAGACTCCGACGGACGAAAGCTGCCGGACACGATCTTGTTGCAGCAGGTGGCGATGGGGAGACTTCGTGTGGAGTTTTCTGAGTCAACTCCACAGTCGATTGTGGATTTGGGATTGGCCTGTGTTTCAGTTGATCCGAAGATGCGGCCGACGGCAGCGGAGGCACTCTACAGACTGCAGGTTGTGCTTCGTACAAGGCTTTCTAGTGGTAAGCTCTGAATCAAGAGAACGGCAAGCCCGAGCGAGAAAGAGCAGCGGTTCCTCCTTTTCGTCAATTTCATTTTCTCACGGAGCGCCAGGGGTTGGAAAAAATAATATCAATGCAATAGTTATGGCATTTTTAGCACGGAATAATTTATTATTGTTTTAGGATGTTCCCGTACAATAGAAAATTGTCCCAATACAATATCAACACAAAACAAACCTTATTACGAAAATCCCGAATATATTTATTGCCAATAATTGTGAAAATACTGTATTATTGGCTGACCCTGTATTACAGTGATTATTACTGTGACTCCAAGACCAAAATGCAATATGATATTTTATTTTCCGACCTCTGCGGCGCGCCGAAGCTTGGGGGAACAATATCTACACCACTCGTGCCAGCGACCTCTCCAACTTGGAGAGGACCGAGATTGCAACCGCCATTGTGCACTTCCCACGGGGGTGCACATGCGCGTTGACAAGTGTTGTTCAACTTGATCCGGCGGCAAAAGGTACGAACAGAAAAAAAAATGTGCGGGAAAGATACTATATCACGCTTACGTGCCTACTGTATAATACTGCGACTGATATCGCTGATACCTTGCCAAACCGTGCAGTGAACGGCGTGCACGAATGCAGTACAGTGCAGCACAGTTCTGCCAAGTTGGCAGTGCCGATCAAAATGAACACATGGCAGGCAAAGTGGCAGTGAATCGCTGGCTACGAGCAAGCGACGCTTGAACATGACTCCAGCTGGCGACCCGCATTTCTGTCACGTGCTGATATGCAGGGGGTCGCCTGCCCCACAGTCTCCATTTAGCGCTTTCAACCTCACGCAATGTGTTGCCATCGGCTACTTGTTCCGGTGCTCGTCGCCTTGATACAAGTGGCAACGCTTCATCTGGTCGAAGCTCAGAGTGCGTACGACACGTACGCGTACTACCTGCTGCGCGAACAGTGCCAAGGAACTCCGAACCGCGTGGACTCGTACGACGCGGGCTTCTACGAAGTGTACATGCAGTGCGACAACACTTGCACCGACAGCTCGTCCAGCTGGAAGTCGCACAACTCGGTGTGCAACTCCACGGACTACAAGGCGGACATGGCGGCGGCGTTCGGTAGTGCGCCCTACCTGCTGCAGGAGGCGTTCGAGAGCGACTGCGAGACGTTCCGCGGGGCTTCGGGGCTCCTCGCGTCGGGCGACTGCGAGCAGGTCATCATGTACGTGGACGAGTGGGGGTTCTCCACCTACGAGAAGATTCAGCTCGAAGCCAATGGCTCCCTCTCCATCCGCTACTTCACGGATCAAGAGTGCTCCACTCCGTTGGATGGGAACGTTACGCTCACGTTCCAGATCAACGCCATGGACACGGATGTCAATCAAACCATGCTCAACTCAAGCTCCTGCGACGAGAATGGCTACAGATACACCTACTTCACGAGCACAACAAGTGACAGCGGCAGTGCTGACTCGGGTTCGAACGCGTCCAACGCAACGACTAGCGGGTCGTCGTCGTCGTCTTCAGGGAGCAGTGTGGGTCTCATCGCAGGGATCGTCGGAGGAATTGTCGCCTTGGTGTTGATCGTGGCTGGGCTGTTCTTCTACTGCCGGCATCGTTCAACGAGGAAAAACTTGGACGGCGACAGCAACAGCGTCGCTCTGTTGACTCCCGGAACTCAGGAGCAGCGCACGTCGAGCCTTTCAACGGGTACGCTCGATCAAGGCTCTTTAGGCCAATCCGGTCTGTGGACGGACGACGTGATCACCACCAAACGGATCCCCCGTCGCGACGTGCACATTCGACAGCTCGTCAGTCGTGGAGCGTACGGAGAAGTGTACGAAGGTCTGTTTGAGGACACGCGCGTGGCTGTGAAGATGCTGTCGCCCGAGACGCGCAACTCGATCCAACATGTCAATGGCTTCTTGGCGGAGGCCAAGCTGACTGCCACCATGGACCACCCTCGCATCGTCAGCTTGATCGGCGTGGCGTGGAAGTCGCTCTCGGACTTGTGCATCGTGCTCGAGTTCATGGATGGCGGGGACCTGCGCACGCTGCTCGACAAGTACGCCACGGCCAACCAGCCTGTAGGTATCAACCGGCAGAAGGCCACGATCGCGCTCCACGTCTGCCACGCGCTGACCTACCTGCACTCGCTGTCGACCCCCGTGATCCACCGAGACCTCAAGTCTCGCAACATCCTGCTGACGCGCGCTCTCGAAGCCAAGTTGACGGACTTTGGCATCTCCAGGGAGCGGCTGGACCAAACGATGACGGCGGGAGTCGGGACGTCGCTGTGGATGGCGCCGGAGGTCATGCTCGGTGAGAGATACGACGACAAGGCCGACATGTTTTCCTTCGGAGTGGTGCTGTCCGAGCTGGACGTGCACACGCTGCCGTACGCTCAGGCACAGGACGAGAACCGCGACTCGAACGGGAAGCGGTTGCCAGACGCAGTGTTGCTGCAGAAAGTGACGATGGGTCAGCTCACCGTCGAGTTCTCGAAGTCGAGTCCGCCGTCCCTCGTGGAGCTGGGTAGAGCTTGCGTGTCGGTCGATCCAAGAATGAGACCCACCGCAGCAGAAGCGCTATACAGACTCCACCAGGCGTTGACACGGGAATTACGCTAACATGCATTAAAAATATGTCCACCTCGTCTTTGCCAACTGAGGCCAGAAGTGTCCTCCAACTCACTTGATCTTGACGGACGTAGGGCTACCGTATCATGTACCTATCGGATACTTTGCTCCTTCCGTCGAGCCGCCAACTCAGTCGAAGAGTCTCCGTCCTGTGCGCAGTCTGCGATTGAGAGGAAGCATGCCCCAACTGCGGCTGATCCTCGGGGTGTTGTTGTGGGAGATGGCGAGTGCTCTGACGGTGTTCGACGTGTGGACGTACTACACTGGGCTCTCGTGCAGGGACGTCCCGAAGGTTATCAATGCCGGGAACTTCACGACGTGTCGGGACGGGTGCGAGCACCACTCGGGGGACTGGACGATGGAGAACGAGGAGTGCCAGATAACGGACTACAACGCGATCATGGCGAGGGAGTTCACGAACACGAGCTACATCGTGCAGGAAAGTCTCGACGTCGACTGCGAGAGCGTCCTGGACGTGTACGCGTACATCGCGACGGGGACCTGCGAGCTGGCCATCATGTACGTGGAAGACTGGGGCTTCCGCACGTACCGCATCGCCCAGCGGGAGGGGAACGGCTCTCTATCCGCCCGATACTTCAGCGACAGCGAGTGTCTCGTGTCCTTGAACGAGACCCAGCTAGCCATTATTGCTCCGACGAAGGACACTGTTGTGGACCCAGCGCTCGTCGGGTCGAATAGCTGCGACGAGAACAACTTCCGGTGGAGCTACTACGACAGCATCAACCCGTACGTTCCTGCCAGTAACAGCAGCAGCAGCAGCAGCGCCACTGGCAATACTTCGAGTGCTATCGGCGACAGCAGCGGTGCGGATTTATCCGAGTCGGTATCAGCATCATCGAGTAACAGTGGAGTGATCATCGCTGGAATTGCTGGAGGGGTTGTGGTGGTCCAGGTCGTGCTGGTTCTGGTGTATCGCAAGCAACGGTCAAAGCGTAAGAATTTTTTATTCAATAGGGACGACAACTTGGCCGTACTGGGAGATTCCGCGGGCTCTGACAAGCGCACATCGAGTACCAAGGGGGATTCTAACTCACTTGAGGGGGCTGCACTGGGTCAATCTGGCTTGTGGAATGACGATGTCATCACCGCCAAGCGCATCGCTAGACGAGAAATCCAAGTGAAGAATCTCATCAGCCGTGGAGCCTTTGGGGAGGTTTACGAAGGAGTTTTTAACGACAAGAGGGTTGCAGTCAAGATGTTGTCGCCAGAAATTCGTGGAAGGATTCGCTACGTGAACAATTTCCTAGCCGAAGCGAAGCTGACGGCCAGCATGGAACACCCACACGTCGTGCACTTCATTGGAGTCGCCTGGGACACCTTGTCGGATTTGTGCGTCGTGATGGAGTTCATGGAAGGAGGCGACTTGCGCTCGCTCTTGAGCGAGTACGAACAATCTGGCCATCCCGTGGGTATCGACCGAGAGAAAGCCACCATCGCTCTGCACGTCTGCCACGCGCTTACGTATTTGCACTCATTGGCACCTCCGATTATCCACCGAGACCTCAAGTCTCGCAATATCCTCCTGACTCACGACCTCAAGGCGAAGGTGACGGACTTTGGCATTTCGAGGGAAAAGCTGGACCAGACGATGACTGCGGGGGTCGGGACGTCGCTCTGGATGGCGCCTGAAGTGATGCTCGGCGAGCGCTACGACGACAAGGCGGATATTTTCTCGTTTGGCGTGGTGCTGTCCGAGTTGGATCTCCATACACTGCCGTACGCCCAAGCCAAGGACAAGAATCGCGACTCAAACGGCCACCGCTTTCCAGACGCGCTTCTGCTGCAGCAGGTCGCGATGGGGAAACTGCGAGTTGAGTTCTCGGAGGGAAGCCCTCGGTCATTAGTGGAGGTTGGGGTGGCGTGTGTGTCGGTGGATCCGAGACTGCGGCCGACAGCAGCCGAAGCACTGTACAAACTTCAGAAAGCTTTAACGCAGGAGCTTAAGCAGCTAACTAAGACTTGTGAGTAAATAAACTACATATTAATAATATATGTTGTGGTAATCATATTGACCTCAGAAGCAAGCGCATACCCGCACTATCGATTGCCAGTCCTGCGAGTGATGAGTAGTAGGAAGGAGCTGTTGCTTGGGAAATACTAGTCCAGTAACGTGGGCTGTTATGCTCAAGCCGTTGATAGCGTGTCCGCCTCCGGTCAAAGTTCAAATGACCCGTACCGCATTTCGCATGTAGAGCGCTACAGCGGTTTAAGAGATACACCTTTATTTAGACCAATCAGAGATGCGAGAGAAAAGTCCGTAGAGAGATACCCCTAATTTGGGTATTTTGCGCATTTTTGCATGCACATTGAGCCACCAGTTCCAAGCGCGCGAAGGCAGAGGGGAAGAGCGGCGCACTGCTCGCCAACGTCGCGCTGCCCCCTCCCCGCGCGCTTGGAGGCATACGCCTCGTCGGAGTGATAGTTAGTAGCCACGCCTGGTGTGGGCCCAGTTGAGGCGCGCTTGAGTGCGGGATATGGGGAGCACGAGGTTAAACCACAACGCGCAAGCTCGAGAGAGCGCACAACACGGCTGTTGCAGCGATGGTAGTAGAAGAAGCAACGCTGTAGATAATCGGTTAAGTGGTGTGGTTCCTGTGCAACATAGTTGTAGATGGCGCCTAGACTTGTTGCTAGCTTAAGCGCCATCTTAGAGGAGATCGCTCCGCGCCATCCTCATGACCAACCATCTTGCCAATTTTGTGTACGAAATGATCGCGTGACCCAGTTTTTGGGTTTTACATCAGACCTCCCTTATACTGGCACCTACCGGGATGTGTCGGATTAGCTATATTTCGGCACTCTTGTTTTGTTTATTTCGGCACAGTGCCAGTTTAAGGAAATAAAGTACTTAAGTATGCATTTTACTACAATTTCTCTAGCATGTCGAACTTTTTAGCCTGGAAGATGCCTTCAAGGGCTAGAGAAGCCAACGAAGTGCGCCGGTCGTTCAGCTCACACTTCAATACGGAAAATTCGGATTCGACGGACGCCGTATTCGCGAATACGTTGCCAATCCGCAGCAGAACTGAAAAACAATGTAAAATTTACATTGTATTTAGGCTCGAGTGCAGTAATTAACCTAAACCTATGACATGGGGTGTGTTTCTCTACATGCGAAATGCGGTACTGCCAGTCAAAATGTTATCGAGTACTTGATATCGTCTGAAGAGCTCGTAAATATCGAAAATATTAACTAATATTGTGCTTTGCAATAATTTTGCCGACCATTTTAGACGCTAAATATGGCAAAGCCTGCTCCTAAATATGTGTGAAAGAAGATACACGACCTGCTAAAATTATGCATAAATCCATCTCCTCATTTATATATATCGACTTGGGAGGGCGTGTCAGCAGCCATGCATTGGCCCAGTACACCACCGTCCATGATTCCCAGCACACCCTCCCTCTTATGCATAATTGCCGTCTGTGTAGGTGCTTGTGGATAAAAACCGACAGAATTGTGGCGCTTTTAGCGTAATTCTAGGCCTACGCCCATTTATGTACCTCGATTTATCGTAAATCTAGCAGGTGGTCGCTATAAATACAGCAAATCTAGCCTCGTATTGCCAACATCATTGCAAAGCACAATACATGTATCACTATGATATTTTGGACATATTGATGTTATCGCAACATATTTTATATTAACCCTTTCGCGAGTATCCTCAATAAATTATAGTATACAACTCATTGATACTTCCTTCTAAAAGGGCGCTCTAGGCGTCCTTTTACAAAGTTACGGAGCCTTTTCGGTGTGTCTCATAGGACATGCCATCTACGGTGATTTGCAGGATACATAGAGTGTATGCGTATGACTTAGCATTTGTATAGACAATGATTACATGATGATTACTCTGCGTACCGATTACGATTTGTTTTAAAAGAAGGTTGATTACTAGCTTGAACTTGTGCAAAAGGGCACAGGATGCGCCCTTTAAGAGGGGGTACACTCTACCGTGTTTTGGAAAATCATCTAAAGGGCGCTTTCTGTATCCTTTTACCGCGAAAGGGTTAATTATTGTGCTCACCATGCATTTTGGCCACCCGGATTTTACTCAAACGATTTGAGCTCGCCAAATCGTGGTCGATTTATATATGTAAATCCCTTTGAACGCCTACGGCAGTGTGGACATTCTGGTGGATTTGTATATATATCGCCAAGGAGAACGGTAGAATTGCACAGACAATGCAGGTGAACCACACATACAAATTGGTACCTGCACAGATAATATGGAATTTGCACAGACAAACTGGTCAAATGGTTGGAGTCCACACATCTTCGCGAGAAAGGCACAGATAGTATGCTAGTATAGGGTGGTTTACACTAAAATCGTGCAGCAACAGCTAGTATAAGGTAGACATTCCCTAAAGTAGTGTGACCTTCTATCGAGCTGTGGCCACTCTTTCTCGAACCCGCCCCGTCAAGCTTGGTGGTGTAGGTGACGAGCTGCCGAGTGAAGACTTAGTTGTGCGTGGAGGCGGGACGAGGGACGGAGTGGCAGAGATGTGTGTAGTAAACAGAGGTGTAGTGACGAGTGGAGGAGGGACGGTGTGGTGACGAGGGACGGCGTGGTGACGGGTGGGGAAGTGGTGACGAGCGGAGGAGTGGTGACGAGTGACGAGTGGGGGTGTGGTGACGAGTGGAGGAGTGACGACGGCTGGAGGACAGGTGGCCAGTGGAAGGATGGTGACGAGTGAAGACGCCGAACCAAGAGATGAAACGCCCTTCGTACAACTGGGTGAACCTGTGTACTTTGGGCTCAGAAGACGCACTGCAAGAAATTTTGGATATTGAATTTTGTTGCGCTCGTGTAGGTCACACGGACCCATCCAGTCGATGCCGAGTTTGCGGTAGTTTTGAATACTCGATGAATGAGCGCCGAATGCGGTGTGGAAGCAAAAAATGCAAGTTGTACGGCAAATGCAAGTTCGTTATGAAGATTTGGCTGTGTGAGTCCACTAAGGCGTGCCAAGTATTTCACAACCGAGTCGCCCACGCGAGGGACATTCAGCAAGAGTGCGAAGGTCCCCACAAAGCAGTTATAACTGTCCAAATGAAGAAGATCATTTTGCAGCAAGATGAGTGTGCCGTGCCCCCGCAGCTAATTTGGAGTAGTATGCACCGGTCTTCTGATATTCTCGAGCCCAATAGAGGGTACCCTACTTTGAGCCAAGTCACCAACTGCGCCAAATACTTACGCTGCTTACAGGGAACGAAGAATTCCATTCAAGTCGTACGCAAACTAGTTCGGGAAAACGCGTATGACCCAACCGGAGATCTCAACAGGTCTTTCTGTTTCGGGCACCGGGAAGATGAAAACGGTCATGCCTACGTAGGCAAGGGCACGGGCGAGGACTCGTTCGTCGTCGGCGTAACAAGCCTAGCGCTGGTCCATGCCTCTATCGAATACGCATCACCAGGCCGATTTACACTCTTCCACGCGGACGCTACATTCAAGCTTAGGGGCTTGGGGTACCCTTTGATCACGTGTGGATTTTCAGACTCTTCCCGATCGTACCAGCTTGCCGCAATTTTTATTGTGAGCCGTTGCACAGCTAAGGAGTACGCGATGTGTCTTAGCGCGTTTGTCCGATTAGTAAAACTTGTGCGTCCGTCGGCTACCCTTCACATTGAAGCCGTGATGGGGGATGCAGAGGATGCTCAACTGAACGGGTTTCAGCGAATTTCTCCCTTTGACTCGGCTACCTACTTGATGTGCTTCTTCCATGTGCTGTACAATGTCCGGAAACGTACGAAGCACATGCAGTTAGAGCACCGAAGAGCGGTAATGGATGGCATTGTGAAAATCCATTATGCTGTAAGCATGACGGCCTATTATGCGCAGAAAGATGAATCACTGAAGGAGTGGAAAAAGATTCCGGAGCTGACAAAATTTACGAAGTACTTCAAAGAACAATGGTCGTTATTGGTGGTGGCAAGTTTTCCATACACCTGTTGGCTTTGTGACGACAAACAATCCCTGTGAAACATTTAACGCTATTTTGAAAAAGTACACCGTGCGGCGCAGATTTTTTATGCAGCGGCTTCTTGCTGTGACTATGGCGGTCATACAAGACGCAAAGGTCCATACGCCAACAGCAGACACGAAGGTGCACGCTCCCACCACAACCGCTGCTCAAGCAGCAGCTTCGATGATTGCAACAGAACGTATTGTGGCCTACGCTGCTGACAACCTCACGCTCTGCCGTGTAAAACAGTTACCGAAAGTGGGCGAGACAGAAACACAGAAGCTAGAGGATCTCTCGCTTATGCTTGACAGCCCATTTTACGCTTCAACGGAATTGAGCGAGGACGGAGAAGAAGAGCTTTGCGTGGGACCAGCTCTTCTTGTTCGAGAGCAGCGGGCTCGTGCTGCCCGGCTGTACAAAATGTAGTGACTTGGTCGTTGTGGTATGCACACTACGACTCGATGCCTGATGATGGATGGATTGTAGACGTCGAGAAGTGCATTTGTGGCTGCAAATTCTACGCCAAGTTCAAGACTTGCTGCCACATCATCGTCGGAGGAAGGCTAAGAGGCTTTCACGTCCTGGACGGGAGGATAAGACGGAGAAACTATTCAATCGAAAAATTAAAAAGACGAAATCCACACCACCGACCAAGAAACAGAAGAAGCAGCAACAACCGACTGCAAGTGAAGCGACTGAAGCGCTACCACTGGTGGAGCCCATTCAAAGGTCGACCGATACTGGCTTCGCGAGCGTTGAACTTACAATTATTTTGTGCGAAGACACGTAAGCCAGTTACCAACTAGAAAGGGGGAGTGTAAGAGTGCATTGTTGCACCAGCAACTTGAACCGTTACATGATAACTCTACTTCTGACGTCCACGACGTACTATGTTTTTAATTTTGGTAGAGCGCTAAGTCTTCATTAGTCACATAACTGCTATGGATCACCTGGTCACCAAACCTTCCTCGGTCACCAAAAATATATCGGTCTCCTAAACTGTCTTGGTCACCTAAACTGTCTTGGTCACCAAAAGTATACCGGTCACCTAAACTGTCTTGGTCACCAAACCTTCCTCGGTCACCAAAAATATATCGGTCTCCTAAACTGTCTTGGTCGCCTAAACTGTCTTGGTCACCAAACGTATACCGGTCACCTAAACTGTCTTGGTCATCTAAAATATGCCTGTCAGCTTAATACACTCGGTCACCAAAACTCAATCTGTCACTTAAACTTGTGCTAGTCTCCCAGAGGGTTCAATAGCAGAGATTTAATTTGCTTGCCAAACGTTTGGTTTTAACCTACAAGTCGAACTCGCTGTCCTCTGACTCGCTGTCGCTCATCTGCTTCACGCTGTCTGCCGACGTGCTTTCGCTCATCTACTCCTCCTAGGAGCTCTCACCCGGTTCACTCAGATCACTCTCACTCTCTTCCTCCTCCGCCTCCTTCTCTTCCTTGTCTTCGTCTTCTTCTTCGTCCTCACTCTCTCCGTCGTCGCCCTCGCTCTCTTCTTCGTCGTCCTCGCTCTCTCCTTCATCATCTCCATCTTCGCCGTGAATATCGCTCTCGGTTGCCTCCTCCATGGCCTCATCTGCGTGACGCGACGATCGCCGCGCGCGGTGCTCACCGGGTTGCTTTCGACTGATGTGCTTCGTTAGCGTGTACGGTTTGTTGAAGGAGCTGTCACAGTACAGGCAGGGAAAATCCGCTTCAAAATTACACACCAATTTGTGATCGCGTAGCCCCTGGCGCGAATCACACAAGCTCATGCACTTGCTGCATCCATAGCTTTTGAACGGGACGGTCTCTGTTGTATTTGAGCGATACCTGATGCCTCTGACGCGGACGTAACAATGCAGGCAAATGTTCTCGTCTTCGTACTTTGCACCTGCATGCGCCAAGTCGCCCCTGAACAGAACCATGTCGCCTTCATTTAACGTCAGCGTGACTCTCGCGTTTTTCCGCTTGACCCCCAAAACAACGCGGATACACATGGAGTAACGTGTTCTTCATTAGCGCCACAACTGAACGAGCTTATGCTTTAGAAGAGCGCGTGAAATCTCAAACTGGGGATAATCTTGGTGCACAGCCCGCGTTCTGCCACCAGGTGTCGACTTCAATGCATGCCACGTAGATACATTAACCTCCCATAGATTGTTTGCGCCCTCCACAAGTCCAGCCACCATGGCATGAATGCTACTGACTCCATCGTCGAGCACTTCGATTGACACCTGTTCGCGAAAGGGGTCCAGCCTCTTTGCGTAGACCTTTCGGAATATCGGCTTGAATCCCAGCTCTTTGACTTCTTCAAGAGCCTGCTCGCACAGCGCGTGGCTAAAGACCTTTCACTTCACCGTGTAGCCAACATAACGCTAAAAACGAAAAACCCACCACCATTCTTGTCCCTCCAAACATACGCTTGTTTCGTCAATTAGTCCTCGCTAAGCACGTCTCTGGTCGTCCCCCGCTGTCCACCGGCCGTTGTCGTCCTTCTAGCGTCGCTGGCACGCTACTCGGGGCGTCTCAGGCGCCCGCCGCGCCGCGTCTTGGGCGGCCGGCGCGAGGCTACGAGCCTCTTGGATGGCAAGGGCGAAGCCGACAGCGTCTAGGGGACCGGTACGAAGCGGCGAGCGTCTCGGGGGCCGGCACGAAGCGGACGGGTGTCGTTGGTGCGGGGCCTACGGCTAAAGTTGGTAAGTGGCTGGTTGCTGTGTAGGCGCTGTTGCATTGTGACATTGCGTGTAGGCGATGACGCAATGCTGTGCTGTTGTGCTGTGCATACAGCATCTGTGGATTTCACAATAAGTGGTCTGTGGATTTCCCTATTTTGTTTGTGCGATTAACCTTATGTCATCGCCAAGCGCTCGCCTAAACAATCAATCAGCAGCTTAATCGCCCACCGTGGCGCAGCTAAATACCCCCAGCTGGTTGATATAAGAACGGCAGGGTGCCGAGCCTGCTCGGGGTAAAAAGGAGTAAGGAGAGGTATATATATTGTGAAAACCGATTAGTTTGTCCTGCTGAATTGGATCCGGTTGGCTATAGTCATGGATCTGGATCCGGTTGGGTTTGATCATGGATCTCATTGGTAGTGCCATGGATCGCCGTGGCGGATCATGGATCTGAACCGGAATATCATGGACCGGGTTGGGATGTCATGGATCCGCAATGCATTTGCCGCTAAGACTTATCAACATGTTCTTGCATTTTGCAAACCAATTGTAGCCGATGAGGCTCACATGGTTGGCGCAAGCAGAACCAATGGCTTCTTGAGCTCTAACTACTACTACTACACTCGTATTGCAAGTATGTTTCTCCTCCTGCAAAAGGTCGACTACGATTCCTACCTGCGCTTTATTTTTTGGTTTCCCTTATGGCCATATCCTTTAAGTGCCAACACTTGACAAAACATGCAAATCGATCCTCAAAGCACATTTTTGTACGAGCAGCTTGTTTTTGGGTTTTAGCATCTGTACGTCGATATTGGAATTTGTATGTAGCCGCGCTGCAGCTAGCGGGGGGCGCGCTGTTGATATCACATCCCCAGTGCAGACTGCACTGCTTGTCATCAATTTTGTCGTTACGTGATTATGATTGCAATGAATGCAATGATTTACGTGTTCGCGTAGCCAAATTACACCTGCGCTAGTCTCAGTTTAGCTAGTCGGCGGCATAGTGTGGTGTCCGCATACGTCGAGTCTCCTTTGGCTGGCAGTGAGTCAGCAATGGTAGTCATGAGGCCCTTCCATTTACGTCGGTCTTGGGCAAGCAGTCGAAGTCTCTCCAAGTCTGAGCTGGTGCGGAGGCGGTAGCCACACCCACTAGCACCAACGTCCTGGTCGAGGACAAGAGGCAGTGTGGTGCGGGGCCTACCTCTCCACTTGCTGCTGTCGGAGGAAGAGAAATACACCTTCATCTGGATAAACGCCGGGATATCTTGTAGTCGCCGTAGAATGTGCCCGAGAAGCCCCCACCTCGCAGATGTGATCCGGTGACGGAGCGGCCGCTCGCCGCACGTTGCGTAGAGATCAGCGTTGGAGATGTGGTACGGGTAACGCACATTGAGGACAGACCGTAGCTGGCGACGGTGAATGCTTTCGAGTCGGTGAAGCTCCGTTGGTGTAAGCGCCCAGGTCCCGCAGTTGTAGAGTAGTATCGGCAGTACGTAGCAGTTGTAGAGGCGAATTCGTGTCGTGTCTGTGATACGGTGCGATCTCAGCCAGACCGTCCAGAGCCACCGAAGAGCAGCCGCAGCGAGTATTTTCCGACGCGATACGTCATCGGCATCTCCGAGCAACGAGCCAAGCTTCCGCGTAGACCTCCATGCTTCTTCCTCTGCTCGAGCGTGGGGGTCGGCACTGGCAGGTGTCAGGCAGCGGCGGAGAATTGTGTGCTCCGTCTTTGCCGCGTTCATTTGAAGCGACCAGCGCGCGAATACTTCCGGGGCATGGGTCTGGATGAGCTCGACGAGGGCGGGGTCCCGACAGATAAAGTAGGCATCGTCCGCATACACGATCATTTGCTGGAGCAGGTCCGGCGGCATTGCAGGGTGACTAGCTAGATCTCTAAGTACTGCTTCTAGGTAGATAACAAATAATACTGGTGAGAGTGAGTCGCCCTGTGGCGTACCTGTGTTGCTGCCGAATGGTTGCAGGATCTGGTGGCCGATGCGGAGTGAAAGCGTTGTGTCGGATAGTAAGAGTCGAATCATCCGGATTTCGTCGTCGTGTAGAAACTGCTGTAGAACTTTGAGGAGTTTGGCACGGTCGATCGTGTCGAACGCGCGCGAGAAGTCGATACCCAGTACATGAACGATTTCGCGATACGTTTGTACCCGTGCGCACAGCCACTTGTGGGCCCACACCGCGTCAGCCGTACTGCGGCTCTTGCGGAAGCCACTTTGGTGGCCTGAGAGAAACTTGTCGACCGCGGGTGTGATGCGGCGGAGAACGATGAGTGACACCGCTTTGCGAATAGTGTTCAGGAGAACTATCGGGCGTAGGCTTGAGTACTGCCCTCGTGGCTTGTTCGGCTTCTGGAGACACAGCAGGATACCTTGGCCCAGTGGGATGGGTTCACCGCGTTCGAAGCTGCGGTTTAGTAGATGTTCGAGTCGTGGAGCAACGTCAGCAGCGGCATACTTGAGTAGTTCACCAGGAATAGCATCGGGGCCAGCAGCCCGACCGTTGTTCAGTTGAAGGAGGGCACCACGGACTTCGTCCGGCGTGATTGGGCAGTCGAGGGGTTGAGCTGTTGGGTCTGGCGATACTTGAGCTTGACCTGGATTTAGAAACTGTTCTTGGAAGTGATCTCGGACAATTTTGTTAGCTGTGTTTCTGTGAAGTATATACTTACCTGATGAGCCTTGAATTAGAAGCTGCTGTGTCGGTTTGCGGGCGAGATCGCGGACGGCAACGAACATTTTGTGAGAGTCGCTTGAAGCCTCGATGCGTGAAACCTTTTCGTCGAGGGCCATGTTAGCGAGGTCACAGCAGCGAGTGCGGATCTGGTGTAGGATCTTGTTTCGCTGAGAGCGCAGCAGCGCTGTGTTGGCCGATGTGTCGTTGTAAATGCGGAGCCGGAGCTGGCGTTGTTGCTCGGACAGCGCGGCGAGCAGTGGATCGTCGTAGCTGCGGCAGCGTCGTTGATCCGGCGAAGAAAACCCGATGGTCTGCGATGCTGCTTCGTGTAGCTTCGCAAAAGTGTCCTCCCATTGCAGGTTGATAGTGGATCCATCGTCAGCGTCTGTGTGATGCGTAAGCGGTTGTGGAGTCGTCGTTGTGAACTAACTCGCTGCGTGCGAGGTGAACAGTTGTGCCGCTTGTGCGACGCGACGGAAACCGGAGGCGACGGATGTGCGTGAGCTCAAAGTCCGCGGTGACGATCTTGTGGTCGGACGGAGTGATGGCCCCACCCCAGGACTGGGCATCTAGACAGAACCGTCTACAACTATGAGGGCAGAGTACGTAGTCGATTTGATTGTAGACACAGTGTGTCCGCTTGCGCTGGCTCCAGGTGGTCTTGTTTTTCGCTCGCTTGGGAAAGGCTGTATTGGTAGCAAAGAGTTGATAAGTATCACAAAAGGCAGCCATGAGGTGGCCGTTCCGGTTACGCGTGCCTCGTGCATGAGGCCCGAGAAACGTTTCTCCGGTTGTTTTCTGCCCGAGTTTTGCGTTAAAGTCTTCGGTAATCATGGTGATATATCTGCGGGGGAATCGGTCCATGGCTGCTCGAAGGTCTGCGTAGAAAGCATCTACTTCAGCTAGTAGGCGCCTGCTGTGTGGAGCGTAGGCCGTGACGATGCTGATGGGTCCTGTGTTAGGTAGCCGCATCTGCAAGATGCCGATACGGTCGCTGTGAGCCCAGCACCGACGGAGGTAAGGAGTAACGCGAGGAGAGATGGCAAATCCAACTCCGTAGCGCTCTTCCTGTGCCGGCAACGTTAGTAGTAAGTAGTCTCCGACCTCAAAGCGCCCCAGCTCATACCGCTTGGTCTCTTGGAGGCCAAGGATATCGATCTGGTAGCGGCGCAGGTCTTGGGGAAGCGTTTCAAACTGCTTGTATAGCGAACCTAGGGACTGCACATTGAACGTGCCTATTCTAAGGCGGTTAGTGCGGTCAGTGCGGTTATAACGATACGGAAGGGGGGTTGTGACGGGTAGTACTGCTGGTGAAGGTGGCTGCCAAAGGGAGAGACTCGCAAGGGACTTGCAGACGCCCGAGAGCGCCTGCCGGAAGCCCGTGAGCGGCATTCGCCGCCGTCCACGCGTTCCGGGGGAGGGCGTCACCCCAACCCCAACCAAAACATGATTATGATTGTAGGCTACAATTTGTGACAGAGGATACTTGCAGTCGGTGCAGCGTGGTGCACCGGGCCCGGTGCACGGTAAAAGAATAGGCTGACACTCTGTTTTTGTCGAGAACATTTCTGTATGTTGGTTGGACGTTCCAACCAAGTTGGCAGCAAGTTGCTGCCAGCAACCAACCAACCGAGCGAGCACCAGCACGAGCATGGGCCAAGTGACCAAGTCTGGTCAATTTGGCCACCGAGTTGGAGGACTTGATCGCCAAATCTTTGGGTCTAAGTGTCCTCACAGTAACACTACATATCACTTCGGTTCGAGAGCAAGCGGCTGAGCTGCACTAAATGCTGTATTCTGTATCTTACTGTACCATTGCGTGTAGTCTGAAGTAGCTACAGTACTGACAAAAGTGCTTCGAGGCGCTAAGCAACACACGCTGGATCTACTTAATGTTTAGTGCCAACTACTTGTTACCACAACATGTTGCCTGCCGGGCTGCGCTTGGCTGGACGCCCCCGCGCCAAGCAGTCTAGCGAGCCGAGTACTGCACGAGGCGCTGGAAAGCTCGGTGCAGGGCCCCCCTCCGCAAATACCGCGTGCTTGTGTTGGCCCTGTGCGCACAACTCCCCCCAGCTAACACGCAAATGATACCATGATCTTAGCACACACGCACACCCTCTCCTAGCTAGCAGGGGCTTGCATTTCGACGGCCTTGCACCTGCCGACGTCCGCTTGCCTCCTTCTCGTCCTGTCGCAAATGAAGGAGTTCCTTCACCGATTTTGGAGTGTTGAACGTGCTGTAGCTCTAAGCACATCTCAAGATCTCTTACTGGCTGGCCCGGTGCAAGCAGCCACTATCACGATTTGTAGCTCCCGAGATCAGTTTCCCGTGTACACGTAGTACGTGCGTACGTGTCACATACGGCACTGAGCTCTATACAGTGTAGTGCATAATGCTGGGTTCTTTGAACCAGTCCATTGGTGGCAGGCCTCGAGTCAGTCCCCTCTAGTCAAGTTCTCACTCCTCAAGTTGCGTCGCAGCACTCAATCCCTCCTCCCCTCCAGTCCTCCCCTCCGGTCCACAACTTGAGTTCTATCATGCGTGTCAACGTCTTGCTGATGGCGCTCGCCACTCTCCTCGCCAGCAGCGGCGCTGTCCAGGAATCGACTGAGACGCAGCTTTCAAGGATGCTTGCGATTCCAACAATCGATCAGAAGCAGGCGGCGAGTGCACGGTCGCGATTTCTACGTGAGCACAAAGCGACCGCCGAGGAGAATGAAGTCGACAACGAAAGCGAGGAGAATGAAGTCGACAACGAAAGCGAGGAGAGCGACGGTAGCGAAGAGCGAACAGGTGTCAACAAGTATGTCGTCGATTCCGTGTCCCATATTGTCCGCGGAGAAAGCGCAGGGAAGCGCAGGAAGATCAACTTACTTGGCGAAACCGTTCCTCAGATCAAACGGGCAGGGTTTCCTGTTTCTGCCAAAGTTGATGTGGATGATCTGTTAAACCCCATCCGGCTTAATGGACTTCTCGCTAGAGATGACGAATTGGAGGCTTCGCTCATCCGCGTGTGGCGCTCCGCCTCCCCGGACTTACGGAACGCTGCGATTCAAAAGATTCTCAATGACGGAAACCTCGCTGACTACCGTCAACTGATCGAGGCGTTGCGGCAAATTACCAGATAAGACCATGCTGGATCCGTAGTTTTCCCATCCAACTTCTGCGAGGAGAGCGTATCCGGATACTACTGTAGTAGTGTGGACATGGCATTTAGAGATGATATGCCGGCTAAAATAGATCGAAGTATCGTTTCTAATTCCCACATGTTGAAAGGATTCAAACTTTCATTTGGCAAGTTCAAGGGAGGCAACAAGCTGCTGGGTAGTGCATGTTGATCGCAACAAAAACACTCTTCACGCTTCCAGGGACTCTTCAGCTGCGGTAACACTACATGTATATAGCAGACACGTCGAAAAGGAAAGAAGACTGGCGCCTTCAACGCAGTACAAGTCTCTACGCACAAAGTGCAAATATCATTGGCATCTCCTGTCACCACTGTAGTCCGGTGATCGATGTAGCATTCTGAATGCTGGAATATATAGACTAAGCGTGTACGTACACCCACACACCTTCACACCATTTCGTGGGACATGATCATCTGCAGTCTGTATAACGCTTCCGCTGCCGTTGGTCGGTCACTTGGGCTCAGTGACACACACGCGTGTCCAAGTTCCACGATACTGCGCAGACAGACTTCGGAGAACTCAACACGCAGAGTCCCCATCGCCACTTGCTGCAGAATGGCAGCATCAGGTTGTCGCCTTCCGTTCGCATCTCGACTTTGCTCCTTCGCGTGAGTGTACGGAAGCGTGTGCACGTCCAGCTCCGAGAGCACCACTCCGAACGAGAACATGTCTGCTTTCACGTCGTACCTCTCGCCCAGCATCACTTCAGGCGCCATCCAGAGCGACGTCCCCACGCCTGCGGTCATCGTCTGGTCCAGTCGCTCTCTTGAGATGCCAAAGTCCGTGATCTTGGCTTCCAGTGCGCGATTCAACAGGATGTTGCGAGACTTGAGGTCTCGATGGATAACGGGCGGCATGAGCGAGTGGAGGTACGTCAACGCATGGCAGACGTGCAGCGCGATCGTGGTCTTCTGCGTGTCGAAGCCGACAGGACGACGCGAGTCCTCGTACTTGCTCAACAGTGAGCGCAGATCCCCGCCGTCCATGAACTCGAGCACGACGCAGACGTCCGAGAGTGCGTCCCACGCGACTCCAACGAAGCTCACGACGTGCGGGTGGTCCATTGACGCCGTCATCTTCGCCTCCGCCAGGAAGTCGCTCACATGGTGCAGCTGCGCTCTCGTCTCGGGGAGCAGCATCTTGACGGCCACCTTTTTGCCGTTGAAAGTGCCTTCATATACCTCGCCGAACGCTCCACGGCTGAGCAGTTTCTTGACTTTGACTTTGTCGCGGGGGACTCGATTCGCAGTGATGACATCGTCGTTCCACAGACCGGTCTGGCCACGTGAAGCGATGTCGAGTGACGCTGTGTCTCTTGACTGGAGACTGGCGGTGGGTTGCTGCTGCGTCTCCGTCACTGCGGGAGGTTTCGAGGTGGATCGACGACTGCAGCAGCAATAGCCCAAACCGACAAGACAGAGCACCAGACTGCCCCCAACTATGATCCCGACAATACTTGACGTCTTGATGCCGGTACTGTGGTCGTCGGTTGTAGTAGTGTCTGTATCGGCGTCAGTGCTGCTGGTGCTGGGATTGTAGCCGTTGTCACCGCCAATGTAGTACCATTTGCTCCGATCTTGGTCGCATTCGTGAGAGGCGAGGGTATCCGCGTCCGCCGTGTAGGTGCCGAACAGCTTACTGCTATCGCACTTAGAATCGTGATAATACTTCAGCTGGGCCGTTCCGTCCGGCAGCAGCGAGGCAATGACGTGGGCGACTTCGCTCGAGTTCAGGTTGGGAGATCCCTCGCAGTTCCCCGACGCGAAGAAGCCTTGGGCATACGAGAGCGTCTGGCACAAGGGGTCGCTGTAGACCTCAACGTAAATGTATGGAGAACTCCCGAAGGCGTTGCGCGTGACCGTCCTGTGGTCGGACGTGCAATCCACCGACGCCAAGCCGACGCCCGTAGCACTCGTGTTGCCGTCATCGAAGCAACTCGCGATGGTGCAGCTTGTGTCGCTTTCCGTGTACGTGTTGTAGGGCGTCCCGTCGCACGAATTCCCTGCGTAGTAGATCCACACCTTGTACAAGCTGGACCCCGCCACGTGTGAAATCAAGTCCACTAGCATGAACAGCACTGATAAGAGCAGCATGGCTCACGACCTGGCTTGAGTACCGACAAGCAGAATCGATTGTGTGGGTACAGGTTGAAGCTAGTTGAGAGTCTCAACTTGAGACCGGCAGCGTGTTCCGTTCATAATTGTCTGTTCGTATTGTCGACCGGTCCAGCTCTGCAGCGACTCTAAAATTCACCCAAAGTGAATCCATATTTCTGAAGCACATGACGCTCTGAGCTATTGACGGTAGCCGACTTGGCCGCAACACCGAGAAAGGTTTTCGACAGCGTGTACTTGGCCAATGGCGCTCAGAAGCTACACAATTTCTTCCTCCGCTTTGCCTCCTACACAATGTGTTGGCAGCAGCATGTCATGCAGAGGCAGCATTGCTGCCAAACTTTGAGCTGCATAGAGCTCTTGTCGGATGCGTGGCTGGGAGTGGGGGCCTCGATGCTCGACCCAATAGAGTGAAGCGCGCACGAATTCCCGAGCGGCAGCAAACGTGTTACCGACCGGGAGATAGCCCAGCAACGCAAAGAACACCTTCACAGCGTCCGAAGCAGATCGATCTGCGACTTGTGAGGAGTGGTGTGGCGCCCACCACCTCCGAGTGCCTTTTTCACCAATCATCGTACAGTTCTGATTCCCTTCTATTTCCAGCACCGGTGCCAGAAATAGCCGCCAGACGCACGCAACGTTTTCTTAACTCCGCGCTCTCTCGTCCTTAATTCGTCGTACTCAACCGAATTTACCTACCTTTTCTATCCGCATCCCCTCTAAATCCCGCCTTGTATTCCCCTCCCATCCACCGTCTAATTCCCCCTCGACACGCTGGTCAAAGCGACTGACGCACGCTGGTCTGGGCAACGGTCCATGGGCAACTGTGGTGGCGGACCTCACCTCATTTAGGCGCGCTGCTGATTCCTTCCTGTCTCTCGATGCCCCGCTTCAGTTCCGAAGCGTCAGAGCGCAGCGCAAGACGTCCCTTGGCCAGAAGAGCTCAAGAAGAGAGAGGATGGCGGTGGCTAATAAGACTCAGGGTGACGCGCCTCGGCGGCAGAGGCGGACGCTGCCGGCTTCACTGGCGCTGGTGGCGGCCATGGGCGCGTGCTTGCGGCCCCTGACGAGGCTGGTGACCGCCGTGCTGTTCCCGAGTGGGGACGTGACGCTGGCCAAGTGGCTGTGGCTGCTGCTTGGGCTGGGACTCGCAGGTGTCCACCTTCGTGACGCGGTGGACAGCTGTCGACGGCGAGTTGGACGCCATCTGGTTCTGGTGGACACAGCTGATAGCAGTCAGAGGACACTGGTGGACGACCAGCCGCGTCAAGTTGAAGTGGAGACGCAGACGTTCCAGGGCCAAGTGCGGCTCAAGGCCTTCGACGTGCAGGTGCAGGGCCGCTTCACGAGGCACGTGCCGCCAAGCAGCAAGCTCTTCCTAGCGCTGGAGCTGCCAGGACAAGGACAAAACTGCCACTGGGCGGTGAAGGCGCTTTTTGCAGCGCTGCCCAAGCTCTGGAGGTCCAGTGGCGTCCACTTGTCGCGTGGTGGACACGACGAGCTCCCGCATATCGCCGTCCCCATGAACTCGTGGGAGTTCTCGACGTTTGACGGAGATAAGCGGCAGGTGACCAGCTTCGCCGTGGGGAAGATGTACACGCTGGAGGCGGGCAATGCAGGCTGGAGGGGGAGGTGCATGGCGACGGCGCTGCTTGCAGTACTCAAGTGGGCTCCAATGGGCTGGATGGGTGTCGCTCCTGCCCACCTTGCAGTATATTTGGTGGCACCGCCTTTGACACGAGGGCAGCAGCCACAGAAGCAGGCTCCCCACTCCAAAGACCACAAGCGCTATCTCTTATGCTTCTCCGTGCTGCGTCAAGGTCAATTGGAGCTTCAGACGGAGTCACAGCGCCTGCGCATCTCGCTTCCTCGGGACGACCACGTGCCCGAATTCGACGTCGGCTCGCCTATCCCGCTGTGGAGTGGCAAAGCTCAACGAGGAGGTGTGCCGCTGGTTCACGTTGAGGCTTGTCACCGCATTGCCAAGCACTCGCGCGCACTGGGCCAATTGAGCTTCTCGCTGGACGCGTGGGTCGAGTTCGTTGACGGCGTGGCTGGCCGACGCAAAGTCGGCTATCTGCTGGAGGTGGTGGACATGCCGCAGCAGTTCCGACGCACTGTGATGCGCAGCGCTTCGACCATCAAGAACGCGCTGCTGCTGCTTCGACTGGAGCACCAGCTCGACAGGAAGGAGACCGAGCGCGAGACTGGCGTCGCTGACGATGAAGAGCAGGACGAAGGGCAGGTTGAAGAGCCCGTGGACTTCCAGAGGCTCACGGTGGAGTCCCGCGAGTATCGCTACGAGCAGATCGAGCAGGAAACGTCGGCCGTGGCCCACGTCCTTGAGCAAGTCGCGTCTAAGCTGTGCCAGGGCCGACGACGCTGGAGGCAGCCGCAACGCTGCTACCAGAACCAGCTCGAGCGCGCCACGCTCTTCAAGTGTCTGATGTCACCTTCGCGCTTGCCAGCCGTGCCAAGTTATCACGCTATCGGGGTGCAGATCAACGTGGCCCAGCATCTCGCCATGAACGTCGTGTGCGAGGCGGGTATCTACCGACTTCACGGCGCTGGGGACGGTACCACGCCACTGCTGCGCCAGGAATGGTTCATCGTGTCTGCAGACCACCTGCACTTCTTCCGGTCGTTCTCGGTGACTCCGTCCCTGAGTGTGCCCGTCACTAACGTGCTGAACGTGTCCAGTGTGGACCGGGTGCGCTTGTTGAACGGCAATAAACCGGCGAACGCGCACCATGAAGACGGCGCTGTGCCGCGGTGGTACTGCGTGGAGATTCACCTGGTGCTGGAGGTCATCACGCTGTTCGTGGAGACGTCCGAGGAGCGAGATCGGCTGGTTGCGTCGCTGCAGCCTCTCACCATCGACGACTGCGACATCAACGTGCAGTCGGTGGCGGTGAAAGGTGCAAGGACTGAAGCGGTTGCTGCATCGCCTCTCTTCACGCCGATGGCGCTCAACTCGCAGAGCCAACCCGTGTGCCTGAACCAGCGCAGCTCCCGATTCGTTGACTCAGCGTTGAAGGAGCTCGATTCTGCAGCGACGCTGACCTTGGTCCAGGAGAGTTTGGAGGCTGGACTGAAGATGTTTGCGCTCGGTGAGACGGCGGCAAGGCTGCGCATCAACAGATCCACGGTTCTTAACTTCCTCGATATGGTTGAAAAGCTCAACGGGCTTGATCTGGACAAGGTAGCGGCCGAAATGTCGAGTGAGGATCGCTTCGCGCTGGGTTTGAACCTTTACCACACGCTGTTCATCCACGCGGTGCTCATCTTCGGCCACCCGCAGTCTCACGAGCAGTGGAAGTTACTGCAAACCGTGCCTTGCTACCTCGTACGCGTTAGCAGCGGAGAGGAGTCGGCGAGGTTCACTCTGGCCGACATCCAGCGAGTGATCTTGCGCTGCCCCGTGCCAGTGTCGTTGGAGGCGACCAGCATCACGCGGAGCTTGTCCCAGAACTCGCTCATGGATCTCGCCATCGGAGGCGGAGACGCTATCAACGGCCTGTGCAGAACCGTCCTGGGCGTGGCTTGGACTCCAGTGCTGCCAAGCAGCAGCTCGTTCTCAGTCATCAAGAAGACCCCACTCCCGATCCCGGCAGGACTGGCCATTGTCAGCGCAGATATGCGCACGAGTCTGGTATTGCAGATCAACAGCTCCCCCGCTATCGCCAAGACCACAGGCATTATGCGCGTCTATGATGGCGGCCAGAAGCTAAACGAGCAGCTGAATGCCTCCTGCACAGCGTTTCTGAGTCGCGAGCTGCGTTTGGGCGAGGTGAACCGCGTGATTTACCTGCCGCGAGTGTGTGAATGGTACCGCATCGGCCACGACGAGGACGTTGACGGCCAGGACGACGGGGCCAGCAGACGAATGGGTCCTCTCAGTCAGCGCCGAAGACGTCGGAGCAGCAGCGGCAGCGTCACCGGATTAGCAGCACTGCCGAAATCCAGAGGCTTCTACTGTCTGCAGCGTCTGCTTGGCTTCATGAAGGTGGAGCAGTACCATCGAGTCATGCACCTGCTGCTAGGAGCGGGCGAGGAGTGCCGCTTTGTGTTCGACGAGTTCTGGACGAGGCCCAGTCGGTCTGCCGCTGCGAGTTTGCTCAGCAGCGCTGGGAGTGCTGCTCTCGCAGTGTTTACGGGCTCTAATGCGAGCAATGCTGCTGCTACCGCTCAAACGCCAACAGCAAGCAATGCTACCGGAAAAGGTGATGGCGACTGGTTTGTTGTTAGACAACAAGGCTCGCGCTCGTACTTCTGAGGTTGAGAGGATAACAACAATGCAATCCTAGTTTATTTACTCACTATGCCGACCAAGGCTCGCTCTGAAAGCTCAGAGCGTCATGGGACGGAATGTAATTTGGATGCACTTCGGGTTTCATAAGAATTTTAGAGGCGCTGAAGGCTGGACCGGTCGACAATTCCTCCAGCGACTTCAACGGCACAACAGCTTGAACGGACACCATGGCCAGTTTCGTTCGCTTCAAGCCATGCTTCACGTACCCACAGAATCGATTCTGCCCCTCAAGCGCGAGTCCTGCGCAATGCTGCTGTTATCAGTGTTCATGCTTTCGGGTTTGCTCTCGCAAGTGACGGGCTCAGGTCTGTACAAGGTGTGGATCTACTACTCAGGGGGTCAATGCGACGGCACGCCCTACAACACGTACGCACTGAGCGACACAAGCTGCTCCATCTCTTCGTGCTTCGAGGACGGCAACACGAGTGCTACTGGCGTCGGTGTGGGATCAGTTGACTGTACTTCGGACTACAAGACGAGCACGCGCAACGCCTTCGGGAGCTCCCCCTACATTTTCGTAGAGGCCTTCAACGACCCCTTCTGTCAGACGCTCTCGTACGCAGTGGGCTGGTTCGCGTCGGGGAACTGCGAGGGATCTCCCAACCTGAACTCAAGCGAAGTTCCCCACGTGATTGCCAAGATGCATCCGGACGGGTCGGCGTCGCTGGACTATTACCACGACTCCACTTGTGATGAAAGGTATCGGTACGCCTCCTACTCTGCAGACGTGAATGCTCTGGGCACCCACGAATGCGATGAGAACTGGAGCAAATGGTACTACATCGACGGTGACAACGGCTACAACCCCAGCGCCAGCAGCACTGACGCCGACGAGGAAGACACGACAACCGACGGCCATAGTACCGGCATCAAGACGTCAAGTATTGTCGGGATCATAGTTGGGGGCAGTCTGGTGCTCTGTCTTGTCGGTTTGGGCTATTGCTGCTGTAGTCGTCGATCCACCTCGAAACTTCCCGCCGTGACGGAGACGCAGCAGCAACCCACCGCCAGTCTCCAGTCAAGAGACACAGCGTCACTCGACATCGCTTCACGTGGCCAGACCGGTCTGTGGAACGACGATGTCATCACTGCGAATCGAGTCCCCCGCGACAAAGTCAAAGTCAAGAAACTGCTCAGCCGTGGAGCGTTCGGCGAGGTATATGAAGGCACTTTCAACGGCAAAAAGGTGGCCGTCAAGATGCTGCTCCCCGAGACGAGAGCGCAGCTGCACCATGTGAGCGACTTCCTGGCGGAGGCGAAGATGACGGCGTCAATGGACCACCCGCACGTCGTGAGCTTCGTTGGAGTCGCGTGGGACGCACTCTCGGACGTCTGCGTCGTGCTCGAGTTCATGGACGGCGGGGATCTGCGCTCACTGTTGAGCAAGTACGAGGACTCGCGTCGTCCTGTCGGCTTCGACACGCAGAAGACCACGATCGCGCTGCACGTCTGCCATGCGTTGACGTACCTCCACTCGCTCATGCCGCCCGTTATCCATCGAGACCTCAAGTCTCGCAACATCCTGTTGAATCGCGCACTGGAAGCCAAGATCACGGACTTTGGCATCTCAAGAGAGCGACTGGACCAGACGATGACCGCAGGCGTGGGGACGTCGCTCTGGATGGCGCCTGAAGTGATGCTGGGCGAGAGGTACGACGTGAAAGCAGACATGTTCTCGTTCGGAGTGGTGCTCTCGGAGCTGGACGTGCACACGCTTCCGTACACTCACGCGAAGGAGCAAAGTCGAGATGCGAACGGAAGGCGACAACCTGATGCTGCCATTCTGCAGCAAGTGGCGATGGGGACTCTGCGTGTTGAGTTCTCCGAAGTCTGTCTGCGCAGTATCGTGGAACTTGGACACGCGTGTGTGTCACTGAGCCCAAGTGACCGACCAACGGCAGCGGAAGCGTTATACAGACTGCAGATGATCATGTCCCACGAAATGGTGTGAAGGTGTGTGGGTGTACGTACACGCTTAGTCTATATATTCCAGCATTCAGAATGCTGCATATTATCCTCAGCTTGCACAATAATAACCAAACGAAGCTACTACGAATGTTGTAGATACTGATCAGTTGTCGTTTGACTCCTGCCCAGCGCGGCTGCAGTGATAGCGAAGTGTAGATTGTTGTAAATCTGTTTGCCGAGTCTTGTTACACAAGTCGCCAAAGAGAGAGACACACACTGCAATGAAAAACGTAGAAAGCAACATGCATGGGTACTATAACCGTGAGATCTGGTCACTGTATCCATTTCTACGCCTCGACGGCAAACCAATGTCGATACGGTTCAGCATGCACCTAGTTTTGTTTTTCTGTTCGTAGATACGCTCCACGCCCTAGCGGTTCCTTCCATTTCTCGACTCGCTCCCGTCTTCACACCTCCGTCTTCATGAATCGCCATGTTTTCCAGCTCTTGGTGCTTCACTCCGCTGCTATCTGGATGAGCGAGGCAGCGACGATGTACACTGTTCTCGCGTGGTACTCGGGAATCAACTGCGACGGCACCCCCTACGACGTCTTCATCTCCGACTCAAGCGACTGCATCACGAACGTCTCGTGCACGACCGACAACACCGCCGATTCCTCGCACCTCGCCTCGTTGTCCACCGTCTGCACGACGGACTACATGGCTGCCACCAAGGAGCTCTTCGGAGACTCGCCGTACCTTCTCCTCGAGTCCTACAAGGACCTCAACTGCGAGACACTGGGATACGCTGAAGGATTCTTCGCTTCGGGCAACTGCGAGGGATCGTCGGGGCTGTCGGCGTTCTCCATCGCCACCATCGACAACAACGGCTCTGCTTCAGTTAGATCGTACAACGGGTCTTTATGCCCGGAATCGAGCTTCCTCTACTCACTTGAAGCGGACGCAGACGCAATCCAGAGCCACTCCTGCGTCGACTACTTCTACAAATGGTACTCCAGCAACGACATCATTAGCAGCACCAGCGTGTCCTCTTCAGGAAGTATCAACAACGACAAGATTGTGACAGAAGCACCGACGTATTCGCCTACGCCCAGTCCGACACCTTCTCCAAAACCAACACTCAGTACCGCAGCGATCATTGGCATCAGCGTCGGAGCTCTGTTCGTGGTCGTATTGATCATTGCAGCGATATTCTGCTGCAAACGGCGCTCTCGGGCCAAGTCGACGACTGAAAGCCACTTGCAACCTACAGCGAGCCTCGGATCCGCTCAAGCCGCTCCGTTTGCCGTACCGTACAGAGAAACCACAAGTCTCTGGAACGACGACCTCATTGTCGCCAAACGCATTCCTAGAGACAAAGTCCGTATCAAGACGCTCCTCAGTCAAGGCGCGTACGGTGAAGTGTACTCTGGCGTGTTCAACGGCCTCCCAGTCGCAGTCAAGATGCTGCTTCCCATCACGCGCACCAACCTCCAGCACGTGAACGAGTTCCTGGCCGAGGCCAAGATGACCGCCACCATGGACCACCCGCACATCGTGTCGTTCATCGGCGTCGCGTGGGACTCACTCTCGGATCTGTGCGTGGTGCTCGAGTTCATGGACGGTGGAGACCTACGCTCGCTCCTAAATCAATACGAGGAGAAGCGTCATCCCGTCGGCTTCAACCGCCAGAAAGCCGTGATCGCACTGCAGGTTTGCCACGCGCTCGCGTACTTGCACTCGCTCATGCCACCGGTGATCCACCGGGACCTCAAGTCTCGCAACGTGCTGTTGAACCGAGCGATGGAAGCCAAGTTGTCGGATTTCGGCATCTCGAGAGAAAGGATGGAGCGCACTATGACCGCAGGCGTGGGCACGTCGCTGTGGATGGCGCCCGAGGTGATGTTGGGCGAGTGGTATGACGACAAGGCGGACATGTTCTCGTTCGGCGTGCTGCTGTCCGAGCTGGATGTTCACACGCTGCCGTACGCGAACGCGAAAAAATGTTCGCGAGACTCCTACGGCCGCCAGTTGCCGGAAACAGAAGGTAGCGGCGGGGAACGTAAGTGTGGAGTTTTCGTCAGCCGGACCGCAGTCGATTACTCAGTTGGGCTATGCCTGCGTGTCGATCGACCCGAGCTTACGACCGTCAGCAGCTGAAGTACTGTACCGACTCCAGACGACACTATCGCACGAGCTGTGAAGGGTAAGCGCGAGAGAATGCTGAATGGGCAAAACGTAGGTGTGTTGTACGTACACGTAGGATAGCGGATTCATTCTACAATCAAGGCTGCTAACTTATTGTGCTCAGCGTTTTGCTGTATCTTGGTCGATGTTTGCTGAGGTATGTGGACGGCATTAATAAAACATCACCAAATCTACGGGTTTACGGAGTTTTGCCCAGAGTCAAACTCGATTTTTTTCATTCCGCGGGAAGTGGCTGGATGCCACGGTCGCCCCAGGTGTAGCGCTGGATCGGCGTGGAAACCTTTGAAAGGCTTCGTGAAGATGGACCCCACTCGGCGCGCCAAGAAAAATTACATCGGAGAAAACTTCGAAGCGGGTGACGGGGAGATTCACATCCTGGTGGTCGCCCCGAAGCAAGAAGGAAGCGCCGTCGGGAAGAAGAGGAGCTGGATGAACTGAAAGAGTGTATTATTCCATCGTCCTTCGCAAGTTGCCGAGGGTCAAAGGGCTGCTGAGTACGATGTTTAAGAGATTTGGATGGCCAGATTGAGTGCCACCGCATCAACCGCTACGACGGTGAGCAACCGCTTCCAATCGTTCTCCTGTATGAAACATTCGCTCAGTTTGAAGAAAATTGCCAGCACTTTGCAGTTGGCAAAGAAGATTGTGATTTCGTGATCAACAGTATGTCGTCCCCGTACGAGAACGAGAACGCGACTGGTGGAGCGTGCACGATGGTTGCTTCAGGAGGATCTGCTCGCTGGGTATCCATCCGCATCAATTGCTCAGGTGGTTGTGAATGGATCTGTGCCCGATGGGTCGTATCTGTTTGGCGACAATCTTCTGTTGCATCTGGCATGCAGACTTCAAAAAGGGGGCGGAGGTGGGGACCCCACCATGGAAAACATTTGCGTTCTACATCAAGCAATTGCCCGACGTGGTCGACCGTCAGTTGCCATGTTTCTTGGTGGACATTTGCGGATCTCTCCTCAGTGTGTATGGAATTGTAAACACGAGCGACGAAGACGTCCTGTGCGAGCCCCTCGTCACGAGCTTCCCACTGGTTTTCTTCGACAATGAGCGGCGCTGGCGCGCGTGTGCGCGTCTTTGAAGGTGCCATGCAAGAACTGACGGAGGAATGCCACTGGCGCAGTGGCGTCCGTCGAAACCAAGCCTCTGCGCCTGCGATCGATCTCGATCGATTGAGCTTCCCGCATAAGGACTCGGTAGAAATCGACGGCAAAGTGCTCTCTTTCCAGTATGTTGAAGCGGTGCAGCGCTTTGTATTCACGGCGAAATGTTCCGATGGGAAGGAAGTTATCGTGAAGTTTGCGAAGCGATACGGGAAAAATGTGCATGAGTACTGCACAAGGGCCGGATTTGCTCCAGCGCTGTTGTTTTGTGAACCCTTGGCAGGTGGCTGGGTTGCAGTAGTCATGGAGTATCTGGTTTTGTCGATGGCTGTGGCCAATACGGCGAGTGTTCGCAAGCAACTTCTCGGTATCAAGAGCACTTTGAAAACTGTGTCGTTCGTCCACGGCGATCTCCGAGAGAACAACGTCATGTGGGACTCCTCGAATAAACGAGTCGTCCTGATCGATTTCGACTGGTCTGGCAGGGACGGCGTCGGCAAATACCCGCCGTTCATGAATCCTGACATAGTGTGGCCGCCGGAAGCAGAAACTGGTAAACCACTTCGAATCGCGCATGATGCGTATTGAATGGAGTCGATGCTGGCTGGGCCATTGCGATAAAATATCGGCAAAGTAGGTCGAAGACGTAGCGCTAAGCCAATGTTTTGTTACATTTAACACTCACGCGTACACACGAAAAATGAAGTAAGAAAATAAATGTTAGTTGCTCGAAAATTGTCGCTCAAGAGCTGCCACCCGATCCAACACCACCTCGACCGCCGTATCCATTTTTGACTCTTTCAGCATGTTCACGATGGTGCGAAGCTTTTGGATATGCCCAGGCTGTGTTGCAGCGATCAACCCTGCCTTGAGTTGGGCATCCGCTTCCATTGGCTTCCCTTCATACAGCAGGATCAAAGCCGCATTGACGTGGAGATCCGTCTCCTCGGGGTACAACGCAATACCCTTCCGCAACAGGTCCAAGGCCGTATCCACCTCTCCTTTCTTCTTGTAGCACACTCCCAGCATGTTGTAAATGACTGAAGCTTCGACGAGTAGCTCGGGGTCCACTTTTCGGTCGCGAATCACTCCGTTTGCTACCTCTGTCAAGTGGAAGAAGCTGATGGCTGCGTCAAGATCTCCGCTTTCGAACGCGATGTTACCTCGATGGTAGAAGTGGGTGGGATATATACTCTGACGGTCGATAGCGTGGTCGAGGAACTTTGTAGCAATTGCAACCGACTCACTGCCCAGATAATCCTCGAGGGACGGCTCCCCGAGCGGTAGGTGCGTCTTCATCCAATGAGAGTGAATCTCACCACCGATAAACCCCGGAGCTTGGAAGTGGTTGGGGGCAAGCATCGTAGCCTTGTAGAGGTGGCGTACTCCGTGTAAGAAGAGATCTTCGTCGTGATTGTTCCTGGATGCCAGAGTAACAAACGCAAGCCCAGCGTTCGTCTGACTCTCGATATGCTTCGGTATCATTCCCATCGCGACTCGCAAGTAGTCGAGAGCTTTGGCCGGATCTGGGTTTAGCAGGTTCTTAGCCTCGTTGGAGAGGACTTTCACGTTAGTTGGCAGCACTTTCACAGCTTCTTTGAAGAGGCTCTCCTCGCTAACCCAGTCAGCATTGCGGAGATGACTGCGGTAGCACCCCACAGCAACCAACAGCGCGCCACAAGTGAGTACCAAACGTTTTGCTGCGATGAACACCTTGGCATGGGGGAGATTTTCGCGGTGCCCGGAGGTATGAGAAGGTCGGGTAGTGTACTTGTTCATGATCAAGAGTGTGTGGTCGATAATGCACCCGACAAGAAGGCAAAATCCGACGCTCGGGAAGTAGAGCAGTCTCTCAGCCACCACTGTTCCGACTGGGAAAATAATGTTTGAGGCTGGGATGAACGGGACCACCCCAAACGCGATACTCATCATCAATAGCGACGAAGGCGAGGTCTTACTAGATCCCCACAACTGTAGCATAGCGCTGCGTAAACCAATTAAGACTACCGCGTACGCGAGCAATGTGTAGACGTTGCGTGGGTCAGCCACACCCTCGATCACTGGGATAGTGTTGTAACCGTAGTCAAACGAAAGCCACCTCGGCCACACCAGTTTCCACAGGTACCACGCGTGCAGATGCGCATAGGACAACGTCCTTGTCAGCCTGCTTTCCTGAACCACGACATTGTTCGCGAGGATATTCCACTCCATCTGACGATGCTCCCCGTTGACCCACACCCGCACCAACGCCGCCAGAATCCCCACTCCCACCGTCACGCCAATTCTCCACTTCATCGATTGCACTCCTCTTACAACACTCCGGTAGTGGTGGATCCTCAGCAGGTCGTACACCACCAGCAGCGCGAAGTTCGTGAATCCGAGCTCTTTGCACAACCCAGCCGCGACCGTCAGCACGAGTGCCAACGCCACATCCCCCCACTTCGTGTCACCTTCTCCCGCCCCTCTAGCATACACCAGGAACGCCAATAGGCACAACGAGGTGCACAACAAGTCCGCTCGTCCGACAATGCTCGCGACTGCATCGCAGTGGATCGGGTGCACTGCAAAGAGCAGCCCCGCCGTCACGGAGCCCACGAGGCTGCAACCTTCTCCATCATGTTCCGCCTTCTCCCTCCCGTTAGCCGCCATGGGTGAGGCATCTTGCGGGTTCTCTGTGACCTTCTCCTCCTCGCCCAGACGGCGCTTGTGTTGCCAGAACAGCTCGTCCGCCACCTTCCACACGAGCACCGAGCACGCGGCGTGCACCAGGGCGTTGGTGCAGTGGTAGAACCAGGCGCTGTGGCCCCCGGCGAGCAGGAAATTGAGCCGGAAGCTGAGAACCGTCAGCGGGCGGTAGCTCTTGTGGCTGTGCGCGGAGCGGATGTGCGTGCCCCAGAAGTCGTGGCTCCAGACGTCGAGCAGGCCGCTGCTCTGCGCGTCCGCGTTGGCCAGCACGGCGGAGCGGTCGTCCCACACGAAGCCGTTGGCGTTGGCGGTCCACGCGGTGGCCAGCGCGGCCAGGAAGACCAGCAGGACCGACGCCTCGCGTGGCGACACGTCCAGCAGCATTGATGACACACAAGATCTCGCTTTCGAGTGGACGGACGTTGAAGGGAGCGGGCTTGTATTTAGAGAGGTTGGTGTGGAGTACGTAGGAGAGTCTGGATTGGTTGAAAAGAGAGTACGGGTTTCTGCCAGTGAGCGAGCGGCCAATAGCGCATAGATGGTCCATTTCCCGCCGCGTTTTTATAGCCGCGTGCAGCAAGACCTCTCGCCATGAGAACATAGTATTACGCAGGTGAACAGGAGATTACAGGTGTATGGGGTACTAATCTAGACTCCTGTATACTTGTTATAGCAGGGTATTTGCTGCCAACAGGTATGCGGTCCCAGCCGCTCCCTTTTTTTGGCCGAAGGGGTGTCGTCCTCATGTTTCGTGTCTATCCGGCGCTATCGCTGTTCCTATCGGTGGGTCGCTCTACTCCTCTCGTTCGTGCCATCCGTCCTTCGGGTTCTGACGGTCCCCAACAGCGGCGGACGGCCCCGCGCCTCTCGTTACCCAGTCAGCAACAAGCCCCCAGCCGCAGAGCAGTCTCCTTCCCCCCCCACTACTGCAATGATCTCCCCGCTCAAGGACATCGTGATCGCCACCGTGCTCGGCGTGGCCGCCGGCGCCGTCTGGAACAACTGGAAGGACGGCGAGATGGACCGCATCAGCCGATTCTACAAGTGGTACGACGCCCAGGAGGCCCAGAAGAACGCCCACGCCGACGACTAAGCCCCCTCAAGCGCCTTGAAGCGTTCCCGTCTTGTGTGGATGGTGTGGCGCTCGCCTCGGAGAGGAGGAGGACGACGACAGTTGGACGCAGCTACAGACAGGGACGTACTACAATACAGCTCCAGCCTGTTGCTACAGCGCAGCGCGGCGTCCACGACGGAAGCTTCTTCTTCTTCTTCTTCTTCTTCTTCGAGACGAGTGAGATTAATGCAGAGGCCATAAAAAAGAAAAAAAATCAAGAAAAATGAGCAAGACGACTGCACTGCAATAGCCACCCGCCCCCACCGTCACACACAGAGAGCTTGAGCCTTACAGGAACTTGGTCGATCTCTTCTGGGCATGTTATTGTCCCATCAATTATTTTTTTATTGTTATTGGTTTCTGTGTGCGCCACACCAGTTTCATCATCATTGCGCCCTACCAGCAGCTCAAGGAGTTCCGCACTATGCGGCTGTACGTGCACTTCGAGCCGCCGGAGGAGGCGCTGGCGTGGACCAAGCGGCTGAACCTGCCGCCCGTGGAGAGCGCGAGCGCGTGTCCGTCCGTGCGCTCGGTGCTGCGCTGCTTCTTCTCCGCCTACAGCGCCAAGTTCCGCTCCCAATCCGCTCCCGCCGTCGAGAGCCTCGACGTGTTCGTGGAGTTCAACCAGGACGCGGCCTCCCGCCGTCTGCTGCCGTCCCTGGACGTGTCTGTGGCTGCTGTAGGCGGCTCCGGACCCGACACGCTCAAATCGCTGCTGAACAGCGGCGAAACGTGCGACTTCGAGCTCGTGGCGGTGCCCCGAGAGCCGCAGCGGAAGGTGCTGGGCCCCGAGCCGCCGCCAGCGCTGCAGACCAAGAAGAAGTGTCCAATCCATGCAGGAAGCAGCTCAGAAGACGGCCGAGAACCGAAGCTCCGAGCGGCTTTGGAGCTGGCGGCCACTCTCATGCAGCAGAGGAAGTTCCGGGCTGCTAGGGAGATTTATACGCAGGTTGTGCTGGCTCAGGACGAGCTGAACCCCGAGGCTTTAGTGGCATTGGGAGATATCTTGGTAGCCAATGGACGGCGCGAGGAAGCGGTGGAGAAGTACTTTAAAAAGTGCTGGAAGGCCCATGGAGGCGCAGAGTGTGAGTGTAAAGCTCATGCTAGGCTGGCGTTCACGAGTGCGCTGAGACTGGCGGAGTGTTACGTGGAGATGGAGAAGTTTCGGAGGGCGGTGGAGGTGCTGGACGAGCTACAGACGTTTTTGAGGGTGAATAGCGGGACCGGAGCTGGACTGGCGGCGGGGGAAGGCAGACACAAGGCGTTCTTCCGTGATGCGGATGAGCGCTTGTGGATGGAGGAGCAGATGGACGTATTGAAGGCGCAGGCGTTGTATGGCACCAAGAAACCGGACGAGCAGGAGAAGGCTATATCATTGATCATGCATTTGCTGCCGGATCTGCAGGCGCCGATGCTGAATCTGGACGCTTTACTGCTGTACGCCAAGATTGCACATGATCGGGGGAAGAAGAGCGAGGCTTTGAGTATGGCGTTGCGTGTACTGGTGGGGAAGTCGAACGATCGAGGGGTAAAGAAGACTCTTGTGGCTTTCCTGAAAGACTCGAGCTCCATGAAACGTCTGCAGGATGCGCTGCCGACGGCCAGCGCATCGGCTGGAGCAGCTTATGCGTTCATCGCCACGATTTTGAAGGACTTTGGCGCAGTGGAGAACAGCGTCGTATGCTTTCAGCAGGCACAGCTTAGCGACCCGCAAAGTGCGTCGTACGCACTCAATCATGCACATGCGTTGGAAGTTTGTTGTCGCCATGCCGAAGCCTACGATGCTTTGGTTTCATTTTTTCGGGCAAATCGCACGCTTAGCGTTGGAAGCGGCGAGGGTGGCACTGCAAAGCTTCTCGCTGGGTCATTCGTGAAGATCCTTGACCACTTGGACGCTTGGGGCCGCAGTCCTGAAGACAGTTCTGAATCGTCCAATAGTGATGCCATTGAGTGGATATCGGGGCCTGAAGGGTACGCGAAGGTGACTCCAAAGTCTGGTTCAACCGTACCAAGTGTAAACGTAGCGCCATTGAGCCTTCACACGGTGCAAGCCAACAAGAAGGCAGCTTTGCCAGAGGCAGAGCTAGATCTGCTCGCTTGCTTCTTCACTGTTGTAAAAATACTGTTTGTGAACGGGCGATTGTCCGTATTGCCATCTCTCATTCGAGTGCTGGAGCCGCTCCGTCTCGGGCGCGAGCTGCACCAGACGACGATTCGAAATGAGCAAGCCTACTACGCCTGCATCGCACAACTTCTCTCCATCGAAGACGCACTCGAGCTTAACCCTCCCCTCTCGACCCCCGACACCACGGCGAATGCCATTTATGTATGCGGTGATTCACACACGCTCGCTACTGCGTGGCGTAAGATTCAAGTCCACAAGCAACCCACACTCCTACGACCGGCGCTGGTAACAGGGCTCAAGCATTGGCACCTCCGGAAGGAGTCCACATTCTACCCGAAGCTCAACTTTTGGCGTGTCATCGCGAATATTCCCAGTCGGTCCCGAGTTGTCTTCTTGTTTGGAGAAATCGACTGCCGCGAAGGAATTCTCGATGCTGTTGAAAAGTGCAAATACGAGGTAAACACTTTGAGTGAAGCCTGCGATGCCACGCTGCTTAATGCCGTGACGAATGTGTGTGCGTGTTTTTATTTTTTCTTGCCTGTTCAGTCAATCAAGGAAGGAATGGAGCACACGATCGGTATATTCATGGAGTCGTTAGCAGACGTGGTAGGTAAGTACGAGTTTGACGTCTACATGCACCCGGTAGTACCGGTGTTGGATGAGACGCGCGCACTGGTGATTCAGTACAACCAGCTCTTTCGGAAACAAGTTGCCAAAAGCACAATCTGCAAGTGAGTCAAGAGTATTGTAGCGAGAACTGTGGTTGAAGGCAATTATATAAAAGCTGACATTTCGATGTACTTCACTCAGGTGGCTGGACTTCTTCGACGATTTGGTATGCGACGACCCACCCAAGGTAAAATGACACTGCGTGCGAACTACCGGTAGTACTAGCACACTTTTCTAACCTCACTTTCGTCGCATTGATACATGTAGCTCCGGCCAGAACTTCGGCTTGATGGCACTCATTTGCACCCATCGTATCTAGTGAATCTGGAGAACGCCCTCAACAAGCTTTGATCAGCAAGCATTGACCACGAAGTTGGAAGGTAAGATGCTATGCGGTCATACCGCATTGCGAAACCTTTGTTGTCATGACGACAAGAAAAACAAACTTCATTCCGAAATTTACATGAGGTGCCCAATACTACAAATCCTGTGACAAGATGACTTGGAGTCGATACAGCGCTTCTGCTGCTGTTGGTCTGTCGCCAGGATTTACAGCAACACACGCTAGTCCCAGCTCGACAACGGAAGCAGGACTTGACCTTGAGAAATCGACACGTACAGCGCCTGTTGTGATTTTCTGCAGTAGAGATGCATCCGTCATCGGCCGACCGTCATTGTCCTGACTCCGCTGCTTCGCCCGGGTGTACGGTAATGTGTGGTTGTCAAGCTCCGACAACACCACGCCGAAGGAGAACATGTCTGCTTTGACGTCGTAGCGCTCTCCAAGCATGACTTCCGGTGCCATCCACAACGACGTACCAACTCCAGCCGTCATCGTTTGGTCAAGTCGTTCTCGGGAGGTGCCAAAGTCGGTCAGTTTTGCGTCCATGGCTCGGTTGAGGAGGATGTTCCGCGATTTCACGTCTCGATGGATGACGGGAGGCATGAGTGAGTGGAGATACGTAAGCGCATGGCAGACCTGCAAGGCGACGGTAGCCTTCTTGCGGTCGAACCCGACGGGATGCTTGGACACCTCATGCTTGTTCAGCAACGCGCGCAGATCACCACCATCCATGAATTCCAGAACAACGCAGAGATCCGAGAGTGAGTCCCAGGAGACACCGATGAGTTTCACAATGTGGGGATGGTCCATTGACGCAGTCATTTTGGCCTCGGCTAGAAAGTCCGAGACGTGAGGAAGACTGCATCGCGTGGACGGAATCAACATCTTGATAGCGACAGGATGGCGATTAAAGCGTCCAGAGTACACCTCGCCGTAGGCACCTCGACTGATGAGACTTTTCACGTGGATCTTGTCACGAGGAACGCGCTTGGCGACGATGATATCGTCGTTCCACAGCCCAGTGCTAGCACCTAATGCTGCCTCAAGTGAAGCCGCGTCGCCAGATGAGACCGTAGATGGCAGTTTGCCCCCACGCTTCATCTCCAGCCGACGCCGATAGAATATCCAGACCCCGACGCCGATGACCACAGCCGCTACGCTGCCGCATACGATGCCAACCACCTCCCCAGTGCTCAGCCCGCCCTCATCGTCCCTGTCGTTGCTGCTGTACCATTTGTACTTCATTGCAATGAAGTACTCGACGCGGTAGACATCGTACAACTTGATGTCGGAATGAACGGCCAAGCAAGTGTGGAGTTCCAGTTGGTCTCTTGCGGCGTCAATCTCAACACTGCCGTACGCGCAGGAGCTGTCGTCTGCCGACGACGACCCGTCCGAGTTCTGGAAAATCTGTATCGAGGCCGTACCGATGTCTGACAAGTTGCTGGTGAAGTAGTAGTTGTCGGTCAAGTATCCTCCCGTGCAGGTGTCCGTCACAAGGAATCCAATGGCGTATTCGAACGTATTGCACGGATCATCCGAGAAGACCTCCTGGATGATGTACTCCGAGTCCCCGAACGCGTCGCGCATGGCCTGCAAGTAGTCGGTGGAGCACTGGACTGTGAAGCTCTCGCCTTCGGTGCTGACGTTGTCGGAGCAAGTCGCTTCCTCGCAGTCGCCGCGTTGCGCTGCGTAGACTGCGTAGGGTGCTGCACTATCACAGGCGCTACCAAGGTAACTCGCCTGGATGGCGTGCATCGTCGCGTGGGCCGGGCTACATAGTGACTCAATCAAGAGGAGGAGGAGGATCAGCTGAGTCATTCCCAATGCTAGAACCTTCCGATGTGAGGTCAAAACGCAGAGTGCGGATGATGCCGGACACAGATTTAGTTCAAGGAGCGCCGTAGGCGTTATCGCACCGCCATGGGTTCACTTGCTACATGAGATGTTGTCTCGAATCCTTGGTTGGGTGAGAACCCCACTATCTTGTCATGGAGCGCAGGTTTGATGATGAGGCTCGTCGAAGCGAATGGTGGCTGCAGCTCGTAGCCATGTTTAGCGTACCCGTGGTAAGCGTTCCATAGTTTAGCCATTAGCCACCCCTGGATTTCATAACTGCAAACCCTATTGACGCCAGACCAAAAGTGCTACATGCTAACGTAAACGTATATTCGTTGTGTGCGTCTTGCAGAAATAGAAAACGATTCAGCCCAGGCCACTGTTTAGTCTGTTAGGCAACCACTCCAAATGAAAACATGTCGGCCTTCACGTCGTATCTGTCCCCCAGCATCACTTCAGGAGCCATCCAGAGCGACGTGCCAACAGCAGTCATCGTTTGGTCAAGTCTCTCCCTCGAGATGCCAAAGCCCGTCAGCTTAGCTTCCATGGCGCGGTTGAGGAGAATATTGCGGGACTTGAGGTCTCTGTGGATCACTGGGGGCATTAGAGAGTGCAGGTACGTGAGCCCATGGCAGACATGGAGCGCAATTGTTGCCTTTCGAGCGGAGGCCTGATATTTGTCGAGTAAAGTTCGTAGGTCGCCGCCGTCCATGAACTCGAGCACGACGCACAGATCCGAGAGCGAATCCCATGAAACTCCGACAAAAGTGACGATATGCGGGTGATCCATGCTCGCAGTCATCTTGGCTTCAGCAAGGAACTGATTCACGTGGTGGATGCTAGATCGTGTAGAGGGCAGCAGCATCTTGACGGCAACTACCTGGCGGTAGAAGCGCCCCACGTAGACTTCCCCATAAGCGCCGCGGCTGATGAGCTTCTTGATTGTGACTCGGTCGCGCGAAATCCTCTTGGCCGTGATGACGTCGTCGCTCCAGAGTGCAGTCTGCCCGTTCATGGCCAATTGAAGTGAGGCTGCGTCGTCGGACGGAAGAGTCGAAGGCCCCAAGTGGTCGTACTTCCGATTGACTCGACGTTTGAAGGAAACCACAGCGGCGAGAACCAACAGTAGATCAGTAATGGAGCCGATGATGATTCCGACGATTTCCCCAGTGCTGAGATCTGGCGTGGAGGTGGTGGTGGCAGTGCTACCACTGCTTTCACTTTCAGCATTGGCATTGCTGGTGTACCAGGCGTAGTAGTCCCCAAATCCGAAATCCGAGTTGATGTCTGTGGGGATACATCCGCCGGTGTTGAGAATAGTATTGGGTGCTCTGGCTGGCACTGGTTTCCATCCGCTTGAAGAGCTTGAGAACTGAAGAGACCGAAGAGGTTGGGACAGTGCAATCGCCTGTCTCGAATGTTTCAACTTCTGCCGAACCGTTCTCGAAGAGATAGGCCTTGTAGAAATATCCATCTCCTTCTTCGCAGGTACTGGTGGCGTGGAATCCAAGTACGTAATTAGGGGAGAAGCATTGGCTGTCTGGGAAATGCACCTGCACGATGTACTCCGAGCTGCCAAACGCCTCACGTGTTTGCTCGAGGTATCCTGTTGAACATATCGTAGACATCATGCCGTCGTCAAATTCATCGCTGGAAGTGCACGTCTCATTTGCACAACTGGAGCTCGAACTCGAATCACTTGAAGTCAAAGCAATTGATGCGCTTACAAGCCTCGGAGTGCCACTGCACGTATCCCCAGGAGAGTACGTGCTGATCGAATACATCGTCCCAGGAGACTGGATGTACCTGGGCGTCTCTGGCCTTGGTGAAGGGTAAAAGAAAAGTGAGCACGCGAGCACGCGTAAGGACCGCAGCGGGTCATTGTGTATTCCGACAACGGCTTTTGTGGCGTTTGCTGTTGAATTACCTGTAACGAAACGGGATAATCCCGTGTTCACGCGTGTTCACCCGCAAGCAGCACAATTCTATATGCGTATTATGGATGGATGCAAATCAGCAGGCATCAACAAACTAGGATATTGTGCCTAATGCCCATTTGGACTTGAAATCGGTACTTTGGAAATCTTGAATTAGGCACCATACAAAGATCTATATATTAGTATGGCAAGTGAATCATATGATTTAGAGAATGTGCTCTACAAGTCGCTATCAACAGTGTTTGTGTTCCTGGCAAGAGATATATACATGGGGCCGAGTGTGAATCGTTCTCACACCGGGACTAATTCACGGGTAGTCCCGATACTGCGTCGATCAAGAATTTCAGTCTGTGCAGGTCCAGCAAGCTAGAGAGCTGTTGTTACCCATAATATCTGATAAATCCCATGATGCGCAACAGAGCGCAGGTACAGTGTAGCTGCTCCTTGCTCGTTCTGTGGTATCCACAAGCCAATGTAAGGTAACGAAGATTTGATAATAAGTCGATTGCCAGGTTACATGTAGTTAGTTTATTATTTAAAATACTTACTGTGGTATATTGGTCTGTTACGATGCCTGGTCGACCCAGCCCCATCTCATAATTTGGCAGGTACGGCTGCCACGGAATGCGCTGTCATGTATGAGAGCTTCATTGGCGTGTCAAATGCACAGAGCAGAGGGAGGTCGAGCTACCACGAATTATATTGGCGCGAAGCTTGAAGGCATAGTGACGAAAGTAACGGGAGGAGGGTGGTGGCAGTGGTTATTGTACCGGCGACGGAATGAGTGGTTCTAGTAGTTCTAGCCCCGTTGCTACTGCGCTAGATAAGATAAAAGCACCGAGAAATACATATACCAACGACATAACCATCAATGGACCACTATTTACTATAGAACCGAGCCTGAAGCCATTCTCTTAAACAAGGACATTTTGAAAACCCCATTTAGGTACTTTGGATTGTTTATGTACACATTGCCTAGTTTGTTGATGCCTGCAAATCAGTTTTAGATACTTCGAGAAGTATCTGTAGAGAAGTACATGTATACTGATAAACTGAGCGGAACAGTAGGTTGAGAATTGTTTTAAAGTTCTGATTCTCTAGTTCACAACCGATCATAGTAACTTTATCCTAAACTTACTAATAGTCTAAAGTTTGGATCTTCGATTAGCGATCCTACACTTCGTTTTTGAAAATGACCTGAAGTCGACACAGTGCTTCTGCGGCACTTGGACGGTCGCTGGGATTTACTGCCACGCAAGCATTCCCCAGTTCTACCATAGACGAAGGGCTTGCGTCGGAAAACTCCACCTGCACAGCTCCCATGGTGATCTTCTGCAGCAAAGTCGCGTCTGGCATTTTGCGACCACTTTGTTCCAAACACTGCATGCTGCTTCACCCTGGTGTACGGTAGACTGTGGACGTCCAACTCGGATAATACGACGCCAAACGAGAAGATATCCGCCTTCACGTCGTACTTCTCGCCCAGCATCACCTCTGGAGCCATCCACAGTGAAGTCCCAACACCGGCCGTCATCGTTTGATCCCGACGCTCCTTCGAGATGCCGAAGTCCGTTAGCTTGGCTTCCATGGCGCTGTTGAGGATCACGTTGCGCGACTTGAGGTCTCGGTGGATGACAGGGTGCATGAGCGAGTGCAGATACGTGAGTGCCTGACAGATGTGTAGTGCGATGGAGGCTTTCTCTCGATCCACGCCCACGGGGTGTTTGTTGGCCTCGTTCTTGTTCAAGAGGGTGCGTAGGTCTCCCCCGTCCATGAACTCCAACACGACGCAGATATCGAGAGCGAGGCCCACGCAACACCGATAAAGGCGACGATATGCGGGTGTTCCATAGTCGCAGTCATCTTGGCCTCGGCAAGGAACTGCGTGATGTGCTGGAGGTTTCCACGCGTGGATGGCAAGAGCATCTTGACGGCGACTGGTTGATCGTTGTAGACGCCGCTGTACACCTCGCCAAACGCGCCTTTGCTGAGCAGCTTGTGGGTCTTGACTTTACCTCGCGGGACTCGCTTCGCAGTGATCACATCGTCATTCCAAAGTCCGTCTTGGCCGCCTCGAGCTGTTTCAACGGAGTTTGAGTTCCCCGATCGCGCTAGACTAAGGCGACGACAGAAGCGAGCGACAGCACTGCAAATACTGTGCTTCTGTGACGCTGCATTGCTGGACGGAACAGTCTCAGTTTAATGGCTTTGTTCTTCGTGTTTGCCCTTCGATCGACAGCGACAGATCACAATCGCTCCAACGAGAACCAAGACAGCAACGATGCCTCCACATATAATTCCGATGATAGTGGCGGTGGTGACTTCACTGCTGCTCTCAGATGCTTTTTCTTCTTCGAGACCAGGAACGACCGAGTTCGATCCGCTCGAACCAGCGTCAGAGCTGCTGGTTGCGGCCTCGCTAGAACCTCCGACGCTACCCATAGTCTCGCTGTCCGACAGCGTGGTGAACGCCTTCTCCAGAGTCGGGTACTGAAAGCCGCTTCCTCCAGTCTCGCACCCTTCGTCAGCATCACATTCCGCACACAACTGCGAGTAGCCAACACGCTTGCAGCCGTTGCCAGACCCACAGGCCTCCACCGTCTTGTAGCACGGAGGGTTCAGCACTGCAAGCTCGTCGGGGGTGGGCAACGCCTTGAAGGCCTTGATCAGAGTGTCCTCAATCTGCGTCGATCCCGAAGTGAGCGTCTCCTCGTACTTGGCCACCAAAGCCTCCGCACGCGCAGCATTGGCCGTTGAGCTCAGTGGGTCTTCCCAGAATGGGAGGCCACTCTCCATCTCGCCGGTCGACGTGTCCGCAGCAAACTCAATGTGGTTCGAGTCAGCACTGCACCACTCCGTGTAGTTAGCGTAGGTCGATCCAGTTTTCGCGTTCTTGATGGAGGTGATGCCCACAACGTCGTCGATGGTCACCCAGCCAAGAATGTTGTAGGCAAAGGTGCAGTCCACGCCGTCGAGGCCTTGTCCGTAGCTGCAGAGCCCCTTGCGCGTGCCACTGCGGCATTCGTCCGTCTTGTCGATCCAGGCTTTAAGCGGACACGTGCTCGGGAAGGAGAACCAGTAGCTCTTCGGGTACGGGGCACGCTCAACATCCATAATGCCGCCACCGACAAACGGACCGACGTTAGGTCGTCTCCGTTGAACTGCAAGCAGCCAGCGGGGAAGCCGTCGTCCCCTGAAAGGGGCGTGCAGCGTTTGCTGTCCATAGGAATCATTGGTCCGTACTCGGGCGTGTCGCCCCACGAGTCCTGGAACTGGGCCAGCGTCTCGTTGGTTTGGGCGATGAGGATCTCGAAGAAGACGATGACGGCCATGCCGGACTTGCGCTTGCAGCGTTCGTTGTCAGTACGCGCGTTGACGTTGATGCCCTCGGCCTGCACGTACACCAGCGCACCCTCGACTGAAGCGGTGTTGACTGTGTCCAGAGCTTGCAAGTAGCCTTCTTCCAGTTCGCCGTCTCCGAAGATCGAAACGAAGACGCCGTCCACAAGGATCGGGGTATCGCTCTGAATGCGAGCGTGAACGGCTCGCACGGGCGGCATGTGGTACGCGTCCGACGGATATGTGAGCGTCTTGAGATCTGCGAACACATCGTCACTCGAAGCAGAGGTCGCACCCGCTGAAGTGTGCAGTGCCATGGTAGCACTGGCGGCGAATACGATGACCCGCTTCATCCCCGCGCCTAATCTCTTTTAATCGCCGATTAGGAAGAAGGAAAAACGGGAGTGAGCTCATGGTGTCCGCTGTAAGCCTGGGGCCAGCTCAGTTAGCCTGTGGCGCTCCGACAACTCTAACGGTTTTGTGGAACGTTTTCGCTTAGCAACACCCCAACCAAACGATATTCATGGGTCATATTCTATGGATATATGTAAATCGTAGCCAAACAGCGAAAGCGGTTACAAGAATGCCCAAGAACGAGCTCGTTCACACGTTGCATCCTCAGCGCTTATCAATACCATTCCGTCGTCATCCTTAGATCGATCGACGCACGATTCATTGCCACGTTTAGGCCTCAATGACTAAGGGTGTGCTCCTCAGACAGGAATTTCAGCGGATTTGGGCCATTTTGGCGGATATGTACGTTTTGGCGGATTACACAATCCGCTGTTGCGTTTGAGGAACACAAGAGGCATCTTTTTGGCGGATATTCAGCGGATTTTTTCCTCCCGAATTTGGGCGGATAGCCCTCTCGTTTGGCGGATTGACGAGAAGCATCTGTAAAAGTGCATATTTATCGTTCTTGTGAATCATCAATGGCCATCACTTCAGGCTGTTTGACTTCGCCGTCCTACTCGCTCTACGCCAACGGCGGTACTTCATTGTGCGTAGCCTGCGTCCCCTAAATAATATTTTCCTAGGTACCAACTACAAGTTAATTGTTGATACGATATACAGCCACGAATGCCAAATGACAAAGCAAGTTCATCGAGGACGACGAGAACGACGAGACCAAGGGGAGCACGCCGAGAAACAACAACGACGAGCACACGGCGGACATGGACTACGCCGACAGCAGGTAGGATGACGGAGATCTCAAGTACGACAGGCCTCTTAACAAGCGACCAACTACTAAACTTCTACATGCAGCTCCTACACTATTAAATACAGCCTTTTACGTTTAGATGCGTTTAGGCACCAACCGCAAATGTAGCGTGAAGGGATCTGCGTTATCTTTAGTTGTTGAGGCTTGTCCTCGCATCGGAGGCATCTCGCTGTTTCCAGATCCCGCGTCGTGCACCGTAGACACCAGTAGACGTAGCCACAGACGGTTTAAAGTTGACGGACACGGTGGAGCTGGATAGTGAGTAGTTGGCTCGCACAGGATCGTCCTCAATAAATTTGGGAGCGTTCGCCCATTGTGAATCACAATTTGTGCTGCTGCTGAAAGACAGTTAGTCGTTAGTTTGTTGTGAGATAACACAACATCCTACTCCGATGGACACACCGACATGCCTTTGTTTGAATCGCAATATCAGTAAGTTATTTTGTAACGCCACTGGAAGTAGCAACTGTATTCAGAGTATTGGCGAGTCCTGCTCACGAGTCACGAGCAAGATCGAGACTCCTACGCCAAAGCAGAGGCCAACAGACCTGCTTACGTGGTGTCTTGACGACTGCTCGTCGTTAGGAAGTGCAGTCAACGATTTCGCTTTCCGCACGCAACGGTATCAGCTTAGCGATAAGAATATGTTCTGAGCTTTTATGCTGTAAAAATGCACTGCTGATCTGGCACTTCGATTCCATAGCCCCTTATAGTTTACCGTACTGGGAAGGCTGGCTGCGTTCAGTAAACGCGCGGGCAAAGCAAGCAAGAAAGGAGACTACTACAGGGAGCCTAGTCACTCAGTAAGTACAACGAGGAGGATAAGATGAAGGCAAGTGCCCCGGCAAACGAGGGTGAAGGGCAAAGACAGCGCACAACACGCTATGGATATGACGCTGGCTGTAAGTATTACAGTCCCGCACCGATCCGAGTGCTCGAAGCCTTTTGGCAACCAAGGGCTTGGCGCAGGACTTGACGTAACCTTAGATCAGAGTAAGGCAACCAACTGAACCTCTAATTGCATACACTGTATCCCATAATACACGTGTTTTTATTTAATCTCAGAGTGCGGTTTGGAGGGTAGCGGATGCCGGTGGACGTGTTCCTCATCCGGTTTAGCGGATAGCGGAATCCGCTGAATGCTTCTCAATTGGCGGATTGCTCAATCCGACGGAATCAAACAGCGGAACTGAGGAACACACCCTAAAATATTTAGTAAAAACTAAACTTTTGCGCAATTGAATCGAAACAAGTGAAACTGCCGTTCACCATTACACCAACGCAAATTTTGCTTCCAGATGTCGTGTAGAACACGCACTAAATTATATAATAGCACACTTTCCCCACCAACAACACCCACCAAGTCCCGATGACTCAATGGGCTTGTTAGGGTTAGAACCTGAAGGCCCAGGAACTTTCCATTGCACCGGGTTGATGTTTCCTCTGTGCACCGTGTTTCCGCTTAGTCAACTGACGGGAACCCAGCGTCACCAGCCACGAGCAAATGCTGACACGCTCTCACACACAATATAAACCTCGCAGGCCCTCAGGAAGGAAGGGTCCCAGCCAGTCACGGCTTGATACGAGGGTGCCGGAGCTATACTCCGACGGGAAGGATAAATGGAGTGCGCTCTCGCTCCTCCACTACTCGGCGATGACTCGCCCTTCGTATACACGGCCACTTCTTGGCCTGACCACGGGTAAACGCACGCTACGATACTAGCAGGCGCGTCCACCGACAGTCATAATCCTACCAACAGGTTTATCCAATTGCTACGGGAACTCACCGATAGCCCGGACGTCTTCCTTGAGTGGTTGGGAGGAAAAGCTGTTCTGTTCTTGTTGCCCAAAGGACTTATCTGTTCTATCTTCTCTTTCCTATGGCTCAATACAAATATCTAGTATAAACGCGTCCGTTTTGAATCTTCCCAAGTAACCACAGACCCTTCAGAGCCTCCTCGACGCCCCAAGAGGCCTCTCGATGACTCTATTGGACGATGAAGACTTGGAGCAGTTGCCGGTGCTCGAACGGTCGTCTTAAGTGCGGATCTCGGGTCAAAGTTCGCTGTAAGTTCGGATCGTACTTGAAGTCCTGGGTCTCGAACTTGGGTGTCGACGAGTCTTCGGCACCTGTCCAGAATGGCCAATCAGCATCCGCCGAACGTTGCTGAACATGTCCCAACGACTCGGGTCGCCACCGAAGCTTGGTCGTCAGCTCGAATGTCGTTTACCGCCAAATCACTACACCACACAGACCACAGCTGTAAATGTTTGTAGATACTCAGGCACACTTCAGACGATCTTCCTACAAGTCCAGGACCAAGATGAAAAGTAGCGTGTTGTTGGGAGGGGTCCTATCAGGCCCCCGTGTCATGATGGGTCTCGCCCAAGTGTAGTTCTCAGAGTTGAGCCCCCTATCAGAGAACTGTAGTTTCTGGACCTTCTCCGCTCGTCAAGATCATGGGGCAAAGAGGAGCAGTCCATTCGCATTAAAGACTCGGCCTCGGAGAGCCGAGTCGAGGATCGTCGCAGCGCGAAGCTTCGGTCGCGGTGTCGGTCCGAGTCTGGGGCTGGAGAGGCCAGCCCAGGGAGCGGTGAGTTGGGTCGAGCGCGTCAGCGCAGCGATGATGTCGTTGACGGAGCCTGCACTTGATGGTCACGCCTCAAGAACACGAATTGCGCTGCTCCATTGTGGAGAAGCAGGATCCAAGAAATTGGGACAAAGGGTGATCGGCAGAATGATGGATCCAGACTCCGCGACGGATCCACCAGACTGGCGGATCGGGCCCCGTACCAGATGTTAGAGATTGCAACGGAAGACACTACGAATACGACCGGACGTCACGAATGTGTGCCCAAGCAACGCCATGCCTCGAGATCCCAAGATCCAACAGATGCAGCTGTCAAGTGGATCGGCGATCCGATCCAATCCAGATCTGATTCTGATTCGGACTCAGATGGAAGTGAGCGGTGGATCTAAGGTCATGGCACAGCGTAGGTAATCAAGCGACACGCAAGGAATGTGAGCAAGCTCCATAGAGTCAGTAGGTACAGATGGGATGACAGGATCCATAGGAAGATAGGACTTTGGGATGGGATTGAACTTAAGCATAAATCAGTGTTGAATTTGCCTTATACATCGCAAGTGCCTTCGCCATCGCCTTCGCCTGGAAACGGGAAGTACATTGGCCCCACGGCTTAGCAAGGTTCTGGTAGTGGATCTAGCGTTGGTTAAGACTGGATAATACATTGGCTAGTTCTGCAACCTTCCTAGTGACCTACTTGCAAGTGCAGATCCCCGATCCACCCGGAGTTACTACTTGGCCGGGTGCATCCTCCACTCTCAACATCTACGGATCCCGCTATAGGAAGCGGCAAGTACAGCAAAGGAAGACCTACGAAGGCAAAGGAAAGGAACAACCCAAAGGCAACCCCACGGCCGGATCCAGATCCAGGCCGCCCGATCCAAGTCGACTACCACTGGATTAGGAATAACTACTGCGAGCAGAGTGAGGATTTCCGCGCTGCTCCACCCACATCCCCGCGTCTCGCCCGGACTGTTCTGTCTTCAAGGCTCGGACGCTTCAACAGACACCAGAGGAGCAGATCCAGCCCTACCGACGGGTACACAAGGTGACCAGTTCAGCACACAGATCATGGATCATCGGGGGACCCCCTCCGTAAGTCGGTGTTGGGGCGCAGTTGGTAAGTTGGATTGGCAATCTCGCAGATTTTGCTGATCCCGCTACACCACACCACTAACTATCCTACTTAGCGTGGGAAAACCCCCGCCACCGGATGCCGCATCCATACGGAGCCGTTCGGCGGGGAAAACCAGACAGCTACGCACACACAACTGGTTTGGAGAGCTCGATTTTCCTTGGTGTCGGTCGTATTGTGTCCAGTAACAAAAGCCATGACCTCTCCTCGCCGAGAAACCCATTTTCAGCCTCGCCTTCGTCTCCTCTCAAAATACCCATACTTCAACTTTTGGCGTTGCTCCAAAAATAGACTCCTTCGAGTTACAGGGGTACCCGATAGCTCCACTGGAGTTAAGTATTGGAGTATCCGCCGGTATTTTATCCGTAATATATTTCCGGATTATCTGAGATAATCCGGATTTTATGTAGCTCCAAGTCCAAAACCGATCCAGAAACTACAGTTCTCTATTTTCGCAGAATTGGGCGATGCGTGCGTCCCAGTCGAGCCTAGTGCACGTCCAAGTGCTGCTGAAGCGTTGTATTTACGTCAAATTGTCAGAGCGCTGTGAGTCGATTTGTGTGGTGACAATTCAGTTCATCCTATAGTCTCCATAGGTACATGTACATGTAGCAAATATTGTGCATTGATCGTTAGCCATGTTGTGCGTAGCACGCGTGGATGCGACTATGGTTGCTGCTGAGAGTGGCGTCTAGCGCATTGTTGCGCTTCTCGTCAACGGTGTACCTTCACGGTTGTACATCTTGGTAAACGCGTTGAGAATTGCGTCCTTTGGACCACGCTCGGTCGTCAGAGACGAATTGTGAGGGATGCCCAGCAGTTTTCCAATGCTGACTGGGGTTTCCTTCTGCTTGAACTTATACTTCTGCATGGTCTCGGCCGGGCTTTTCAGGGCAGGAATTTGCATTAGGGATTCGAAGGTGACGGCCAGCTTGTCTTCAGGGACTTTGCTGCATAATAGCGCGTAAATCGCATGCCAAACTTGCGCAGCCTCGACGCCTTCTTGTCCAATTCCGCAAGTCCCGACACCCACGCTCCATTGCCTCCCCGCTCTTCACCTTCGGCAGGGAAAGCATTGTTGACGTTTCCCACGTCCGCAGATTCTTGCGCTCGTAACAGCCTCGTCGGGATGCGCACACTATCAGTCGAGTCGAAAGTGATCTGCAAATCTGTAGCGACATCGACGGCAGCGAAGTAGAGAGCGACAAACAACAGTAGAATGTTTTGCCTACGCATTGCTGCTTTTTTTTGGGTTTCCTTCTAACTTCAGCGTGCTCTTGTTTGTCGACAGAAAATTGAGAAGTGGAGAGATGCCGGAGTATGTTTTATTCAAGACTGGCTGGTTTCACGCATCTGTGAGCGAAGTTCAATGCCATAGTTATCGCTGGAACCCCATCCTATACGGAACCATCCCCCACGCTTTTGATACAAAGTACGGACCGTACCGTAAAACTTGAGGTAGGTGATACATCCTTCCCTGATGACGCATTAGTTTAGATGTATTGTGCCTTTCTGTCGTTTTGCCACCCTTCAGAGATAGCTCCGGAGGGGTTCTGAGCATAGATTGGTCTTCCTAATCTGAAAGATGGACCAGTAAAAATTGGCTTAATTAAAGGCTGTCCTGATTGGATAAAACATGTGACTGGACAGCCGACAAACACACGTGGCCCACACTCCAACTCTCGCCGGCTCAAGTGCAACCGCAACCGCCCGCTCTCGCGACCAGACCCAATCGCGAGCGTACACTCCAGCACCAACGTAGCTCAACGGCAGAGTCCCGCTTGGGGGGGGGGGCGGATGTTCGATTCCTCCCGTGGGTATTACTACGTGCGCGCATGTGGCGTCTGGTTCGAACTGAGCAACAGCCGTATACAAGCGGCAAGTGACTCAGCAGCGGGTAACTACAAATGCAAATCAGCTTGCGGTTGAGGGGTGATATGCTCGATAGTGTATTCGTGTGATTGTGGCCTGTGTGTGCTCAGATACAAAGGAGGCGAGGACGAGCGCAGCTGGTGACGAGAAGCGGTCTGCGCTGAGAGGCAATGTGCGCGTGGTTGTGGGCTGTGTGTGCCAATCCGCAGGTGCAGTGAGGGTGAGGGTGAGCGCGATTAAAAGGCATGTCGGTGCGCATGTGACTTGCGTACACGTGTCCACAGAGGCGACAAGGGTAAGCACAGCTGGTAATGCGAGGCAGCGACCGTTGGGAGTCAGTGTATGCGCCTTTGGCTTGATGGTGTGTGTGTGCTTCTCGATTGTGCGCTTTGCTCAGACATAGGAGGCGCCCTTCCGATTCTAGATCTCTACGGCTGAGTCAGGATGCTAGCCTCGTGACGCGACTCCAATGCAGAGCGAAGCTATTACGGTGAGGCAAGCAGGAGTTTCTAAGGAGCACAGAGACCCGAATGTCGAATCGATGGAGCAATAAGAGGAAAACCACACACATTCGAACGAGCGTGTGTACTAGATTAGCTTGTTATCGCTAAGTCATTTGGTTTGTATCCGCAATGACTACATAAGTTTTGCCCCACTTCTTCTTTCTGTCTAGTACACTTGTACATCGCTACATTCAGCACGGCAAGTGGGTCTTCGCGAAATGCCATGTTGGCGTGCCGCTGAATCCAGCGCTTTAGGAGGGAAAACCCTACTTCAATCGGGTTCAGGTCTGGCAGATACGGGGGCAAAAAGAATAATAAAGCCCCTGTTGCGTAGATGAGCTCTTGTAGTTCCTTGTACATGTGGATCTTGGCATTGTCCATGATCACAATTGAGCATGGCAAAGGCCATGGGTTGAGGAATGGGATGATTTTTTTCCTTAAACACGTTATGGAAATTAACACGCGTGAACGTACCCTCCACATTGCCCCACCCAAAGAAGCCCTGCACGTCCATTGCGGCCAAAATGGACGCTCGTTTTCCCCTACTGAACGGTAGGGTCACATGGTCAGGGGTATTCCGGGTTGACCAGCCATACCGACGAAGAAGAGATCTAGCGAGCATTAAGATAGGCATCAATTTGGTTAGGTCAGTAATTCCCAGTAATAAAACTTCAAGTATGAAATATACCTTCCGTCCTTGGACGTTTCGTCAATGAAGACGAGCTGGTCGGGGCCACTATAGAAGGGCAGAAGCCGAGCGACATACTCACGGCGCTCACTAGGCACACATTCTCGTGCCCGCTTTGTGAGCACCTTCCTGGTTAGGTTGAGGTCGAAGCGAAGTGCTCGGCAGATAGTTGAGTCCGACAGACTGATCGTGTCTCGGAAGTTAGCTCGCAGCTCGAGGCGCAGCTCCTCGAAGTAGAAGCAAGGGTGGTTTTGTACATACGATCGTACAAATGCACACACCTCACTTGGCCATCTTGACGTCTTGGCCCTTGGTTCATTCTTCAGTACGTTTCCTGTCGTACGAAAGCGACGGTACCAGCGGCCTAAACTACGCACCGATAGACCTAGAACACTAGCTACTGTCGCTGTGTCTATGGAATATACGTACATGAGCACGATCCCTCTCCAACGCATGTCAATTGAGTAGGTCATCTTTGACTCTTCTGTAGCGACGAAAACCTAAAATGGCCCGGCGAGTGTCGGCCATTCAAGCTTTTCCCGAGCTTGTGACTAGCTCCGTAGGTCTTCACAAGAGTGTAGCATGAAGCTATATAATTGGAGGAAATTTGAGAATTCCGCTACTGTGACTGGGTAAAATTTGATGTTATTTTAAGTACGAAGGTAATTCGTGGTGCCAATCACCGTCAAAACAGACGTAATAACCTAGCCCCCTCTCTAAGCGAGCCCTTTCCGAAGTCCGATTTGCCAAAAGAAGTGAAAGGCACAGTACTTGTTGTACGTCAGCTTGCCATTCTTACTGGTGGCTGCCAAAACCGTACGGGAACAGTATTGCTTTTGGATATACCGTACAGGCGTCCCCCTCAATATGTGCCCCTATATCTTTCTGTACGGCCGATGTAATATTTTCTGCACGGTTTGCAAAAAAACGAGAATATTCACACCTAGCTCTTATTTCCTTTAAGTTAGCTGCTTTCGTACCATCACGCATATCAAGAGGGACTAAAGTTGAGTGCGTGTTGGTTGTCATGGCAAAGACGCTGGTGTTAGTTGGAGGAATCCCTTCGACCACTAACTACTGTGCCTACGAGTACAAACCCGACCCAAGAAAATTGTATATTTAAGTATATAGGTAGGAATGGCGCGTGTATAGGATATCGGTCTCAACATGACTGAGCCAGTGCGTTTGCAAATCGGTTCCTACAATTGGCACGTCAGGTAAACGTTTACGCCGTGTGCGTTTACTCCGGTTGCCTTTATTTTGGTTCTTATGCAGATCAGGTCCAGGATTTGAACATGTTGATTGTGAGACCGAATCGAAAGACCTGAACCAAACATTCACAGCTCTGGATCATGACATGACTTGGTTCCTTACCCCGTGCTCTGTTCGGCTCCCTGCTCTAGCAACAGTTTGTGGTGCTGTCTCTATGTGAAAGGGTGTGCATTTTGGCAGATAACCTTGGTTCAAAAGGTATTTGACAGTGGGTCGTGTTCGAAATCATTGCAGACAATGTACCATCACCTACTATCGGATAGCTAGAACGAGTAGCCGCCGCAATCGAACATGCCTCCCTTCCCTACTTCACTTGACAGCAAAATTCATTAGCTGTAATTGCACGCGCTGTTCATGTTTCAATGGGTGGTGCTCAATTGTATCTGTAGTGGATGCAGGCGTGACGAGCTTGATTCCACCATGAGTGTTCGTCGTGCACGCCAGAGGAAGATCACAGGTGACCAAGATGTCCAACGCTGCCAGACGTCGGCTATCTGTTATATCGCCGGTCAGGCTGCCAGTGCCTGACCCAGCTTGCATAAGGAATAAGTGAACGAGGCAACATGTTCTCTTGGGCTCGACTGTTGTGGATCGGAGCAGTTCCTGGGAACTGACCACTTCAGTCCGTCTCTCAGCTTGAAGCCACTTCAAGCTGACTGGACACGCCAGCAAGAGATGCCCTCTGCATTTGAGAGAGAGTCGGCATCCGCCACTCGACCTCACTTCACAATTTGCTAAGCAACGACGCAAGTGGTTGTTTGGTTAGATCAATACATTCGACTACTATTCCGTGCGGGTTCAGCCCCCGCATCGCCGGTGTTCAACTTTGGTCTTTCACCCGGGATACACTACAAAGAATTCTTTAGTAGTACATTCCACTCTTCGCGTGCCTCGCCACCTGAGTGGAACGCTAAGGACCAACCTCAAGCTACTACTACGCCATGACGAGCCCTAGACATGGCAACCACGCTTCGACCGCTGGATCGACGGGAACAGTCCCACTCTTCACTCCGATCCCCCCCCAAGAATCGACTCCATCTCTCACGAGGCCCTCGTGAAGTGGATGCGCGACCGCCGCGAGTACGAAGCCAAGCTGCGTGCTTGCTGTCTTGTCTCCGGCGAGGACTACGACGCTGTCGTCGAATCCGTCGTCGATGCGTTCGAGTCCGACTTGCTCGACGTGTTCTGCGACCTCAAGCTGCACCTGCCTGTGGACGACGTAGCGGAGGGCGCGCTGCTCGCGGAGATCAAGAGCATCGTGGACAGCGTGAAGACCTCCACGTTACCCGACATCAAGGCTCTGTTCAAGAAGGAGCTGCGAGAGCGACGTCGCCGCCCGTGTCCTCGACTATTTCAGAGCATTCAACATAATCATGATGGACAACGGCCTGAAAGAGTGCTTCCAAGACGCTGATGGGAGCCGTGCGAAGTGCAAACACCTGGTGGCATCTTTGCAGCCGGCGGCCCTCAAGAAGGAGGTGAAGCAGTGCGTGCGTTTCACGCACAAGGCTGCGGCCACTGACCCTCGGTGCCTCTTTGACCTGATTGTGGAGAAGGCCACTGAGCATGAGCGCCAATACCAGCGTCTGAACGAGCAGCTGCAGAAGGCCACAGCCGGGTGCATTCAAAATACGCCACGAGCCCCGAAGCCTGCGACGGGTAATCAGAAGAAGCGCTGGGAAGGCAACGACAAGTAGGCGTTGGCAGAGGTGACGTCTGCAGCTACAACCCCGGTGGCTCCCCGCACCAGTGCTCAATCTTCGAAGCCATCAAGAGGCAAGAGTTCGCGGCCTCCACCTGGACCTTGCCCCAAGTGCAATGAGCTGCACTGTCTCCGTGAGTGCACTCAAGCGACCACCGAGGAGAAGGAGGAGTTGTTCCGACGCCTGCGCGATGCCAAG